AGGTGGAGTATTGAAATAATTCCTAGGTTCTTTTATGCTAATCTTACAGGGAATTCAAAGAACTGAGCTCCATTTAAAAATGGATGTTAAAAAATAACTTCAAGGATATTTTAAAAATCATTGTCAAGCCCTTTTTTTTTGCAATTACAGTGAATTCAATTTGTCATAGGGTATTAAAATATACTATTTAAGAATAGAAGAAACCACTTAATCACCTACCAAAAGACATCAAATTCCACTCTGCTGCTCATGTGCAGAAATCAATAACACCCTTTACTATAGCATATTTTCTGTGAAGACCCAAGTCTTGTGCCAAATGCACCAGGAGAAGCAATACACTTCCTTGGGTAGAATAACTCCAACTGCTAATTAACTCTTTCCTGTCTTTAGATTACATCTATTTGCTTACTTTTTGCTTCCTTTGTTTCATTTCTCTCTTCTGCTCAAATAAAAGGTAGAATTATACTTTAACAGACAGTATTCTCCATGCATTAAAAAAAAAAAAAAAAAAAAGGATCTTTAAACAAACCACTTCTCTATCTTATTTTTGATAAACTACATCAGAGGAGCCCTGATAGTGCATTTATAAGGACTTCACTGCCAACTTCCAAATATTAATTCTTCTCTGCTCACTTTCTGAATTCTCAATTTCTCCCTAAAGTAATTCAAACTTAAATATTTGGACAAAAAAGGTTGTACTAGTATTCTAGCATCAGTCTCATCAATTTTGAATGGATAGTCAAAATTACCTCTTTGCATCGTTTTGTACATTCAGCTCAAATATAAATCACCTTAGCTGTCTTAAAATGCTTCTCAACCAGGATCAGCAGATAACTCAGAGTCAGTGTTTTCCAGGATATTACTCCCCATTACACAGACATGTCTAGCATTTGGCTTAATTAAAATAACCTTTATTTAAAATGGATTCAGCTTTTCAAGTGATCTAACTCAATTCTAAGGACTGGTCTCACTTATCACCTTTTAGCAGTTGTCTTTCTTTTTCATCAGCAAGGTTATGTTTTCTTCAGCATCAGTCATGAAGACAATTAAAATGCAGAGTTGAAACACAGGTGAAATTCACAAAAGCTCTTCATTCTGATATTTCACTATTAACAACTGCTTTTTGTCAGCTACAATTTCATAGTAAATTAGCTTTTAGCTGAGCTTAATGAGTACTGTATATTGTTCATCTCAACAATCCTAACAGGAGCAAAGTCACATTTGGCCCAATATGGTTCAAAATGGCTAACACCAGTTGCTTCAGGGAAAGGGTTAAGCAACATTAAAAAGTAATTATGCTTCCACACCCATCCTTTCAGAGGATAACTTATCCAAGAAGTCCAGAGGCATATAAGCTTTAATAGCACTAGTGTTACTATAGCTCTTCATATTATACATCCATTAATAACCATTCTTTGGCTATTTAAAACCTATTGCAAGTCTCTGTAACATTATATGGCAGGAAAATTCAAATGTTATTAATTACTGTGTGCAAAAATATAATGAATAAATTTTGAATTTTCTACAATTCAGTTTCATTTTACCTCAAGGGTTCCAACAGTATTTTACTGCCAGAAGGGACTAGAGCCAAAGCTGGTATCTCCCAGAAATTTCTAAGACAATGAATGCTACAAAATTAAATAATTTGGCTCTCCAGCAAAACATCTGAGTATCTTCATTCAACAATATTGGTCCCTGAATGAGCCAATGAGACCGCTCACTATCCTATTACCTGCTTTTGCATGTGTTCAGATTATTTTGGCTACTCACCTTTTGGAGTTGCTCTTAGCTCTCCTGATTATTTCTGTATATATACTGCCTACTGTGGTTTATGATAATTTTATTGTCCTCCATAGAGTTGGTTTCTCCATTTTCTCTAGGCTATTTGGCTTCAATGGTCTTGTCAAACAGGCATTGCAAGCTCAGTCTAACCATTTCTCTGCCTGCCCTGTATACACCTACAAAACAATAACTACCGTGTATTCCAACTATGTATAAATTAATAATGCATGATTGTATTACAATATATCCATGTACTATGTCTGCATACACAATAATCCCTGAGTTAAAAACAAAATTTTAACTGTTTTCACAAAAAGGTGAGTTTTAGTCTAAGGTTTTTTCATTGGAATAAAACTAAAAATTTTGAGAAAACCATTCACAATGGAAACAAACTACTATATAACACAGTGTGCTTTGCATCTTTAAAATTACCAATATTAAAACTGTTACAATTAATTTAACTAATGGACCACTACTTACCTATAATATTTGCATTTGGAAATGCTCAAATAGTTCTGAGTTTATTTTACATTATTTTCATTGCTGATTTTAAGCAGCAGCCAATCACCAAACAGCTGCTTGCCCATACTCCCCCTCCTCCAGTAGGATGGGGAAGAGAATAGGAAAAGAGAAAGTGAGAAAAATTGTTGGTCAGGATACAGGCAGTTTCAGCAGTAAAGGAAAAAGGTGGAAAAATAAACCAGAAACAAACAAACCAACTAAAACCAAAAAAATCCAACCCAGATAATGCAAAGGCAATCATTCACCACCTTCCACAAGTAGACATGCTCAGCCACTGGTAGCAACAGCTACCTCCTCAAAAAAGCTTTTGTTGCCAAGAATGGTACTCTGTGACAATAAATAACTCTCTGGTCAATTTAGCTCATCTGTCCAGGTTGTGTCCCCTCACACCCTCTTTCCCATCCTCAGCTTACTCATAAGTAAGGAACATGGGAAAAGAGAGCATGGGAAAAGAGAGCACCTTGGCACCGCAAATACTACACAGTGATAGCTAAAACAGTGGCGTGTTATCAACACTGTTTCAGTCACAAACCCAAAACACAGCACCATACATGAAGAAATTGAACTCAATTCCAATCAGAGTACACTAAGACACTGTAAAATATAACTAGAAATTATCTCAGCTCTGACTTCAGTGAGATACTGTCATATTTTGCTGAAATAATGTCTCTTGCATGTTTTTGGCATTGGTGGTCAGCCTAAATCGTGTACTGATTTTCTGCAGATTCATTTAAGAAGAGACATACACACCTCTCTGCTATGCCTCCTAGCCCAGGAGACATTAGACAACATTTTGATTTCTGCACAATCCTGACACCTCAAGAGCTCAGCAGCATTAAAGGATAGCCAACACCCCTGCTTGAGCTCAGATCTGTGCTTTGTGAAAGCATCTCTTCTAGCCTAAACTCTTTTACAAATCAAATAGCAGCATCCTGTGATCTCCTCAATAATCCCAGCTGCTTGCTCTAAGGGGTTTTGAAAATTCATGTGACCACTTTGACAAAAGAAAGTTTGACTGTCTTTGAACCTGCTTTCAAAGACAAAGTTATACAAGTCAAGCTATCACCCATGGAGTATTCTGGTTAGCTTTGACAATGATGGATACCTTTCATGACCATTTCCCAGATCCCTTATGCCTACACTTCACAACTGTCCTTAATGATGAATGACAGTCATCTGCAATGAATGACAATTTTCCAGTACTCTCATCCCCAAAGAAATGGCATTATCATCACATATTCTTGCTATAATTTATCAGAGTGAAAAAAATACAGTCTCTGATTACTCAATTCTTTATTAATGTAATAACTTAAACAAATACTACTTTATACATTTTGAGATGCAGATGGGAAAGTATATCAAGTTCTTCAGTGGAATATACTGTATTCATTACTTTAGGAACTGTAAATCTTACTCTTTAATGAAAATGCAATGTGGAGAAGACAGATTTTATGATTTGAAACTAGTTCAGATGTCCTAGCTGAGTCTTGAATAAATAAATTGACTGCTATAAAATAAGGGATATTCAAAATTGTGTTTTGAATAGAAGGCTCATTCTCACCACTGACAAAAGTGGCAATTTTATTTGCTTAGTGAGGTTGTTTTAGTTTTATACACTTATATCTTCACTGATTCCAGATGGAATAGCCCAGCTAACACACCCTCTAGAAAAAGTCATCTATTCAAGCTTGCACTTTGTGAGAAAAGGTCTCACCTTAGACCACCATTATTGGCAATGATTACTTATTACTGGCAGATTCAATTGAATTTATCTTAACAAATAAAGAAAGCTTGGCTGAAAATTGTTATTTCTGTTGCAGTAACATTAAAGGTCCACAGATCAGGACTTCCCTGTGCCTGTACTTTATAAAAGCATAATGAAAAGTACTGCACATAGAACAAAGTGCTTGACATCTAACCAAAGAAAACTATAATCTAAATGTCAAACTTCAAATATAAAGAAACATGGCAAGTATAGAAGCATGAAAATCCCAGAACCAATGTGAAAACATTCATCAACTTGATGGGTACTGACATTAGAGAACTTGAGTCTTGGATTTTGTAATGACATCACCTTATGACCATTAGTGACGATTAGTGATTCTTCTTATGGCGAGAATTTTTAAAAGAGAAAAATCTTCCTGAATTTTCAGAACCGTTTGCAAGAACCTCCTCCCAGGCTTGCAGGACAGAAAAAGTGAAAGTATGAAGGGTTTTTCCTTAAAACAAGATGTAAAGGAACCTAAAATAACATGCCACTTAAGAAGATGCATGATCTCCTACTACAAGGGGAACCAGCTTTTTATTTCTTCTTTTGAATTGTATGTGGATGAACATGAATGTACTTTTCTTAGAGTGCAGAGATTTTATATCTGTGGGATATGTCTGTAATATCCATTTTCAGTATGAGACATGAGGATAATTAGTTTCCAGGGACTGGCACAAAGCAGTAAGTCAATGCTGCTGCAGTGAGAGAATGCATGTGTACACAAAAGGGTAGGAAGATGACTGTGAAGGGAGACATAAAAACTACTTCTCAAGGCAAACACACAAAAAAGAAATTACCAGATGGTAGCAAGAAGCATTCTCCATTTGCTTGTGCATTCCTCACCTTTGGGAACTTCGTGCATGCTTACATTTGTGTTTTTGATCTTTATACATCTAATTGCTTCAGAAGGCACAAAATTTTTACTTACAGACTGATTCAGCACCACCTGTATGGTCCAGGTGTGTTGCCTGTGGAACATAGGGCATCTTCTCTGACTCCTGCAGCAGCCTCAGAAAAACCTTTCATGAAAGTAGAAAAAAGTAATTTAGAATCTATTTTCTAAAACTATTTTATATATATATATATATATATATATATATATCCTAAACCATCCAGACTGTCAGAAATTACTACTGACTGCTGTAAACACCTTGCTGGAATATGACTATAAAGTTAGTCAAGCTCTTCAGTTAAAATCTTGCGGATAAAGGAAATGAAATAAATGTCAATAGATGCAAAAACACCCATGCAAAACATTGCTGACCTATGAACACTACTATCTGCAAAGATTTTTCAGTAGACTGTCTGGCCTTGATTGACCTTTTATGCTTCTAAGCCTTGGTATGTGTAGGAACTCAGTTATTGCAGTTTCTACCAAGGAAACAGCTCAACTCTTTTCTGATGCTCCAGCTAGAAATCTATGGGCACAACTAGAACGGTTACCAAAGAGCTCTAGTTGTACTAGAACACCTAAATCTAATGTACAAAATCCTACAGAGCTGAGAACCTACAGATTCCAGGGAATTCAGAGTGTCTAGGGACACTCAGGAAACGTTCCTAGATATGTGCAAACACATGGACAACGACGTTACAGAAAGATATTGAAAGGACAAGGCAATCATCACAGACAGCCGAGGTGAACAAAGTCTTGTAAAACTGATACTGCAGAGAGGACTGTGCAACAATGTCTGTTTTGTAGCAAAACATTAGTATGCATGCGCCAAATTGGGTAGAGATGATAGGATTCTGTTACCTAAAATCACCATGAGAAAAACTGAAATTACTTTCTAATAAAAGCAACAATCTAAAAATATGCACTAGATTGAAATTGAAAGGTTTGATTTTTCTAAAGTAGGGGAATGCATGTCAGAAGGCACTTAAAATTATAAAAACCCAGCAGAATTCACCAACTTCATAATCATGAGGTCTATTTAAATGGTATATACACTTTGCCAAACAGATTTGGATTTGTGTTCAACCTACTATTTTTTCCTTAAACTTGTTTCACAGTTCTGTCCAAATAAAGCCCTTTGAATTTCACAGATATGCATTTCATTTATCTGTACCTCAGCCTTGCAGAAGCTTTCATAGTGAGCCTTATTCACACACTCCCCACTTCTTGTAAGCTCAAACTAAAAACACAATTAACATTTTCTTATCTTAACCTGAACTGCAATTTAAACAGTGATCTAAGAACCTCAAGTAAAAAAAATAAAAATTTACAGAAAATACAGGTACCATGATCATCTCAAATTAAACAGAAAAAGAACAACCAATTTTTTTCTTTGTCTTGATGAAAGTTTTCTTTTGCTCTTTCCTTTCTGTTTGGGTTGAGCTGCAAGACAGATTATACCCACAGTGCAACTTTCAGAAATCATTAAGAAACCATTTATTTCTTCCCACAAAAGAACCTGATCTCAGCTATAACAAAAAATTCCTTGTTTCCAAGGAGCTCATACAATAGACAATAAAAACCAGTCAATGTGAAGTATTTTATAGCTCTTAAAAGATATTTCTTGACTTTCTAAGGTCTAACTGTTACATATTTTGCTTAGTCAATATAATTGCCATTTAACAGTGGTTATTGATTGCACTTGTTACCTGCCAGCTTTCAGGGAACAACTTTGGCCATTAACAACTGCAAGACCAGAAATTTCTGGCCTGGTATTTCTGTATTACACCCTGGAGGCAGATCCTGACAGTCTAAAGCCACATTCTAATTTGTTATCTTGGACTTGCTTGCTGGTGGCTCTGAACACCAATTCTGTCAAGCAAACCAAACTAAACTGCAACAACTGAATCGCAGAATCACTGAATGCCCTGTGTTTGAAGGGACCTTTAAGATCATCTAGTTTCAATCCCTCTGCCATGGACAAGAGCACGTTCCAATGGCCCAGATTCCTCAAAACTCCATGCAGCCTAGTCTTGAACACTTCCAAGGATGGGAGATGCACAGCGTCTCTGGACAACCTGATACACTGCCTCACCACCATCACAAAACATAATTTATTCCTAATGTCTAATTTAAACCTACTCCCCTTTGTCCTGTCACTGCATGCTCTTGTAAAAAGTCCCTCTCCCTCCCATAGGCTCCCTTCAGATACTACAAGGTCACAATTAGGTCACCTCAAAGTCTTCTCCTCCTCCAGCTGAACAATCCTAACTCTCTCAGCCTTTCCTTAAGGGAGAGGTTCTCCATCCATCTGTTCACCTTGGTGGCCTCCTCTGCACTCACTCCAACAGTTCCCTGTCCCTCGTGAGCTGGGGCTCCCAGAGCTGGCTGCAGCACTGCAGGTGGGGTCTCACCAGAGCAGAGCAGAGCAGAGGGGCAGAATCCCCTCCCTCCCCTGCTGGCCGCACTGCTTTGGATGCAGCCCAGAACATGGTTGGCTCTCTGGGCTGTAAGTGCCCATGGCTGGGTCATATCCAGCCTCTCATCCACCAGCACCCCCAAGTCCTTCTGGCCAGGGCTGCCCTTGGTCTGTTCATCCCCAGCCTGTGTTGGTACTGGGGGTTGCCCAGACCCAGGTGCAGCACCAGCACTTGGTCTTGTTGGACCTCATGAGATTCCCACAGGCCCAATCTTGATCCTGTCTAGCTCCCTCCAGATGGCATCCTGTCCTTCAGGTGCGTCAACCACTTGGTGAAACCACAAAGTAACTACACATCTGTGGTTAGGACAATGCCTACACTACAAAACATTGCCTGCATATGTTTACTTCAGTGCCAAAACAGCTGCAGACACATTTTCTTATTTAATCTCATTAAGTCACTGTAGAGAGGATGTAGTTATACCCTAAAAAAAATAAACAAACCCACCAAATGCTTTTTAAATACATCCTCTGTCTGTTGTAGCTTCATTGACACATACTCTAATACAGCTATAAAGGCAGAAGGCCACCTGCATTGCCCAGTCCTCCCCATGGTATCCAGTTTTCAACATCCTCTTAAGAATGGGAATCATTAGGGACTACATTGTACAGAAGACATGATAATTTACCTGATGTTGCACCAGATATTCTGAGCAGAAGTGGTATTAGCCTAAAAATGTTATTAACAGAGTGAGTACCCTCTGAAACACACAGGTATGGAAAAGTCAGGATCAGACATCATGACAAAGAGACAGTATGTTCTTGCTACATTTAAATGAAGGTGTATTCTAGACCTCAGCAGAGCATCCTTTCCCCACATGCTTTAGCAATTGCTGCTTGCTCAGTTGGTCAGGGCATGGTGTTAATGACAGCAAGGTTGTGGTTCAATCCCCATGTGGGCCATTCACTTAAGACCAGGACTTGATGACCCTTTTGGGTCCCTTCCAGTTCAGAATGTTCTGTGAAATTCTGTAATTCTCTGAAACTGTTTTAATTTCTGTTTTGACTAGCAAGTCTCTATCTGACTAAGGACTTGTCCTTGTCAAGGACAAAAAGGACTTTTTGTTCTTGAGGAAACAAGTCTGGCCAAATGACAATATTACAGTGAAATACATTAATGTGACTGTGTCATCACCAGAATGTGTTGGAGCACCCTGAATCTCACTAGAAGGTGCACATCATTTCAAGGAGGTATATACCTTTCCCTGGAAAGTTTTGATGCAAACTCTCAGGTAATTTCAAAGAAAATAATTTAAAAGCAGTACTCAATTAACAAATTTTGACACATCTTATTTCGAAAAGGTGTTACAACTGTTTTGTTCTCCCCTCAAAGAACAGCAAGAAAGCAATAAGCTTTGAAATCTCCAGAGTTGCCAGAAAGTGAAAAAGCATCCTTCAGAGAGCTCTTAGTATACGCTTAACTTAATTAATTACCCTTCTATTCTCCTTTTGGTTCTGTCAACACTTCGGATTACAGGTATTATAGAATACACAAATACAAATGGTTGAAAAAGATATCTAAAGCCTAAATTTGAGCAAATATAATATTAGTGAGTTTTAAAGGTGTCAGAAACTGATTTGTTAGGACTTCAAGATTCCTCTGAAATATGAATGGAAGTCCATTTTCCCTCAGTGAACACGATTTTTAGAGAGTGTGAGTGTCCCTCAGAATAAAAAGAATAATGGTGAGTGTATAAGAGAATAAAAAAAATTATAATACATTTCTTCCTTTAAGCCCAGAGTTCTTTGTTTCCCGATTGAATTGCTTGAATACTGCTATTATGTGCTATCCTTTTAGTTCCCAATGCAAAGGGCTTTTGATAAGATAATAGAGAATTGAGGTTGTAATGACAACTAATCTCATCTGATGAGATGCAGACATGACAGAAATCAACCCAAATTAATGCATTAAATCTTCAAGCTGAAGAATGATACATTAATATCTAATATCACATTTAAAGACGTTTTTAACTTCCCCTTCACAGAACAGCTAAAAGTAACCTCTCAACTGAGTCACAGATTCAGCTCATTGAGGAATCTTCCTCACATCATGACAACTTCACATTTACTTTATACATGTCAGTTCTGGAAAGTCCTATGTTATCTCATGGGGATGTAACCCAAAAGTATTCTTAATACATACATTACTCCAAATCTACAATGTTTGGCAGTGAACAATATTATTCCTTATACCATGTTCATAATCCATCTTCTATATGAAAATAAAAACTTTTCAATATTTTTTATTTGCCTCATAGAATTGTATCTCAGGAATCTAATTTACTAAATATTAAATAAAATGTTTATTAAACTTATAAATTATGTATGATAGGACACATTAGTCTCCTATCATCACTTGAAGTGAAAAAAATTATTTCTAAAGGCTCTGTAGTACAGTACTTGGATAGTGGTGGTTTAGGGAATCTTGTTATTTAGAAATTATAGACAGGGTAAAAAGAGTCCAAGGAAGGGAAATAACCTCTTACTGACATGGCTATTTATACAGGGCTAAATTCAGAATTATGTAGATGCATAACAGACTCTCTTCCTCTGATCCATTTAGTATATGCACAGACATACATGTACATATATGTGTGTATATATGTTTATATAGACATATATCAAACACTTTCTCTCCCAGTATACATAGAAAATATTCTTTAGGTATTTCATCACACAGTTTGTCTAAGTCCTAAGCTTCAGAACTAGTAAGTTGAAATGTATTCTTAGCTTTTTTTTTTTTTTTTTTTTCCAGTCCAAAAAGCCACCTGAGCTGAATCACCAGACTTGAAAGCCCAAAGCTTGCTATGGGCTTAGGACAACACTGCTTCTCATAAAGTCAATGACACATTACATTTCTCTTAAGTTAATGCAGAAAAAAAAAAAAAAAAACATTTAAGGGTTACACAGTTCATCAGTCTTCACATTAGATTCTTAAAAGAAAAAAATATGCCGTAGTAGAGTGGGTACTGAAATTAACAGCAAAGCAAAACTTCACAGTATAGATTTTACCTGATTTGGGAGGATTTGTTTGTTTGTTTGCTTGCTTGTTTTTGTTTTGGGTTTTGTTTTTTTTTTAAACGTGCTTCTCACAAGAAATTGTGCAATAAAAAATACTGTCAAGATTCTCTAACCAAGAAAATGTCATTACACAGAAAAACTACAAGTACCTCTTCCAAAGTTGTGTCAGAAATGCCATAGCCAGTCACATGTAGATGCTGAAGGTTTTGATCTAAATCTTGGAAAAGACCTTTAAAAGAGGTCTTATCTGCCCTTTCTGGGATCACATAGGTCAGCTCAGTTCCACTGTTATCTTTCAAGAAGGCTTCTGGAATGTGGGTCTGTACCAGAGAAGTGACCTGAACAATGTGCTTAGGGTCCTGGATTTCAAACACAGAGGGCTATGAAGAAAGAAAGATAATCATGCAGAAAAAATGAAATATTACCAGAAGTATTGGTCTTACTATTAGAATGCATGCAGGAAAAATTCCACTGATGAAACTGCATCACAGCTGGGATACAGAAACTACCTCCCAGGAATAAAGGACAGTGAGACAAGCCCATTTTCAGCTAAATACTGACACTCACCATTTTCAAATATGTCATTTTGTTCATCTAAATAGCAATAATAATACCACCCACCCAGAACAACCAAGGAAGCTGATAAAAACCTGTTTTGTGGTTCTCCAATAATCATATTACTAAACATATTACTCCCTGGCAGGAACATACATCTCCCTTAAAATGTACTTGGCCGGCACTCTCCAGTTCAGTACCGTACATTTTTAACTTACCTTTTTTATGAGTGTTAGACTGTGTCCCTGGCCATATGTCTCCCTCAGATAAGAGGGAGAGCCACAGCACCTCAGCTGGCCATGCTGCAGGATGGCAATGCGATCACTGAGCACCTCGGCCTCATCAAGATGGTGAGTGGTAAAAATCAGGGTACAACCTGCACAACAAAGATTGGTACATGTCTACAAAACCTGGCTTCTAGAGAAATCCCTCACAAGGGTCCTTTAGCCCTAGGCAAACATATTTTCAGGACTCTTCTAAATCTTAACTACAGGATGCAAACAAAATATGCTGTCAGAACTATGAATTGAGTTAGATTCAATTCTAAACTTACTTTGCCCTGTTTTATACAAAGCAAACATTATTAAGGCTTTAGAACCTCTAGTTTTAAAAGCTTAAGAAACTCCTTAAAATTGCATAACAGCAGTGTCTCTTCCAATGGATCGCTCAATGTGAGTTATTACAGCTAATTGAATGCTCACTAGCTGAAGAGTTTGCTTCCCACAATCAATTTTAAAATTAGCGTAGCAGACTGACAATGAATATATTTTAATTAGAAGTATATAAGCACCTATATACAGGTATATGCAAAATAGGAAATGGAAACCAGAAAGTAATTTTGATAAGCTGAAGAAAGGTGACAAACTTCAGGATAGGGCTTAGGACTAAGCTCAGTCTTTTTTAAGATTGGACATCTTTCTGTGCAATAGCAGATAATTCTTGTAATACCATTTGACTTGCCTTAAAGTTACCAAGATCAACTTAATGTTTCCTCAGAAATTAATGTATTTAGCTTCTGAGAAAATAAGAAAATGATGTGCATAAACTTTGTACCAGCTTTGTACTTCAGAAGAACATCCCAGATACTACGGCGAGAGCATGGATCTACTCCACTGGTGGGCTCGTCCAGAACAACTGTCTTTGAGTTTCCAATGAAGGAGATGGCAATTGACAGCCTCCTTTTCATTCCCCCAGAAAGGGCTCCAACAGGTTTGTACTGATGTTGGGATAAATCTACATCTTCCAGAGCTCTGAAATAGGAATACAGAAGCAGGACCAATTTTGAAAATGCTTTTCTAGTCACATTCTGTCCACTCAGAGAACAAGTACTGAAAAGTCATTGTAAATGGAAAGCAATAAAATCACTACCTCTGTCTGATTATATACTTTCATAACAAAAACAAATAGGAAAAAAAATATCTACTACAAAGCATAAATGCTTATCATCCTCAGATGCACAGATTTTAAATAATATTGTAAAGGAAAATTTTAAATTAAAGATAATAAAATTAATACTATTTTTTCCAACAACTTCAGCAAATTACAGATTATAGTCCCTTTAAATAATTATAAAGACTGCTAGTTTTGTGAAATAAAATGATAAGAGATCCCTGGGTAGAATAATACTATCTAATCAAATCTAATCTAATTAAAATCTAATCTAATTCCTATGTTAAGGACTGGGAGATATCTTACAGATGTTTCCAATTTGGCCCTTGCTCTTGCAAGATGCTGATCTTGCATCTGAGCATGGAAATGGTATGGAAACATGATTAATAAAGGCAACACTATAGGCCTTTAACGTATTTTTCATCACACTGAGCATACAGTCACTGACCTAAGAGCCTTCTATCAGCTTGGCAAGCAAGACATAGAAGGCTTAACAGTCCTAAGCTAAACTCCTGAATCATTTCAGTGAATATGCAGTCTGAGTGAATAAATGATGCCATTTATCCTGAGAGAATTTCAAATTTTCAAAAAAACACATTTCAATGTTCTGTAGATATATAATGAGAAAAATTATTCTTAATCTCTTCAGAAACCTGCTTTTTTAGTTAATAAAAAGCTTTTGCTTAATTCTTTTGTTGCTTTTCTAATTTCTCTGAAGTCTTTTAAAGCATTTGTTGCCTTTAAAAATCATTTTTCTTAGTAGCAAGGCCTGCAGAGTTTTGAGTGTTCTCCTGTGCCATTAGCATGACAGACTGCTGCTAGAATTACAATTCAGCAGTCTAAGTACATTAAGATACAGAATATTATTTCACATCAATTTTAAACCATTTAGTAAGTTTGTTTTTTCTCTGTAGTTCTTGAGAATTCCTGCTGTTGTTTCTGGAGAGACTATGGTGTCCACATCTGAGTTTGTTCAGATTGAAATTTAAAAGTAACAGGCTTTTATGATTGCTCTCAAAAAGGAAAGCCACTTTGCCAGAAATGCCTCTGGATATGCCTGATTGTACACTTAAGGAGAAGTCCCATCAACCTGACATTTGTTTCCATTGAAGCATGGAAATGCCCAGCCCTTCACAGAGTCTAGCATGAATCAGAAGGTAAATGCAAACTCTTCAGACAGCCACACTGTTTGAAAAGCACACCTTTTATTTCTGAAGTAGAATAAATGCAGTTTGCTATTAATGCACCAGATCTCAGCTTGTACAGTTTACTAGTTAGTTTAATATACACCAGGAAAAATTAAGATCTAGTCCTGCATTGAAGAAGTATCAGCAAAAAAACACTAGCAATTGTTTAGAACCTGACAAGTGGCAAATACTCTCAGTTCATGTCAGAGCTCTGGCTTATTTTTGCTATTGCATTTTTCATTTTTAACCCTATCATTTATTAAAAATATTTCAAGGCTGGATTTGGCAAAGGAAAATGAGGTGGCTTTAAAAATATTGTAGCAATCACTGCCTTTACCTGGATTTTCTGGTTTTCTAAACTTCCTTCTGTTGCAGGTGAAGGAATACAGGACAATAAATATATAAAGTCATTTTGTTTATTTACTTAAAAACTTGGGGCAAGCACAGCAGTTTTCTTTCTATCTGCTTCTCCATCAAGGATAGAGGTGAGGCAGACAGCATGAGGTGGAACCCCTGCAACTTTTACAAGGCTAACCACCTCCTCTCCAGTGAAAACATCATTATTTGATGGTTCAGTATACCAGGTTTTTAAACATTGACAGCTCCTTCAACAAGTATATTCGAGTAATAGTTAGACACTAGGAAATCTATTTTCAAGTCATGATTTCAGAATATGAAATGTGACAAAAACTCACAAAACCCTGCAGTTTCCATTGTTTTTTTCTTGTAAGTTTTGCATTTTCTCTTTTTTATTTGGGTGGCTTGCAACAGTCATTACCATTTTACTTGAGAGTTTTCAAGAAACGGAAGGAAAACTCACCCACTGACTTGCTCATCCAACTGTTCCTTTGTCCACCCTGGTGCCTTCACTGACCCATAAAGCAGGAGATGCTCTCGTACCGTCAGCGTGTTGAACAGGACATCGTACTGGGGACAGACACCCAGCTCTGTCCTGATGGCAGCCAGCTCAGTCCGGATGTCCTTCCCATCAACAATAATGGTACCAGAGCTTGGTGGATACACACCAGTCAACAGGGATCTGATATAAGAAAAGAAAAAAAAAAATCAGCAAGATAACCTGCAATTAGCTCATCACTTAGATATCCTGAGGCATGTTTTAACATCCTTAGAGTAACACCAATTCAGTCGAGTATAGTTATAGAAGTATCACTAATGTTTTGGGTTTGGGCTTAGCTGCTTTTTAGTTTTGGTGGCTTTTTGGGTTTGGCTTTTCTTTTTGGTTGGTTGGTTGGTTTGTTGATGGGTTTTTTGTTTTGTTTTTTTGTACATGATCTCAAGAGTTCCTAACTTCTCCTCCTCCAGAGACAAATCTTTTTTTTCTTCCCAAGCAAATCTAACAAGTGGTTGTTTCCTTCTTCACATGGGTATTCTGTAGGTCCCACCCCGCTTCACTGGATTAATGAAAGCTGATTATAGCTAACAGAAAGGTAGAAACAAACTTCTTAGTTGAGACATTTCGAAAGTTAATTTTTCATTTCATTACTTTCATTTCTGGTCAACTGCCAAGAAAGAAGTCCTCTGCAAATTCTAGGGACAAAAACACCATAAAACTTCATGCTCTCTATGTGATAGGTTGCCAAAAAAGAACACTCCAAGATGTGTTCAACTCCACAACCAGACATGCCCAAGTCCTACTTAAGGTGTTCCTGAGATATCACATCATGGTTTAAGTGGCACAGAGGACTCAGTTCTCTACTCATTACATTCCTTTCATCATAGATATAAAACCTCCACTTTCCATGAGCTTTGAGCAGTTTATCAAATATTTATCTGGGGGGGGGGGGGGGGGAAAGCATAGCAAATAGTTCACAGAATTTTAAACTGAAAAAGCATAGCAGAGATCAGAGGGGACAGTAACAGCATTAAAAGTCAGGCTTACATAACCGTTGTCTTTCCAGCTCCATTAGGTCCCAGGAGTGCAGTTATCTGGCCCTTATGGAAAGTGAGGTTGAGATCTTTGACAGCCGCCTTCTGACCATCCAAGTGCTCTTTGGTGAGGGACAGCAGCACAACACCGATGGTGGCTCCTTCAGTGCAAGGGACTTTCCAGCCCTGAGGTGCTGGGTCTGTGTGGGGAAAAGTAGCAGAACAAGCAGGTTGCTGAATCTAAGCATGCATTTGTGCATAAAAGGAATAAAAAAATAACTTAATTTCTCCTACCATTTACAAAAGCCTAGAACAGATGTTCAAATTGACTGAACTGACATAAACTACACTGAAATTAAACTTATCACACCAACTAATGTTTGCTAAGAATTTGGCCCATTTGTTATGCCAAGTAATGTGCATGTCTACATATGTCTTGATAAAGTCATAAAATAGGCACTATATTTTATTCCTAGTAAAAGAAATACTTATAAACATTACTTGAATCATTTTTTATGCCCTTAAGCATTAGAAAATTCTACCTGCATAAGCTACTTCATATATGTCATCCAGTTTCAGGCACACAATATTGACATAATATTCACAGGCACAGGCAGTTAATCTTCTCAATTCCCCTCAGTCAACTAAACAAAGCAGATCTCTGAAACAATTCAGAGCAGCAGCCTAGTCCAAGTGTAATTCAAAGTGCTCAAGGCAAGCAGATATCCAGCAGCTTTCTAGCTGTGAGGTAACATCCTCAGGAAACTGAGATGCCATATGACACCAATGAAGTTGCCTTCCTTTCCATGTCAGGTTTGCACTACTTTCCAAACACAAGCACAGTCAACTAGCAGCCCCATTACATTATTCATGTTTACTATTTTATTGACTCATTACTACTTAGAGATCTGGAAGTGAGTTGGTTTATTTTATTTCTAAGCAAAGGCAAGCCAGACTGGAATGTTAGTCCAAAGTAACAAACTTTTATGCCTGAGAATTATGAGAAGAGAGAACTATCTTTATGAATAAACATATATATAAGATATTTATGGCTTATATTTATATTCTTTGCAATACTTTTATGTAAATAAAATGCAAGCATTACAAGAACAGAGAACTATCCTATACATAAGGTGCTTGAATCGGATAAATCAAATTATAAATTAAAAATACATAATTATTTCAAAGATTGGTTTGTTTACACTGTGAATGAAGAAGTTGTTTTGCCGCTTTCACACTCCATTTTAAGCTTCTGACAAAAATTCTTTCTAAACTTGAGGTCACTTGCTAGCAAGGTACTACCAGCAGTTGTGACATTGCTGAGATCTCCTACCCATGCACCTCTCTTCCAGGTACCTTTCTGCTGTTTCCTAGATTTGCATTCTTTAAATTAACAAAAAACCATTCAAGTGCAGAGGGGCCTCAGACAATGTAGCTCAGGAAAGACACAGACGGAGAGCTCCAAGTTCTTTGCAAGCACTAAATTGATTACCCTGGGAGTTCTCCAAAGGGGAGCTCCAAGTGGGTATGCAGCACCCTGGTTACTGCCAGCCCTGCTGTAGTTCCAGTTCCAGCTGGCAGGACCTGTGCTCCCAGCTCTTCCCTCACACACCTCTGATTTCCTAAATGTTCCCTCTGGGACCAGCCCTTAGCTGGGCTGTATGGAACAAGTGAAGAAATTGCCTAGAAGAAAGTCACTTTGCTGTTCCTAGAAAATTCTTCATGGCTGCTTTTATTTCATTGTCAGTACAATGACACACAATTCTTTTAAAGGACAGCAAGCTCCTTTGCTGCAGAGAGTTTTAGCATTCACACACAATTTGCTATCAACCACATGACATGAGGAAATCACTTAAAGAATTTGAGCCAGAAACCACACTAAAACTGGTCAGGCAGAGAAGTCTGTTTTCTGCAAATTATGTGGCGTACCCAGAAGGAAACTCTGGAAATCCTCATTTTATGTAAGGACCAAACACAATTGTCTTAACAAAATGAAGTTGTTCCAAATTGCAGAAATTCAGACAAAACTAATACAAAAAGTTTTTCCACAAGGGTTTAAAATGAACTTCAAGACATTTTGAAGCCTGCTCCAATCTAGGAGACACCTGAGCAACTGCTGAGTTGTTCAGCTTCTTCACTTATGCTACAGACAGCTGGATCATTTCTAAGATATTGTAAGTCCCAAAAAAGCACAACAACCCATCATGTTGTTCTAAGGCCCAAGCTGGAATACAGGTGAGAGTAACTTACTCCTTCATTTCCAAAACATAAACTAAATGTGGGAACATCCTTAAAGGGACTGGGGAGGGGGGGAAAAGGTAAAAAATCTGAATTAATTGTAAGCAAGTGAACATACATAGAAGAGCAGTGAAATTGGAGGCCAATAAAAAATTAGTTACAATAAGAGCTTTCTAGACAAAAGGCTAAGAAGCAGAGACAGAAAGAACAGTGATTATCAAAGAGGAAGATTAGAAAAAGAAGGGAAAGAAATGAACAAAGTTCATTTTTCCACTGAAACAAGAAGGAAATTTTTAAAAAGTTAATAAAGACCAACATGTTTCAGATTCAGTAAGAGTATGAAAGGGTTCAGTGAATTCCAAAAGATCCAAACAAAGCAAAGGGGCAGTACACTGGGACAGGATGACCCAAGAGATACTTATTTTACATCTTTCAAAGAGTTTTCTTAAATATTTCTGTATAATAATTTTCACAGAATGAATCAATCATTCAGGAGGTAGCAAAATGTAACAGTTACAATATAATAGTCATAGTATATACTACATAATGAAAGAGAAAAAGAGATAAGATGTAAATATATAATACAGGACCAAGCAATGATAAAAGCAGATTGACTATGACTAGCACACCATTCAGAAAAAAAACCCATTGCTCAAATTCTATTACTACAAACCTTTTTCTTGGAAGTTTTCATTGAAGAAAAACATGTTAGAATTCAGATAATGTCTCTTGCTTCTCTCTGTACCACACAGGTTCTTCCAGTAGGAAACAGTAAAGGGAAAATACCACTGGTTCTTCAATCCAAATCTTCCTATGTTAGAATTGTGATATAAACTGTTGAAAAACTTATAGTCATTTTGCATCTTTTTGTAGACTATAAATGTCCTATTATTGCTTACAATGAGTTGGTTAAACCATTTAATTAGCCCAAATATTTTTTCTATTTAAAAATGTTAATAAAGCGCAAAAAAAAAAAAAAAAAAGTTATTTGGCCATAAAACCAGGTCCTTCCATAAAATAATCAAGCCTCAGTGATGCTTTACCCTGTTTCCAAATCAGCTTCAAAGCGTAACAGAATCATAGACCTAACATAATCTTGTAACCCATAGGGAAGAAAATGCACCAAATAGCCTACCAAGTGAAAGAGTCTATATTTTTTATTATAAAAATTGTCCATTGCACCACTTCTTCCATTAATATCTGCAAAATGCAAACAAACCAGCCACCAAAAGAAACACTAATTGGGGCACACACACAAAAAGGGCAAAAACGCAGTTCTGTATATAAACTAACCTTTGGCAGTGCCTGATCTTTTCAGACATTACTTACCCATCACACAGTACACACTCTCTCTGTTTGGAGTGTCATTATGTTGACACTGAAGGTCAAGTGTCAATTGAAGATGAAGTTTTTTTAATTCAGTTGCACATTTCACCCACCTCTATCTTTCAAGGCAAAATAAAATTTAATTTAATAAAGAAAGAAATACAAAGTAGCCAGAAGAAAAAGCCACATAAGCAAGTCAGAGGAAAGGTAAATCATCAGAGGAAAGGTAAAACACACACTGAGGCATGAGGCCATGATTAAAAATACATCAACCAACTCAATAAGACTTATAAAACTTGGTTCATGAAAAAATTTAAATAAACACACCACTACTTTCTGAAGATATACTTGAAAACCAATTTGTTTTCTCGATACACTGGACTGTGGACTGATTGGGAACAAGATACAGTTACTGTGCTGTCTGAAGTTTTTTTGATCCCAAAACATGCTGTTGTTCATGGATTTTAGCCCAGGTACTGACAGGAGATTCACCACTTTTCCAGGAAGTTTTGCTTCTAGACTAAGCTCTTTTACTGTGATGATCCAATAAATTCCTAATTCTACCAAATATTTGGCATACCCATCAGCAAACAAAAGATATTTCATGCCTGGCTACAAATTCTAGTCCATGAGTTAGCACTAGTTGGTATTTATGTATTTAGGAAGATGTTGCTTCCCAGTCCCTAAAGAAAGTCAGACAGTTTTGCACAACAGAACCATAACTCAGAAAAATACATATTTTTGTTTTATTTGCATAAAGCCAAGACAATGCCACAATAAGTGCTTCCTATGGTGACTGAATGTTTACATTGTGAAGATATGAATGGATGAATAATATTAAATAATTTCTTCAAAAACATGAGATAAGAACAAGCCTATGATCTTACCAGGAATAATATTGCTGAAATACCAGCCACCTACAAAATATAAAATGGAGTCAAAGAACATCATCCAGCACATCCATCCAAAGGTCATGTATCCTCCTTGTGCCGTTGACTGGTGCAGATTATCCCACTGAATTCCTGGTAGTAATAATAATGATTTTTTTAAAGGTCAAAGCTAGATCAGCACAGCATTAAAGATCACAACACATCAACACCACACACTTCTGGGCATTTAAGCACTGGCACAAGACAAACTATAGCTAATAACAGTAATCCTAATGAACAGAAAAAAAATTCTATGCCTCTACAAGCCTGTGTTTAGAACAGCAGGTGACACTGCTGCTGGGAAAATGTAGGGAAGATGTTTTAGAAAGGGTTGTTTATGAAGTTTTAGCTGGCCCTTAATTTGGCAAAAGAAAAAGAACTACAACACTGACAAAATGAATCGGGCTTTAAGCCACTCTGCTATTATAAAGAAAAGGATTACACAAAGTTTAATGTCATTTCTATTATGCTAAATCTGAAGATTTAAATCTGTGAATTCTAACTAAGAAGCATTGTGTACATTGACTGCATTTAGAGGTAAACATGAATGAACTCACTGAATAATTGCTTAGTAAAATTATTACATTGCAGGAGACACGAAAGGAAAAAAGAAGGTGCAAACACTAGTGCTACAGAAAGGTACCATACTGCTAAAAGGAAAACAAAAGTAACAAAGTTGTAAATTTATTAATAATATTGCATTTTTTAAACTGAACATGCCACTTGGTTTGCAGTACAGTGGATCATGATATTGCTTCTACAATTCTTTTTCCACAATTGCCAAGGAAAGCAGTTTCTCCCAAAACACATTTTGCCCTTCCTTCAGTAAAATGAGTCATTTTGATGAAGTGTCTGGTGGGAAATTTAAGCAATATAGTCTGCAATTTTCTCTTCCACTCTTACAAACTGTTGTACCATTATGACACGTTTTCAATAGTTTGAAATATTCACTGTCATGAATATTGTTCTTGCCATAACAGTAAAAAAAATTATTACATCCATTATATCTGAACTTGATCCAGCTTATTAATTTATTAGAGATTTTTCAGAACAGACTGGAAAACATTTCCAACTGTAGTTTTTCAAATAATAATTACAAAGCTTTTCTCCTAACCAAAGACCTTACCTATTTCTTGGCCCTCAAAATATGTAATGAAAAATATTCCTTGCCCAAAGGCGGTTGTAGAAAGGAGACACTACAACATCAGAGGAGAAAAAGCATGTGAACATCAAATAAAAACACACTGTTAACAAGTTCCATGAAATAAAATATATTGTGATACTAAAACCAAGCACAAACTATATAGACCTTTTTTTTTTCCTCCACGTAGGCTAATGGTTGCTATTTCATTTTATGTTTTAACCATACTCCCCCACAAACCTTGGCAGTATTTGCTCCACCTAACAGAGCTCCCCTGACCTAGTTACTAATACAGGAAAGTGTTATTTTATCTGACCAACTGACACTGAAAAAACAAGCATTTTTTAACAGTGTATGTATTATTCCACCAGCCTAATTTACTGAGTTTTTTTGAAATAGTGAAGCCATAATGTGTGAAATATGTTTTCTTTATATAATGGTGATACTTGATGTCACATTCAGGGATATGGTATTTTAGCACAGTACACAGACATAAAACAGGCTATGGAATACATAGAACAGGAAAGGACCTGAAAGAACCTACACCAAAGAAGCACACACCTCAGATTATATGGCTGGACAAATTTCTGTTCTATTCTCCAATTATATTAACAGAAAATCAATCACTAGTTTTTTTTCCAAATAAATAATGACTTTGAAAAGTGGCATGTCATCACCTGATCTTGAAAATAATGTTACAAATATTTTGAGGTCAAGACATTAAGAGAACTCATGAGTATGAGGAATGCAACTTCCTGATATTTTCTGTAGATTTACAAAATTACCCTGGCACATTATTTTTCATTCCTTTCTATCTCTAAATATTTTCTTAGTTGAAGATTTATTAGTGTGATTTATTTCCAATAGTACAAAAGCCAACACAAGAAAAAATAAATACATTATGGTCTGAAGTTTTGAAACTATAGAAATTCACAGCATAGTTGGAGGAGGAAAATTACAAAAGAAGAAGTATTTACCATTATAATCTGGTTGGTGAAACTCAGCTGGTTCTGCAAGACCAACAAAACTATGTAGGGTAAAAAGCTGATCATATAGACAAGGCTGGCACACAGAGCTGCTGTATCGGCACTGCTGAAAAACGCTCCCAAAAAGTAGCTTAACATGATGACTGTAACTCCAAATTCCAGGAGAAAAAGGAAGATAAGGAAACCATTGCTATATGCAAAGATACCACTTGCTTTTAAAATGATGGCCAGAGCACAGCTGCTTACTGTGAGCACAATGACATTCTCCAAAAACCAAGCAAAGAAATGAATGGCTGGATACACACCCATTGTCTTCATATACTGCAAAACAACAGAGCAGAGAGTTAAAGACAGGAAACAAACTTGATTTTCCTTTTTCTTTTTTAAACAAAACATTTTTGTCACCGAGACACTACCAGCTTCCCAAAGGATGCCATCTTCCCCTTAAATTTCTTGTTTCTTTGCCCTTGTGCTGTGCTCTCTCCTGGATCAGACTGATTGAACAGGGCGGTCTCTGAGATCATCACACATGAGCACAAGGAATCACCATGCTCTGCAAAACTCTCTTTTGCGTAGGGTTTCAAAAGCAGAGGTCAGATTACTGGTTCTTCCAGCTAGGATTTTGCCTTTTCATACTCTAAAAAGTACTGAGAATATACCACAGCAATATACGTACAAATATTTTTTTCTGAGCCTGTTGCTCTTCTGAAAGAGGCATACAGTTTATAACCTTTATGTATTACCAGGCAAATAATAATTTAGCCAGATATGAAGTACATCCCTCTTTTTCTAAACATATGCTTTTGGATACAAGCTAATAAACCTTTGAAGCAGTTCTCATAAAATCATCAAAATTAATATTAAGTTGATTTAATATTTTGGAGCATTAAAAAAGCTTACCTTACAACAGAAAGATTAGAGAAATTAGATAATTCCTTAATAATTCCGCAAATTAAAATTTTTACTCAAGCAGTAATTCTGCTGATACAGTGAAATTAGTGTAATTCATTAAAAAAGTGTATTTATCCCTATAGAAAATGCATCACAAGGACCCTGTCCTTCCAAATGCTTAGCACCTGTAAAGACTGGCTGTTAATAGAAGCAAATAATTGTCTCTTTTTTCTTTTGGTATGCAATTTCCCTTTTATTTCTGATAATTACACAGTTTATAATAAATTCTTACCTTATTTTAGGTAGTTTTATCATTACAGACTACATAGAGCAAAATATGAAAAATAATCCAAAACAAAAATCATTCTAATCACACGGCCTTTCCAAATAACACTTTCCAGCTTCAACTTTTGCTTGTTGCTTTTTGTCTCACAGACAATATTTGCATACTTTTGCTCAAATAATGTTTTGAAACCAAGTTGGCAGCTAGAACTAGGGCTTACTGCCCAGAGGAAACAAGTGAAAACAAAGCCATCTGGATTACGAGTACTTAAAAGTACTTCACAACTTTTGTATTTCAGTGCACCTAAATAAATAAATTTTCTTTTCAGAGGTTAATCTACCTCTTACCTCTTCTAGATGAATTTCTCTTTCATAAACCAGCTTGCGAACCATACCAGCAACTGAAACCATCCATGTTAACATCATCATGAGTGGGAAAAAAAACCCTATGTTGTTCAAGAATCTATGAAAGAACAAATATGAGGAGTTGTCAGCCCACAAAGGTAAACTATTTTCTGCAGAATGTTAATAGGTTAATACTGGAACTGTTCTCAAAATAAGATCTAACATGAACAATGATATTTATTCCTGATCTGGTTAGAATTATTTATTTTTTATGTAACAAGCTAAATGTATGTACTGGTACAATATTATTATACTAATTTTATATATTATAATATTTTAAACCATAGAGCTGATATAATTACTCTTTGGGGCTCCATTCAAAATCAAACAAAATTCAGATTTGTGTTGATGGCAAGTAATATATTTGGACAACAAGGAATAATATGACCCAGTCAATTTTCACTCCACTTTAACAAATTTATTACCATTGACTAATGTTAAAACCTAATAGTTGGGATGTTTTGATGGTTTTACAGAGAACAACCCTACACTTTTATTTCAACAACTTCACCCTTCAAGGGACCAATTTACAGTTTGTGTTCAGGACAACTAAGGATTTTAAAAGGGATCTCTTACAATAATTTAAGGTAATTGCGCACTATGTTGACACAGCCTCTGTCCAGCAGACTACTCCACATTATGGCTGCAAACATTTTGTAGGGGATCATTTGCCAGACCAACATTGTATAACATGTTATGTTAAACACAGCTGTTGGGCAATATTTGCTCTGCTGTAATACATCTGGTATTGGATGTACTTGTTTAAGCCTGTGTAGAGATACACATTCACTCACTGAAAAGTGGGAATGTAGTAGGACCCCAAGTTCTTTAGTACTAATCTAACAAGGAAAATACATCAAATTAAAAAGCTGAAATTTTACTTACAGATCACTGGTATGACAAGGGTAAGGCATGGCTTGCACCTGAATTGCTGTTTCTGAGGTGTCTGTCCCAGTCTGTGCTGAAATAATTGCCCTTTCAATCATATCTTGCAGAGGAATAAAGACATGGTTGTATTTAAACCCATCAGCTGGCAACTTGTGGGGGTGGGATTTCCATGTTGGATTTTTAATCAAATCTGTTCTCATGCTGTAGAGAACACTGGTTCTAATTGTATATGAAATGCGTCTTGGAAGGAGATTGCTGGAATCTTGCTTCTTGTCCTCTGGTGTACTGAAGAGGATACCTGACATAAGAAAGGAAGCTTCATAACTAAGCTCATATAATTTATGCTATTTCCATAGCTAACTCATGGCTAATTACCACATGATATAGGATGCATTAATCTGTCAGGGCAGGCCTCCAAACTTTCTTGATCCCAAGCCCAAAAATGGCAGGTTTCAGAGACACATTTTTCACATTCATGAATATGAAATGTAAGATGATTCACATGATAAATGGGTTCATAAAAATAATTTTTATCTGAGGTGATTTGTCTTTTTTTGAGCTACAGTTTTCGCTTTGCATCCACATTTAGTCTTTTTTGGGGGACTGATATCAGTTCCACAGTAAAAGCAGCAGCCATAAAATTTGTGCATCAAAGCATCAACAGCTTTCATAAGTAGGTGACAAAGTAAACAGCACCAACCCACTAAAATATATTCTGATATTAATCTTTAAGTCAATTGCAGAAGTTCTAGTTTAGCACAGCAGAATTTGCATATTTGTTTTCTCTAGCTCTCTATAAAGGAAAAGAAAGCCCAACCAAACAGAGGAAAGCTTAACATGTAGCTGTAAAGATGAAGCCAAATACATGAAACTGCTTGTGTTCTCTTTTTGTGTGATCCAGACCTTTTAGGACTTCCAGATAAATTCTAAGTGTTGCCCCTTTCTTCTCTGGGAAAAGGGAGAGATAGCTTACCTACCAGCTGGTTCTCTGAAAGATAATAAAATACAGAATACTTTACTCTAAACCCGATTTCTTTCAACTGGCCAATATCATTTTTCCATTTACACAAACAGTTGATTTTCTAAGAAATTCCATGAAGCTATGAAGGCTCTGAAGACCACAAAAAAAAAAAAAAAAAAAAAAAAAAAGAAAGGAAAATTCTATTCCAGTTTAATGTCTTTCTATGGAAAGGAATGTATGCCTACATCAGAGGATGTAACATTGACATGTTGGACACATTATATTCCTTAGAACACCATCTCCTAATAATGTGAGGAGATAATTAGGCCAGAGAACTGAAAAATACTCACACAAAATGTCTTTACTTATATTACTATATGATCCTTCCCTAGGTAAGTGGAACAAAAATGAAACTATAATTTGGTAATTCAGTTTTCTGAGGGCCAAGACTTATCTGTCCATTTCTTTCCTTAAAGAGACAAACAGTTTGCCTTCTCTGAAGTACTTCTGAGCAATTCTCCTTGTCTCAAGGTATAGCCTGTTTGTTTCATATTGATAGAGGGTGGCAATTGCCAGGGTACTGTAGATCACAAAACAAGCATGAGATTCCAGACTGAACAGTTTCCTTCTTTACAAGTGCTTTCTCATGTCTTCTGTTGTACACTTACAGGCATAAGGGGGACAAAACACCCCAAAAAAGATAGTGGGAAAATGTTGTGGAACACTTTTTATAGACTTAAAGGAGCCTCTCTTTTGGAAACACTACCTGCAATCAACAGCATTTTCTGCAAGACAAGTGCATATGTTAAGGGAAAATATTCTTGACTTTTAAAATCTTTTGTAAAATTAATTGATTCTCAGCAACAAGCATATAATGCAGGAAAAAGAGAAAAAGTGTAATCCCAAGGAAGGAAATAAATACCTTAAGAACTCATTTACTCTAAATAAACAAACTAATTTGTCTGAGGGGTTGGTTTAAGAGTAAATCTTAACAAATGCCCTTTCTTTCCTCCTTTTTGAAAAGTCCAGAATATAAAGAACAAATTTTGAAAGGATGTAAGCAAGATGACCTTGTCATCTTGTTAAGCTTCCTCAGTATTCCACATTTTTTATCTTTTTCTTCTTTATATATTTACGACCATTCTTTTAAACATTTTGACAGAAATAAGAGACTCCAAGGATTCATTCATTCAGCCATTCCACAGTTAAAACAGTATAATTAGTCTTTCCAGCTTACATTACAGCATTTAAATGTGCTTTATGTTGACTGTATTATATGTGATTTAATGCACGCTTTGAAACTGTGTAACCTTTACCTACCTTATCAATAAACAGACAACAAATACAAAGTCTGAGATTTTCTGTAAAAATACATTTTACATAAGGTACTTACTAGCCAAAAGATTATTTTCCTGGATGAGTTCATGAGCCTTCTCCTCCAATTTCTCTATAGAGTCAAAAGGCTGGAAACGGTCCAGTAACACACAGGAAGAGATATTTACAACAAGCCGTGTCAACAGGTCAATCTGTTTACTTGCTGAGCTGTTAAGCATCTTGTTCGTCATAGTTTCTAAGATAAGGAAAAAAATAGGACTTGCTTAATTTTAATAATCAGAACAGAAAGGTATGTTATCACTTGCACATCCTATGAGACTAAATCCTCACTGTATTAAAAAAAAAAAAAAAAAAAAAGTAGCTTAAAAGACACAGAAATTTTAGTTTGAACTTGTGGAAGTGCAGTTCATGTTTCAGTGTCTTTTACAAGCCCTCATCTGTTCTTTCCTTCAATTTCAGAGGAATAAAAATGTAACAAATTCTAGCAGAGTTACAGAAAGAGTCCACACCCTTGAACCTTTTCTTATGTTTCTATAACTACTCCCACAAATACAAGGGAATTACTGTACTTCAGATATCATAAGATATATTAATCTGTCATTTAGCAACATATCAACCAGTTCTTTTCTCCTTGATACTGTGAATATTTCAAGAATCATGTTAAATAGAGCATAAGCATTTTGACAGGAGTCCTACATTTAAAAGAATCTGAAAAAGTCTAATAATCTCTTCATTTTTACTTTATCTATGGATCCAGGAGGAACATATACTTCAATCAAAACCTGGTTTCTAAAAAAACTCAACCTTTGGAGGAATTCAAATCTTCATCCATTGGTAGGGAATGTAGGGAAAATGCTATATCCTTATGTTTGAAAGAATAATCAGAAGGACAGCATGCTATCTGGATAGAAACATGCTATCTGGATTTAATAAAAACACCTGAATTTCTCAGGTAATAAACAATGCTATAAAACATTCCACACAATTTTCCATCTTAAATTTTTCAACACTCACTTGAAGATATAATCTTTAAAAAAGGATAGGTGATGACCTCCTATGATAAGAGTGGTGACAGACAAATCCTGGATCACAGACATTACTCAGCATAAGCACAGGAAATATTACAATAGGAAGGCAGATAAGTGGAAAATGTTTGAAGCAGTCTGAAGAAGAAGCATGATTAACAGTGAGAAGGGTAAAGTGCACAAGGAGAAAAAGCAGAAGAACTGACAGTCTAGAATTCAAAAGATAGGCAAACAATGACAGGGTGAATTCATAGGTTGAGAAAACCATAACAGAAGAAGAGAGATAATAAAGAAGAGAGATAATAAATGTCTTATTTATGGCTATCCTTGAAGATGACAATAAAGGAAATACCCATGATGCCCCCTTTTTTCACAGCATTAGAGAGAAGAGAATATTCCTAACATTAAGCCTGGATGGCAGGTTTTTCGTATACATTTTTATATATGTGTATGTAATTATACATAGCCCTATATGCAGTATTCTGTATGAAGACAGGCTGAGGGGGTTTGTGTTGTTCAACGTGAAGGAAAGTTCCAGACAGAACTTATACCACCTTCCAGATCTTATTGTGGCCTGAAGGGGGCCAACAAAAAGGCTGGGGACAGACTTTTTACAAGGGCATATACCGGTGGGACATGAGGAAATGGCTTTAAACTGTAAGAGAGCAGATTTAGATTGGAACAGGTTGCCCAGAGGAGCTGTGAATGCCCCAAGCCTGGAAGTGCTCAAGGCAAGGCTGGATGGGGCTCTGAGCAACCTGGTCTAGCATAAGGTGGCCCCGTGGCAAAAGGATTAGAATCATATCATCCTTAAGGTCCCCAAAGCATTCTGTCACTGAGTGATAGATACACACACAAGACCTTAATTTGAAATCAATACTTAGCTAAGAAAAGCTTCTCTCATGAGTTAAATTGTTGATTATTTTAGCATAAAAAATAACATCTATATTGCTGTTGGCTTGGAGTGTGGTATACTAAATATTTCTGGAAAAAAAATATTGTCTTAATGGGCATGAACTTCTGTACTCCATCATAGAAACAACACATATATGAAAAAATGCAATCTACACGAATGTTTTAAAATCAAGATCTATAGAGTTGATTACCTTGTTTTTTCCCATTTATAAATGTAGCAATTATGAACGAAAAGCTTGGTAAATCAATGTTCACTATTATCTTCATATTTCATTTAAAATCACGTCAGCCCTCATCTTCCACTCAACTTGTTTAACCTATCATTAAGTAACTGGGAGGAAATACGAATGGTTTATGTAAAACCATTGGTAGAAGTGCTGTTTAAGTAAAAATAAAAAGTTGCTGGATGAATAAATTAGAATAAATCAGGAATAAATAAATATAGGTCAGAAATTAGAAGAAAGTTTCTAGGTATCAGAAGATTTGGGTAGTGGCACAGTTTTCAGTGATGGCACTACAGCTATTTGTTTCCTGCCTTATAAATACATACAAAACATTATCGTTACAATGAGGGCATCAGAGGGGTAGCACGAAGGAAAGCTCCTTGTTTTGGTATTGTTTTTTATTGTCCTGGCTGTTATACACAGTGTCACATGTAGCCCTCTGTAAGGAGAGCCCTTGATAGTGAAAGAAGAAATCACAGAAGAAGGACAAGAGAGAGACTCAGCAAGCAAGAATTTAAAAGAGGAGCTTGCAGCACAAATGCCACTCAGTGTCTTGTGAAGGTTTGTAAGGACTGTGCCCAGCAAGGAGCTCACAAGTTCTAGTGGATCTGGGTTTATACAAGATCAGTAGGAAATTATTCCAAGTTGCTGGGCTGCAAAGCAAGCATAGAGGAAAACAATTGCTTTGCCTACCCACACAGCAGCTTAGAAAGTAAAGAGATTAAAAAGAAAACCGCAAACTTTTTAGCCCTCAGCCTAAATATTTACTTGCTACACCTGAGTAAATATGACACAGTAATCTTGCTAAACAGTTTTAGAAACTGATAATTTTGTGAGGTCTTGAGGCATGATGATTTTATAGAGACATTGGAAGAGTTCTACATCTATTCACTTTGTCTATGACACTTTACAGCAGGAGAGGCACAGAAGAAACCATCACTAAGTCTGTTAACATTTTTTATATCAGTGTAGAGAAATAAAGAAAGATACAAAGACAAGCACCTTGTATTTGAGGATAATTAAAAGTCATCTGTATGAGAGTGTAGATGTGATAAAAGATATTTGCTTTAGTTAGAAGACAATCACAGAGATCAGGAGATTTTAGAAAGCTGGAGCTTTGGATGAAAATTAAAAAGATTGTGAGGGGTAAAACCATTACCATGGATATATTCAAGGCTTTAATTGGATGCAAGCAAGGTAATTACAGGACTGAACAGCTGATGCAGTATAAGATTAATGAAATTTAAAAAAAACAAACATAAGAACAGGTTTATAGTTAAGTTACACATGATTATGGTCCAATAAAACGAACAAAATGTACACGAGCTAAGATAAAAATAAGAGTGCATATAATTTTTCAAGAAGTAAAACAACAAAGTGAATCTATACAAAGAGGCATAATAAATGCAGAGGAGTGCTCTGGCGCTTTGGAGAGATCAGTTTCACAGAGCCATAAATGCTCTTGTGATCTATAGCCCCTATTGATTTCCAGTTTTTATATGATGCTAATTTTACCAACTGTATTCCCTTTAAATAAGGAAATCCTAGTCTCACAAGCCACTCAAACAACATTTTGTTTGACCATCTGAACTATTAACTGTTTATTATATATTATTAAATGTCCTTAGTTCTGTTAAAAAGCTATAGCTTGAGCAACACAGGTACAGATTTCTTTGATATCGCCTGCATCAGTGAAGATGGATCTGATAATTCCAGAGATCATGATATCTACTTAATGGACGATTGTTTGTCTATAACCCATCATGTTGTTCTCACTGTTAGGTCCACAAAAAAGAAATCCAGCTATTACTCAACTAATAAATTGAAATAGCTGTGTTTCCAGCACACCCTGAAGCTTAAGAGACTTGCTCTTTTCTCCATCCTATCTTTCCAACATTGTGATTTTGTGGGCTTGGTTTTTAGCTGTATTATGATCCATCTTCATCTCGAGGGGTAAGCTGAGCCCATCTCAAGCTAGTCAGCAGTTTCCTGGTCAAGAAAATCATCTGAAGAGAAAGTAGATTCAAATTTGAGTCCCTTGCCTAAGGAGGACACAGAGCCCAGATTCTTTCCAGTTTGAATTCCAGGCACCATTTGCCATTTTTCTTACTGAAAGAGTGCACAGGAAGTCCTCGTCTTCAAAGAAAGCCTTCAAACTAAGGCCAATTTCAACTCAATCTCACAACCTCTCTGCTAAAGAAAAGCCACACCAACTGTGACTGCACCAGCTCAGGGCAGTAGTACGTGTTAAGACTGAGAGCACACTCCATTTACAAGCTCTCAGGAGCCTCCATGGATTTTGTCCATCTCCTGCCTAGAGGCAGATTCTGAAGACCAATAAAAGTGTATTTCAGGTACATTTATTTATTTTAGTCTTAATTCTTTGACTGTAAAGCAGACTTAATGACTTACATTTCTGTAAAGTCAATTTTTTTAAATCAATGAGGGTCACAATGTTCTTCTGTGGGGGTACCTGAGAGCTCATCTCCTCCAGAAAGCAACTGGAACAGATTTCTGTTTGGCTCACAATGCTCCTAACAAGCACTGACCTGAAACCACACAGATCTCTCCTTTCTACCACAATCCTCCTCTGGGAACTACTCTGCTCCCTTTGTCCATGATGTCACACTGTCTGTTATTGCATTTTATCCCATTTTTGTCTCTTTCTGATTCTCAAAATCATGAACTTTTCTTACATGACATTGGAATCTGCTTCAGTACAGCGATTTCCTTCTGGCACATGATGATCGTACACCTACCTTACTAAAAGCTGGACACACTGAATTTTTTTCAGTTATCAAATTCTTGTAAAATCATTAAGCAACATAAATTTACAGCATAATCTTTTCTATTCTCCTACTTAAATCAGATTTCCTTCTGGCACATGCTGGCAAGCATTTTAATGATCGTACACCTACCTCACTAAAAGCTGGACACACTGAATTTTTTTCAGTTATCAAATTCTTGTAAAATCATTAAGCAACATAAATTTACAGCATAATCCTTTCTATTCTCCTACTTAAATCCTTGAATATCCCAAATTAGTCAAAATAATAATTCCCTTTCTCCATTAAGAACCATCCCCCTTGGGCTATCTCTCTGACCCTGGAGGATCTCCGTTTGACTGCCAGGGGTCACTACCAAAGCAGAGAGGGACATGCCCAGGGGGAGGCTGCCAGGCAGACCAATGGATCAGGGCCACTCCTTTCCCACCAGAGCTGCACAGAGCTGGCACTGGGCCTGGTCCTGCTCCAGGCTGCAGCTCCCACCGTTTCACACCTGGTTGTGGACCTGGGCCCACACTGCTTCCCATGGGGTGCTGTTCTGCACTCAGCATCATCCCCATCACCCCACTGGGCTATCCCAGGGCTGGGACTGACCCAGGTGGTTTCTTATTGACAGTGCAGCTCCCTGGTTATAACCCTGTCTCAGGCTTTTCTGAGGCTCAAGGACGCCCCACACAACTGATTCTGAATAAACAGAAAACATAGATACAGAGAGTTTTTGATCAAATGAGCTCTATCCAATCTCACTTTCTATTTATTTCCTTTAAAATTTACTACAAAAATATACTTCTGCCTAATGGAACTGTGGCTACAAGGTTTATATCTCCCTTCACTCCTTTTAAGTATGGATGATGTTTGAGACTCTCCCATGACACTTTTCCACTTCTGACTTGTTACCAATATTGTTTCAGTATTTGAAATTCAAATTATTCAGTCACTCAAAAGAAAACAGACAATTACATTTGAGATTAACTCAAGAGGGTAAAGTCTCTTATTATTTTACTTAAGTATCACTGAGGCAAGTAAAATATTCAATTTCAACTAAATGTAGTTCTAAGTTGAAGTCTAACAAGACTAACCATTACATGTACTTTCATATACGCACCATATGCTTGCATTTTTTTAAGAAGTTTTTCCATGTTGACATCCAAATTACTTTCTATGAAATGCTTTACAAAATTGTTTTGCAGTGCTTCCTGAAATGAAAAGTGATAGATGTTACATCAGGTTTATCTTCTCTACGAAAATACAAAATATACATATGTATTAATGTTCAATTTCATTACCAAGATTTCCTGTATGACACTGCAGAAGTTATTTAGCTTCTCTATGCCTTTCCCTCTTAACAGGTTAACACCGCACATTGCAAATAAATGGCAGGGGTGCAGGGAAGAGATTTTGGAAAGGTGACAGAGGAAGGCACAAATATGTACAATGGACAAACTCCACTAAGAAGAATGCTTCTCTTTTATAGTCCATATTTCCCTCATCAGTTTTTTTCATCAGTTTCACATCTTCCTGGCAAACATAAGCAATGAACAAACAAGTACCAGCACCATTTTATTTCCCCTGTGGTTCAGTGATACTGGAGCAATACTGGAGATAGGAAGGCAACATTTCTTTTAAGTATTTTCATGTCAGAAGTTTCTCAGCATCAGTCTCTAAGTTCATAACCTAAAGCTAATCTCCGTCTTTTTCAGCTTATTTTAAATCTGAAGTCAGATATATGGGTGGTTTTGCATGTATAGAAGAAATACTGTCTAGATCAAACAGCAAAAAGTTGGAAAATTGAAAGATCTCCCCCAGTTCACCAACCTGCAGTCGTGAGACTGTGAGGACATTTCCACTGGTTTTGAAAACCTCAGACATCCTAAGCCATGTCTCAGAATAACTCTTCAAGTTTTCCACAAAACCAAAAGTGAAATTAGCCTGGGAAAAAAGAATACATGGAAACAATTTAAGTGAAATTTGTGCACAGTAGATTTTAAGAAACAGAAAAACTGGCATGCTTTAGATCTTGTGCAACTCCTTTCCATTCCATTTTGATTGTCAACAGTAAGAATATCTGTTTTCTTTTTTTTTCACCTAAGAAATTGAACATATTTTTTTCTATACCAAGCAAATCAAAGTTTTCCTATGCTCTGTATGTTTCCCATCTGAAGTATCAACAAAGACTTCTTTACTTTACAGTGTCTCTTTCATAGAAATATCATGAGTGTGCTTGAGAAAGACAAAAAAATAAATATAGTTGGGATATATGAAAAGAAAGGCACTCAGTTCTGGGTCTTTTACTCAAACTAGTTTGACTGAGTACATAATAAAATTGAAATTTGGAAGCACAGTTTGGACAATAAATATAACTGATCAATCAATCTCTTTCAAAATACTCTCACAGGGAAAGACCTGAGTAAAGCAAACTATTTTCTGTCCCAGTCAAACACAGGTTACAATTTCTCTCTTAGTAAACAACCAGCAATTTTTTTGCATCCTGTTTTAAACAGATCATAAGTATACACAAGACTAGAAAATGTTGCAGTATCTTTTGTTTAAATTGGTGTTATCAGTCACAGAAGTGCATTTAAGAACAATCCAGCATAGTTGTTAAGATAAAAATTGTGACATTTTCCAGCAGAGTGTCTGCAGTGAGTTGTAAACTCCAATTTGGGACCACGCTTTTTGGAATAATTCCTGTTGAAAGTACACAATTTGTACCATAGTATCTTAATTGCCTTTTTCAAAATCTCACTCTTAGCACAACATGAGAAAAGAATTTCTGGTGGCTCTTTCTTCCTCTTTGTAACACAGAGCACCCTAAAGAGACCTTGCATGTAATTTTGTTTCCCTGAAAAACATTATGCATTTAACTTCTATAAGAATCCCTATTCCACTTTAAAGAATGATCATTCATAAGGATTAAAGACAAAGTGACCCTAGATGTTAAACTAAATCCTGCTGTCAAGTAGACTAAATAAGTTCTTCTGACCAGAAGTAACACAGAAATCTCATGGGTAGAAACCCCCAGACCAGGCACGATGGTGACAGGATCAAGGAGACCAGGCTGCAAGGGTGGCAAACAGGCAGTCTGGGAAATTGCTTTCTCCCAGGACAGAGCAACTACAGTTCACACCAGAACACAGGGGGATTCTCAGAGTCTCTGTGGTCGAGATGACCCTGAGGTGTTACAAAGTCTCCTTTTCCCAGCCCAGCGATGGAAGAAGGAGTCGGGATTCCTTGGCTCTGGTTTTCAAGGTTGTTTATTTTTTCTTATCAAATACATTCTTTTCCTGACCTGCTGAGGTCTGTCTAGCAGGTCGGTTCATGGCACACTGCCCACTGCCCACCCTTGGGGTGGTGTCAACATTTTATACTAAGAACTACGTGTACTTTATTTACAATAATTTTCCAATACCTATCAGCTATGTTAGACAGTCTGTCTCTAAACCAATCTAAAAGTGCCACCATTACAGAGAAGTTGGAGGCTAAGAAGGAGAAGGAGGAAGGACAGGGCATGCCCAAATTCCTCCATCTTGCCTCCTGAACCCCCGTTCTAAAAACCCCAAAATTCTACCTTTTCATCCTGTGGCAAACTAACTATTATTCTACATAAACTCTTGTGGCTTGTAAATCTTCACACAAAGTTGGTAATTTTCTCCATGGGTTAAAATCAAAGGCACAGGTGTATTTGACTCTGTGCCAAGGTCTCTGAGCCCCCTGCCAGGGTCTCGAGCCACCCAGGGCAGTCAGAGGAATGTTCTGGGTTCTGACAGGAGATCAAACTTTCAGGCACCACTAGAAGCTATTGTACCAAGCGGCTTGTAAGATCTGGGCTCTGTAGAGCTTAGTGCTTCTTAACTTGATTCTGAACAGCACAAAGGAATAATAATAATAAAAAACAAATTTTAAAAATTGAATTTGTTTAAAAGTAGTTTTGCTTTATCATTCATTCATTCATGACTGTAGGCATTTGGGAAGTTCTTGTGTCAGAAGCCTTCCCCACGCAGAACACTTTGGAGAATCTGTCTCTTATTGAAGCAGCAGTAAAAAATAAAGTCCTATAACTTAATGAAGTGAATGATAAGTAGTTCCCAGGAAAAGATAATGTCAAGCCAAGAATTTCAAATGTACTCGAGGATTAAATAGCTGAACTACTCACTGTAGTGTAACTTCCTGATTAAAATTCCCTTGTTATGAGGGAAGTGGAAAATAACAAATGCAATGTTATTTATAAAGATGCTACTAATGCAGACTAATAATTCTGAAATCTAAGATTTAATTATTTATACTAATAATAAATTACAATAAAGAATAGTAGTAAATAGAGAATATAAATAACTGCAGCTGGAAGGTAAAACATGGAGTACTAAAATAGAAGGTGCCGCAGTCTAAAGTGGAAGAACAAGCAAGTGAGGAAGAAGTGGTTGATGCAGAAGTCACCACAGGCACAATAAATACTAGGAATTCATATAACCCAAAAACCAAGTAGACAAATAATAGCAGCAAAGTCCTGGCAAGCCTGACCCCAACTTTTTTTTGGGAACAGCAGAAAATTCTTCAAAAGTGATTGTTGAATATTAGATCAACTCTGAAAATCTGTAATAAGAAATACTTCCCTAAGATCAGTTCATCACTGGCAAAAATCTTAGTTGTGAAAGCAAAGATCAAAGACATCACACGAGGCCTTTGAACTCCTGGATGCCAATTGGCACTGAACTGTTTTACCCTCAGTCATCACCACAGCCTGTTTCTGTGGCTCTCACCACCATCACCCCACACAGCAGAATTGCTGCCTTCTCTGAAACTCAAACCCAGCAACCTCACAGTTTATCAAAGAATGGTCAATTACATGCTCTGACATTTAATAGCCCATGTGGAAAACTTAGATAATATGTCAGAGTATACAAACATCATCGAAGCTGTAGTCTGCTACTTTTTTCTTCTAGTAAATAGATGACATGTGACCACACAATCTAAAGAAATCTAGAACTTTTCCAATTTCAGTAGGACATCAGGCTTGTAAGGGTTGGGGTTTAGTAGCAACATTTGAGACACTGGGGATAGTATTTTGCATTTAAACTTTTTGTTCAAGCAATAACTGAGAGATTTCTGTAATAGAAAAAAGAAAATTTCCTACTACTTTCATATTTACACATAAATAGATACCCATTCATAACTGCTTGTTAGATTTACAGGACTGGGAAGACGGGCAAGAGAGTATTTACAGAGATTTCTGAATAAGCTGATGGAACTTTTGTGAGCCTGAGAATATATAAGTAGAATAAGCGTTTCTACCACAATCTTTGTATCATTCCAGAGCACTAAACCCCACCACCAAAGAAACAACCAATCAACCAACAAACCCAAAAAAACCAACCCACAAGCTAGCTTCTTTCTGAACTGTGTTATTCAGTCCAGATTTCACTTAGAGATCTGTGGGGGAATATACTGTATATGAAGATATTCATCTTTCCTACAGATGTTTTTAGAATGGAGATTTGGGATGTTAATTGGCAAAACAATGTGGAAATGTTTTAAATATTATATTCTAAATGTCATTGTAACATAGAATGTAAGTTCAAAAACATATGTAATATTTATAATTTTTACAACTCTTTTTTTATAGAATTTCCATCTAGAAACATCAAGATCAGCTTTATTTTTAACTGACTAGAAATTTTAAGTTAATTATACTGTACTCCAGAGTGATAATCGATGTTCCCCAAATTAAGTTATTTAACAGCAAAACATGAAATCACTCAATCCTTTTTTCCCAATTCAGAACAGAAACTATAAAGTTACATAGTATCTGACATCTACAGTGGGGATTTTGGCTTAATTTTTTACTATATTTCTAGAACACAAATCATAATACCATAAAGTTTACAGAGAATACAGTTACCATCACATTTAAAGTTATTATGGTCTTTTTGTGTACCACTTACAAGCAGCAATTACTTTTTTCCAAATTTCCATTCTTACAGTAACTAATATTGCAGGTTAAAAGTCATATATTTAGAAGATCAATGCAAAATTTGCAGAAAAATCTAAAACAAGTCATAAACCCTTCTCTTACAGAAGTGCCTCTAAGCTAGGCATGAAGAAACATGTCATTGCTAATAATCCCACTCAAGACAGAGCACTAACCATAGCAGAACTGCAGAGATAGTAAAACTCTTGAATACCATCATCAGCGTCCACACATACAGCACCTCAGTTAACACTGATCACTCAACTACTGGTGTTAGAAAGAATCAGTAAGGATGAACTACTTTTTTCTTTTTAATTCAGCTCAGTGACTCCCTAAGAACAAGCTTTTTTTTCCCTGGGGCCATCCCTTCCCATAGGTCTTTATGCAGCCCCATTACAGTTCCCATGATAAGAAAATGTTAAAGGCAAAAGCTTTCCTAGAATATGTGCACCCTACACCTCGATTCAGCATGATCCACATGACACTTCTGCGAACGTGTTCTTTTTAATCTTTCCATACATGCTTTAAAGGACTTTGAGCAAAATTCTGCTTTTCACACTGAGTTTGAACCACTGTAACAAGTAGGATAAAAGTTTAGAGAAGCATTAAGTTTAAAGTTGGAAACAGGTGAGGGCTCAGGGGGCAAGCTGGATCTATTTTTCTGAAAGGCAATTATCCAATTGCTTCTGGCTACCCTGAAAGAAGTGGACGTTTAAAACAAATTGCAAAGATAAAATCAATACACAGAAATAGCAACATTTTTTGATACTCACCTTCTCCATCACCAGGTCAATCATGCTGATGTTTGAATTGTACAGTATCTTCCCATGTAATAAAGGTTTCAGGAAAGTCCACAGCACAGCCCCATTAGGAGCCTGCAAAATCTCTTGATAAAGCTTCAAGCAAAAAGGAGCTGCAAAAACAAAGACAGATTCACATTTAAGATGAACAACACAAGTGAGATTTAATTTTTTTTATTCAAATAAAAGTTTGAGTCTTATTTTAGAGTCTACCACAGCACCATGCCAAAACCTGTTACCAGAGTTTTTGTAACAACACCATGCAACTGCCACTAAGCAATCATTAGAGGTTCCTACAGAAATTGTTTAAACACAGTCTATGGCAGTGTTGAGGATGCAGAACTCTAAACACTGAATAGGAAAAAAATCAGAACCTATAGAGTTCCTCACGTTTCTGAAAAGCAGTCTGTATGAATCCTATCTGTCCTAAGTGTTCCATTAGTGCACTTTAGAGCAGAAGGACACATGCAAAACCTTTGCCCACACAAGTGAATTCAGAGGGAAAAGTCACCTTAAAACAGAGAAAAAAAAAAATTCCTTCCACACCCTTCATTGTTTGGCAGCTTTGGATTCCTATATAAGAAAGCAGTAGGAATATACAAAATCCTTCAAAAACACAGACTTTTCTTTTTGTATAATCTTACAAGAACCTACCAAAAAAACAGGGAAAAAGTTTTCAGGACACTTCTTGATTTGAAAAATCTAATCAATTGTCTTTTCTATTCCTTAATAAAAAAAAAAAAAAAAAAACATATTCCTACATCACATGGGGCTATTAATGCATTAATTAGGGTGTATATCCTTCAGAACTAGGACCTAAGGAATAGTTTCCAAGATATCCCATTGCATTTGTACTCATGTAAAGGCAAAGATCTTCTATAAGAAGCATCTAGATTTTTATGCCCAACTCATGTTTTTGGGGGGTTTTATTATTTATTACAAGTGCTTTCAAAATATCCTGTTTCTAGTGCTCTGAAAAAACATTAAATAATATCATTAACTCCTCAAGGAAGACAAATCTTTTTACATAATGGAAAACTAGGCCAAAACCATTTAAACTCCTGACAAAAGTTAAAGAAACAAGTGTCAGAAATATTTCATCAAGAACATTTCTTTTAATCAAGAAACAATTCCTTGCCCAAATTTTTACTTTCTTTAACAAAATATTCATTAGTAAACACGATCATTGCTAAACAACAGCAGAGAATTAAGAGGCTAGAAGTTGGCCGGACATAAATATCAATAGACTAAGGACACAGAAGACTTGCTAATCTGGGTTTGCTGTGATCTTCAGAAAGTCATTAGGAATTATTTGGTATACACAAAATACATACAAGTTAATCACTGTGAAGCAGCATAAATCAAGTTTCTGTGGCTTCATTTTTTTTTCTTAATTTTCATTTTCCATTGTCCTATATACAAATTTGTAAAATATGGGCAACAGTATTAATTCACTCATAGAAATGTTGGAACTAACTGATGCCTTAAATATTGCAGAGCCTCATGGTAAAAAGGTCACACAGCACAGCAGAATTCTGACAGCTTGAAAAAAAAATAAAGATCAAGAAACAGTGCTTCTGGCCTAAACAGTTTTAAAGAGACTAAGTTCCAAACAATCTGTCTAATCAGCCATCCAGCTGACTTCATTCTTCCAACAGAAAAGAAAAGCAGAGCTGCCTGCTCACCACTACATCCCACACACGTCAGTGAAAAGGCCAAAGCAGAGCTCTGGCTCCCTCCCAAGGGTCCCAGCCCAGCCAGGAGCAATTTCTGCCTGTAGAAACCAATAGATGACAGAGGCTGCCTTAGTGACACTCTATCACTGTATTCTTCTCTTGCACAGGACCACCTGAGGCACTAACAAGGTTATTAACAATATTAAAATTAATCAGGGTAAGTCAAATGTGTATTGAGGAAAGGGAGCAAAGGTGAAATTACGAGAGCTAAGGGATTTTTCTGAGCACTTGACAAACAGAATAGGAAAATCAACCATAAAAAAACTCATTCTATCCAGAAGGTTTGTATATTTTACTGTTCAATAATACCACACCTTTGTGTTCACCAAAGAAAGGTAAGCAGCAATAAATTCTCAATCTTGTATCTCAAAGATATGTTTTTAATACCAAGTGCTTTAAAAATGTTAATAAAAATGTCTGAAACACAGGAATACTCTTATTATTTGCATAGATAGTAAAAACAAAATCTCTTCTGTGCCACCCACAATTATCTCATAGCCACTTAACTTCTATTGATCACCACTTTGTGCTCAAGATGACTGTGTCAACTGAGATGTCAGTGGGCATATAAACATTTCCATTTAAGTGGGAAAAAACTACTCTTAACTCTGAGTTCATACTGCAACTTGTCCAATTTTTTTTTTCTTACTTGAGTCTTCAGGAATGCCATATTTTGCCATATTTTCCTCCAAAAGTCCCGTTATTCTGGGCATGTCTATGAACAGGTTTGCATTGCTGAAAAATGAAGATTCTTCTTTACATACTGCTTTGATTACAGATTGCAGGGATCCAACAGCTGAACTTCTGAACTGCCCACCCTGCAAAAACTAGAACAAATATACAGATGAATCAAAGTTTCTTTAAGTAGCTTCAGGGAGTAGCCCTGGTGTTCTGTCAATATTGATGTCTAAGGAGATTGACAAAATGAGGCTGTTGAAACAGCCTATTAGGATGAGGGCCTGCTGTGTTCATTTCTATTCTTCTGATCACCGTTATTATGGGGAAAGGTAATGTAGTTTTAATTGTCAGGGTACTCAATGAAAGCATAATGTACCAAACTGAAACTAGAAAAATACTGTGTAGCAGTTAGGCAGGAAAGGACTAAAAATATCAAAACAACTGGATAACTGATTCCAATGCCGGTTTTCATGAAACATGCTCTTCTGGTAGATTATTCCTGTGTCACAAAGGCAGCAGAAACAACCAAAGCCATTTTGTTATGAACATTTACAGTGAAGTTGCTAATAAGAAAAAAAAAAGTCAGATGCCCTAAAAGCCTATTTTTCAAGTAGATCTTTTAACTTGTTAGATGTGCTTACAGTTTTTGCACATCTTGAGTCATAGCAGCATTTATTGCCATTTGTTCCTGACTAGTATACTTCTAATGAGGAGAAAGAGCAATCTGACTGCTTTTATGGCTTAAGCACCATCATTCACCACACTCAAAAAGGAAGAGGAACAATAGTCTCATCCTCTGTGCAGCTCCACTTTTCAAACAATGGGCTTCGATTGTAAGTGATATCTCATGGAAGGCTGTACAGGTGCACAGCTCTAAGAGGACACAACTGCAAGGCATCTTGCTGCTGTGGTAGAAATGAAGAGTGCACTGGCTCGCCTGATACTCATTACTGTAGCAGATGCTTGTCAAGAAAGGCATAACTAGACTATCAGATGTCATTTGAAGACTCCACAACTAGCAAGTAGAAAAAAACCACTGTGATATGACAAACACATACATTCAGCACAAGAAAAAAATTAGCATTTTATTGCTGGAATTTTTTTAAAGAGAAGAGTCAATTTTCAAAGTAATACAGCACTTTACATAAAGATATAATCACAGACAGTTTGGAAATTGCGCTGTTAGAAACAGTTTATCCTGATCAATGCATTTATTGAAGTGCCAGGTGCTTCCTTGGTAATTCTAGAGGAATATTAGTAAGTGTTGTTTAAAACTCACTGTTAGCTGCTCCCAAAATCTTACTTTTAGCATACAGTTTCAGCACAGAGAAAAGTAAATAAGTAATACTCATATTTCATAATAAAATCATCCACAGCCCTTGAATGAATCTGCTGGCATGGACTTCACTGGAGAAATAAACTTTATTTATGCACAATGCTGTGTAAAATTGGTTATGAATCTTTATCAGTGACTATTTGCACTAGAGGGATAAATGAGGCCTATTTCAGTCAAAGAGCACAAATGTGCTAATTAATTCTACTTCCAATCAAAATAATTTGAAATTGAAATAATGAATATTTATGCGGTAAGCTGCCACTAACAGGCTGAATCTGCTTACTGTCTTTCAACTAAATATCCACTGACTCAAAAAGATACGTTTCTTAAAATTTGGCTTTCATAAAGTATGAGGAATATATAGTATAGATCTCATCAAATAGAAAAAGAGTTATCTTTGATCTAGTTTAAACTCTATAAAGTAGGGCTGTAATCAAGACTGATGAATCCAAACAACCAGCCTCCTACAAACTAATCAGTTAAACAAGTCACTGTAGCAAAGTCACGGAAGAGGAAAGCTGATATGGAAGATGAAAAGGTTGCCTGGAGCTGGATTTTCAAATGGAGGCAAAAACCTCATAGCATAGGAACTTCTGACCTAACAGAACAGCTGTATGCCAAAAAATGTTACTAATAAAAACAAATTCACATGGTATTTACCAGTTATTCATAAAAAGAGACCTAAAAGTCATACTGGGCTACAGCTTGCACATAAATCTAAAATACATTCTGAATCATTACATTAGAGAGAAAGAAAGAAAGAGAGAGAAAGAATAATACATTTTTCCTGGAAAACTACAAGGAACTTAAACATAATTCAAAATTTGATTAAACCAAAGGGACAAAGGAAATAAATTCAGAGAAATAGATAATCCTAATTCTTGGGAAAAAACCGAAAACACAACAAAGTCTTTTTTATCCTGAAATTGACAGAATCAGGAGAATAATAGCAAAATTGCTGATTTGATTAAACAATATTCAGAAGCCTATCAAATTTAGATGGCACTATTTGAAAAGTAGAAAAATCACGTATACTCAAGAATGAGAAGTGTAATGATCCAGGAAATAATGGATATCTGGTTCTGATGTTTATTAAAGCAAGACATACAATGAAATTTAAAGGGGGAACATTAAAGACAAAAAATATTTGAGAAGTAAAATTTAATGCATTCTCAAGTTATCATGCCTGACCAACACAACATATTTACGTGGGAGGTCAATTCTTTTCTTCACAAAATGTTACAAGCTGACTCAAGTTTAGGTGAACTCTAGCAACCAATTAATGTTCATGCTCCAGAAACTATTAATCATCAATTAACCTAACTGCTGATTAATAGTGGTGAAAAAAATGGCATTACGACAATATTGCAGGGAGCCTGTTAACAGGAAAAAAGCACAGGATTACAAAGAAGTTATTAGTGTTTTTTCTGTGAGCCCTGAAAGAAGCAAATTGCCTAAATTTGCCTATCATTTAATACTGGAAGGCATTGCAGGAGAAAAGAAGATGAGAATGCAATACGGCAAAAAACCAAAAGCAACTTGAATAGAGAGATCACCAGTGCAAAATCTTATTTTTCAACTGAAATCATGAGATGTTGCTATAAAATGGAGGTCACCTCAGTATATCACTCATCCTTAATCATCTAAGAGACAAAACTGTGTGCAGTTTATGAAAAAGTTGAATGCAAGTTTAGGAAAGTCATTTTAGTAGGTATAGACAAGAATGAGCAGGCTACAAGAGTCATCAGTTGTAATTCCCCTCAAACACTGCACACATTTCTTCTTCCAGACAATCAGGATTAGCCTTAAACCAGCATTCCAAAACCATGCAAGGCTTTCTTAAGCAACTGAGAGCCTGTTAAAAACAGCTGCTAAAATAGGTCACTTCAACCTACCAAAACAGAGGACTCCGACTGGCCTTCCACACATATATGGGCAAGCCAGAGAAGTTAAAAATGCTACAGAACATTTTTGATACAGGATTAAACATAGTTGCCATAAATAAACCTAAGTCAGAATTTATTTATTTAAAACTCCAACAGGTTATTCTATAATGATCGGTTCAACAGAGAATTTGTTCAAGTTAGTGGAAGGATTACAGAGTGAGGCCACCTCTCACAATTAACAGCATTTAGCAACTCAGGAAGTCCCCTGCAGCTTATCTATTGAGGAGTGACAAGCATCCAAAAAATTAAGTATGAAAATCTAAGTGAATAATTTCAAACAGCAAAACACAAGCAAAAATCATTATTGAAATCAGCAGTGTTCTTCTTCAGGGAGTTATCCATTCAGTCAGTGTTTTTAACAGTAGAATCTGGCACCATATTCCAGTTTAATGCTGATAGGTAGATAATTAGTTTTTACATCATTTTTTATTACAATACATGTATCTTTTCAATTCAACTTCACATTTTACAGATATATTAAAGTTATTTCTTCCTTTCCAGTTTTTTCTTTCAGACAGAAATCCATGTTGATTAGTATGCATAGTTGACAATTACTTTACTACCTCTTTCATTATAGAGGTTTGGTTTTATTTAATTACCTTCAATGTCTTTCTGACAAAGGTCCACACATTTTACCCTAAAAACATTTACATTCTTTATCTGATAATCTTTCAATGTCACTGAACTACTTTGCTCTTGGTAATCACGAAAACAAAAATCCAGAAGTATAGGCTCTTTTGGAAATAGAAGAAAACATTTAAGGAGGGACGTGTATAAGCAATATATGCACTTCAGTGGAGCATTTATTCAATAGTACAAGTTTGGCAACCATAAAAAGCAAAAAAATATCAATAATAAAAACTTATTGGAAAGTATAAAAAATCAAGTTAAACAAAAAATAAAAGACACACTTTTACTAATCTTCAAAATTTAAAAAAGTTGCAGACACAGAAGAACAGAAGAGCCCTTGAAATCAAAAATGTAACTTATTAATAAAATAAATAGGCACTGATTATTTTAATCTTCCACAAATTATTAGGTGACCAATAAGCCCCAGCAATTTCACAAGACAAGGGATTTAGCAAAACATTAGAAAATAAAGATTGTGTGGAAAAAAAGTGATCAAAAAAAGTTAAAAGTAAAAAAGAACAAAAATTACAACGTTAAATCTATGGTATATTATGGGATAATAGAGGTGGCCGTCAAGCAAATCTTAAAACTGTGAGCAGATGGCCCTCTGCTGTTCCATTTGTTCCTTTGCAAACTTTTTTTTAATAGCACCTTTTGAAAGGTTCTTCTAGCAAATAAGGAACTTTGGGATTTTAGTCCAAAAAGAATATTTCATTTGCTGGAAGGAAAGTCTGATACAAACTGAGCTAGTTTAAGGAAAGCAGAAAAAATGCAAGTGTCTGATGAAAGTAACCATTAATTGCAGCAGCCAAAGAGCTACCCCAAAAAGAGAGGCTCTGACTGATAGATGCACCAGAACAGCATTTTTCAACATGTCTCTATCACACAGATTAGAAGATCTTGAAAAAGGTATCACTAAGGAAAATAGTACTTAGGGCAGTGTTTACTCTGTACTCTAGCAATAAACCAGATTGCACCACCTATCACTGTGAGATCTTTCAGAGGTTTGAAATTTTAAACCAGATTCAATCCTCAGATTTCCACAAAGGACAACAAACCCAAAAGGTAATGCCATGGGGGTCAGCAGGTCTTTCTATGGAATTGAAACATGCTTAGAGACAGAAATCTTTCTGGTGATTCATTTAACACTAGATCCACCACTGTAACTGCCCTTACAGGCAGAGACAAAAGAAATACCCTCACTCACATCTCATGCCACTTATTTTACATCAAGCAGAACTAATCACACAAACCCCTCAGGTGACACAAACACAAACATGTGGCCGATAGAAGAACTGCATAGGCTGTCTTGAACCCATATTCTTTAAAAATGCTATTTCTTGTAAAAAAAAATAATGGTCTGCTTTTAAAAACAAAAGAGCAAAAAAAACACTCTTAGCAGAAAACACCTGGCTAGCTGTCTCCAAATCACAGATGATAGATAATGCTAGTCAGCTGACAAACACTGAGGTAACTTGGACTAGAATCTCATAAGTTAACAAAAAAAGAGATGACAGAAACAACACAACACTAATCTCAGAATTACCAGACTGCTTGAAAGAGATCAAATAAATTTTCCTAGGGTTTATGGACTCTTCTCAGCATTCCCTACTTTCTAGGAAATAATTTCTAATAGTGTGCCTCCTTACTAAGCACATATCCCTACCTAATCACCTCACAAGGGGAATTAATTTTGCATATGGAAATCCTACACATACCTGCTGCAATGTAGAGATGTCAAGCACACCAATACTTTGAATTCCTTGGAGGAACACTGGAAGCTTTTCCATGACATGTTGGACTTTATTGAGAAGTGAACTGATACTAGAAACCACATCAAGTAGCATATTTAATACATTGCCTATCTCAGGTGGTATCTGGACCTTGGAATAGAAGGAAAAAAAAAAAAACACAACAGAAAATTCCAGTTAGAAACAAATGTTAACCTTTCAATGAACACTGAAAATTATTTGATCTGTTTCTAAAATTGATTATACAATATTCCTACAAACCATGCTTAACAAAATTCCTTTTGATATAACTCTCCAGTTACTCTCAGATGAAGCTGAAGTTAGGTTCGCTGTAATGTAATATTAGATCTGGCTCATCACAAAACAGAAATTAATATTCAGAGAACATGTTTACACCTGCCAAGTTGAAGAGAGCTTTCCAACCCAAGATGCTAATGGGATCTGCAACATTCTATCCTTTTAGAATTCAGTGTAAATAGAAACTTTTCCTTCACCATTTTAAAAATGTTCAATGCAATAATTCCATATTTTAAAAGTAATTTGTAAGTTAAATTAAATCTAGAAACCACTTTTATTGCTTAATATGACCCCTAAAGTAACTAACTTTCCTGCCACACTCTTCCTGTCTTTGAATTTTTCATGCCCAAAATAATTGTGTGCATTTTATTACCTACTTGACCTAAGTTCAATTGGCTGTTTGCTATTTCCACCATGCAAATTTGTCATTATGGGTTTTCTCTCTGTTTCCTTTGCTTTTGGGGATTAGTTAGATGATATGATAATACAAACTGATTCACTGTTACCTCTCTATGCAAAATAATAAAACCACTATAATCTCATTAGATAGTTTCAGCGGTTCCTCTGATTATCTATTTTATCCACAATTGTCTTCCTACTATAATGTCTGTGCTCAATTTTCTTCTCAGCTTTACATAGTTAAAAAAATTGAAAGACACCCATAAAAAATTATTTTGTTAAAAAAGTATTATAATTTTTATCCATTATAATTTAGGTTGAGCTGGCAACATTTTTTACTCTTTGCTAGGATTTGATTAGGTTTCTGTAGAGTTCAGTAGAAACACTCATCAGAATAAGCACTGGTTTATTTTCTTCTATTTTTTCCCCATCTAGGTTTGCAGATAATTCAGGAAGTAAAATCTTTTCTTTCCCCTCCGGTATCTTTACCTACAGTGGGAAATTATCTTGTTTTTAAAATTCTATATCTAATCTGCTTAATTGAGCATGCAGCATCCAGAACACAACCTGAAACATCCAGAAGAAAACCAAACCTCTGTGGCTTTAGAACAAACCTTTCTTCGTCACAATGTTATAAGGATATTTCAGCTATTCATGCTCACATTCTATGTTCTGTCAATTACTCCCAAAAGAACTGAACTAAATGTCTTCTAACTATCCCATTCAATAATTCTGTGCTTACAGATAAAACCATTATCTCACTGAATACCCACACTAGATTCCAGATTATCTACAGTTGTACAGATAATACAGTTGTGCTATAGACATTTGCATCCACAGTGCTATGAACCCTTCCTAAAAATAGTTTTGTCATTCTTGTGATGTGAGCACCTGTGCTGGTTTTAGTTCAAATATTGTCAGATCAGTCTTCCACTCTTACAAATAATGAAATGACTAATTGCATGAACTGCAAACTCTGCTAAAGATTATTAAAAATATGTCTTTGACCTCCTGTGTTTTCTGCAAAGCTTTTGTAATTAGCTCCTCAGTGACAATTTTCCTGAGGAAGCACCTATTAGCCCTATTTTTCAACTGTTATATTTTGGGGAGCCAAAGAAAGACAAAAAATGCCATATGTCCTCTATTTGCTTTCATGGAGAAAGAACATCTGAAGAAAAAAAGTAATTATTAATCTATCTACCTATATGTTTCATACCGCCTTCCAATAAATCATCTTACCTTGTAAATGATGTGGCGTACATTCAAATTTTGTATAATCAATACAAACATGGTATACAAGTCCACTGCTGGTAAAGAGCATAATTCTTCCACTACCAGGGAAGTTCTATTGTCTTCCGGGAGCTTTAGCAGCAGGCTAAGTACTTCTTCATCACATCTTCCAGTTAAAGCTACCACAAAGGCACTGTAAAGAACCTACCACAATATATGTGTATTAAAAATTTTTCTCCCTGAAATGCATCACCATTTTTTATAGTCAATAAGGTGAAAATTTGTGTCACAGTAACATGACAATTTGCAGGCACCAACAGACCTGAAATAATAAACCACACAGCTTTATATCAGATGACTATGTTCTTTGTACTCCTTGCACATACAAAAAGATTAAGTATATTTCTTATAAGGATTTGCTTTCATTTTTCACAGGTCAATCATTCATTCTTGAGCATTCATACCATAAGCAGGCATATTTACAATGCTGAGCATACTCCTAGCAGATATACACCTCTGCTGCAGAAACACATGAAGATCAAAATCTAGGTGTGTGAATCACTAACATCAAACAATATGGTCCTTCCTTCTTTCAAAGGACACACAAATTTACCACTTGGGGATGCCTATATGGCATAATGTCTACTCCGAGCCAGCTCACATTTCTCAGTTAAACACTGTTTTAAAGTGTTATTTAATAGCAGATGAAGGGACAAATGCCTAAGCAGACCCTGGGTGAGGCTATAATAAAACATTCTTGGATAATGGCAAGTGCTTGAAGTCCAGATAACTCAGGAGCTCTTAGCTACCCATTCTCAACAAGTCCAGAAAAATTAAAAGTTTTTTAGGAGCCGTAGGAGCCAAAGAACAGGGCTCCATTGTACTGCTTAGGACAAAATCTGCCTCTACTGCCTCCACTGAATGCATCTCTTGCTGCTAACAGTATCAATCAGGGAGAGGATCGGCAAGACAGGATATGCAATATAACTCTTTAATTCCTACAAACACTTTATTTTCCAACTTAATTATTTGATTTTTTGATTTTTATTCTGGAACAGAATTTTGCCTTTGTGATTCTACAAGGTTTTCTGTGTATTTAAAGATTCACTTTTTTGTGTGTGCATTCAAGGAACAGAACATCAACATAATTCTGCAAGCAGCATAAGATGATACTGATTTGGATTCCTTGCTGGGGAGGAAATTTGACTGTGATGCAATTTGATATTTATTTCAAATGTCCCTCACAGGTATATCACCATTTCAGTGCAGTTTTAACACATTCTATGTTTTATCCCCTAGGTTAAGTTCCTCTGAACTTTCCTTGCAGCTTTCTGAGAACCAGAGCTAATCCAAACTCCTACACTCAGTAAATGAACGCTTATAGTCTTCAGATTACAGGTTTTAAGTGATTTTAAATCACTTTATCCCATGGCAATGAGCATGGCCAGCGCATAACATCGTGGCAGAAATTATGGGTAAGTACAACAAGAACAAAAAATTCCCAGGATTACTCTTACTGTTCCAGAGGAAAGCACAGTAGTAGTATCTAATCACAGAAATATAGGGCTACAATGGGCCTATAGCTATCATTAGGTAATCAGACAGTGGCTTTATAGACAATAAACATAATGGGCATGCTTAAAATATAGCTCTAGAAAGTACTTGTGCAGCTTTTATAATCAGTAAGAGACACAGGCCTTTAATGCTCCAAAGTATATTTCTTATAAGGATTTGCTTTCATTTTTCACAGGTCAATCATTCATTCTTGAGCATTCATACCATAAGCAGGCATATTTACAATGCTGAGCATACTCCTAGCAGATATACACCTCTGCTGCAGAAACACATGAAGATCAAAATCTAGGTGTGTGAATCACTAACATCAAACAATATGGTCCTTCCTTCTTTCAAAGGACACACAAATTTACCACTTGGCGATGCCTATATGGCATAATGTCTACTCCGAGCCAGCTCACATTTCTCAGTTAAACACTGTTTTAAAGTGTTATTTAATAGCAGATGAAGGGACAAATGCCTAAGCAGACCCTGGGTGAGGCTATAATAAAACATTCTTGGATAATGGCAAGTGCTTGAAGTCCAGATAACTCAGGAGCTCTTAACTTACCCATTAAGTCCAGAAAAATTAAAAGTTTTTTAGGAGCCGTAGGAGCCAAAGAACAGGGCTCCATTGTACTGCTTAGGACAAAATCTGCCTCTACTGCCTCCACTGAATGCATCTCTTGCTGTTAACAGTACCCAATCAGGGAGAGGATCGGCAAGACAGTCAGGATATGCAATATATCTCTTTAATTCCTACAAACACTTTATTTTCCAACTTAATTATTTGATTTTTTGATTTTTATTCTGGAACAGAATTTTGCCTTTGTGATTCTACAAGGTTTTCTGTGTATTTAAAGATTCACTTTTTTGTGTGTGCATTCAAGGAACAGAACATCAACATAATTCTGCAAGCAGCATAAGATGATACTGATTTGGATTCCTTGCTGGGGAGGAAATTTGACTGTGATGCAATTTGATATTTATTTCAAATGTCCCTCACAGGTATATCACCATTTCAGTGCAGTTTTAACACATTCAATGTTTTATCCCCTAGGTTAAGTTCCTCTGAACTTTCCTTGCAGCTTTCTGAGAACCAGAGCTAATCCAAACTCCTACACTCAGTAAATGAACGCTTATAGTCTTCAGATTACAGGTTTTAAGTGATTTTAAATCACTTTATCCCATGGCAATGAGCATGGCCAGCGCATAACATCGTGGCAGAAATTATGGGTAAGTACAACAAGAACAAAAAATTCCCAGGATTACTCTTACTGTTCCAGAGGAAAGCACAGTAGTAGTATCTAATCACAGAAATATAGGGCTACAATGGGCCTATAGCTATCATTAGGTAATCAGACAGTGGCTTTATAGACAATAAACATAATGGGCATGCTTAAAATATAGCTCTAGAAAGTACTTGTGCAGCTTTTATAATCAGTAAGAGACACAGGCCTTTAATGCTCCAGTTGGACTGGGGGAGGATTTAAGCACTAAGCAAACAAAAAATTCTGTATCATTATGCAAATGTGAGACGTGTGTATATATCTAAGCTCTACATAAGACTGGCAAAAAGTAATGATGGAAAGTAATTTGACAATTCAGCCAATTAGCATCATTATTCCAAAGATCAAAGGTGCACTGAATCCCTTTCAGATGATTTCTCTCATTACCATTTAGTGATATCACAGTAACAAGCTAACAATAAAGGCAGTCACACTGCCACAGAAGCAGAAGAACAAATCATCTGTAAGTAGTTATGATGGTCTGAACTGCCTTTTTAATGCTGCACTTCTCAGGAACAGAGCTTGCGGCTGTTTCTGCAAGCAGAGCATCACTGACACCCAGTGGCTGCTTGACTGAGCTGATCAATTTGCACCAAAGGTACCCCCAGCTCTTCAACAGACACTCACAGCAGAGGGAACGTGTTAGACAGCTGGCATTTCTCATGATTTCGACTCATCTCTGGGATCACAGGAAAAAGCAATGGCAACACACAGCCCTTCCCTCAGAAAACTTACTCAAAAGTCAACACCTCAAAGTGAAAGTAAAGCAGGACAGTGGTAAGATAATGTAAGAATGGTGAGGAGCACATAAGGTAATTTAAAAAATATATACATAAGACAACTCCATACCACAAGGAGCGGAGCTGGTAAGGTACAAAATGGTATCTCCAGAAACCCTCATCCTTTTTACAATACCAAGACAGCAAAGCTCCAATTCTGTGTCAGCACAAGAGGGTAAAACATTGCTGAAAGTAATGAAGCAGCACCATTTAGACCAGAGGAATAATGCTACTATAAATTGATCTCTTAATACATCACATTATTACTTTAAAGTCCTAAAACTCCCAAAGTACTTCATGTGGAAGTGATAAGTGAAAAGATAAGATTCCACACAAACAATGTAGCTTGCTTTGCTTCAGCTGGCACATCATGCTATAGAATGACCCTCTAATTTGACACCTCTTTTTGATCTTTTACCTCTGAATGAGATACACTGGCTTCCAAAAGGGTATTGACAGTTTCTTCAGAAATATTGACAGAAGAACCAATGTCCAGCCTCAACTGAGTAATATTCTTCACAAAATCTTTGACTTTCACATCTGGAGAGAAAGAAAATAGTACCAACAGCACCAAATTTATTAATTAGATTTCCTACAGGTTGTATCCTTTCCATTCAATTCACTATGAGTGACAAAATTGCCTTATGTCAAATGTGTAGTAATAAACAGTGTCCCTTTGAAGTTGAAAGAACAAAGAAACAGTTATTGTCCTACAAAATTACACTAGAGTGACTTATAGAAAAAATGAAGAAAACTGGCACCTACCATTCACAAGATTAAAATTGCTGAGGAAAGCTGCAGCTGGATTTTCTGACAATTGTAGCTCCAAATTTTCTGTCACCCTGGAAAGATAGCCTTAGTTTCACAAGTTATCAGAGCCAAATCATTGGCATTTCAATGTATGAGGACAAACATGAAGAGTGAAACAGGACTAAAAGAGGCAATAGGGTCCCACTGTGCTCTGTATGCATGTGCTGTGCATGCAGTCAGCACCTCTACAGACCTTCTCATGTGGTACTTACATGCTGCAGGGGTCATCATATTTCATGCCTAAATGAGACTGCATACGTAGAGATACACATGTGTATCTCTACATATGTAGAGACAGATTCCCATAATGACTAAGGGCCCGAGCAAACAGTAGCTTATAGAGAAGGACAGGTCTAGCAACATCTCACTTCCATGTTTCTCACTGAACACACATTTTTAAAACCTAGAGATCCAAATCACAGTTCAGGGTGAAAAAAAAAAAAAATGTCTATCTAATTATAATTTAAGTAGTAAAGAGTATGCATACATTAGATATTATTTTCTCTTTAAAACTGGGCATGGGCCTGTGCTATTTAGGAGCAGCATTTAGTCTCAAGCTCTTCTGTATTATTACTGTAATTCACAGACACCACTCAAGCCTGTTGTGAAAACAATCCAACAGTCAAACCAGTATAGCAACAGTTATAACAATGTCTACTTCTAGCTGATTACAAATTTGAAACACTCTGTAGTACCAGTTTTACTTAATATCTAATGGCTTTCCCCATGCAAATAACTATCAGAAGTTGTTTGGACTTCAATCCCATCACTTTACAATCACTATACTGTGTTTCTAACTCTTTGAACTGCTGAACTGTTCTAAGTGCTTAATATTTCACAAAAATATATGCACCTATTGAGAGGAAAAGCCATATCAAAAGAGCTATAAATAAAAAATTTGGATATCAAAATTTTGACCTAACTTGACCTAACTTGAGTCACATCTTTTAGAAAATTTTCTTAGTTATGATCGAAAGCATTCAGCTGGTGGAGCAGCAGAATCTGCTGCAAGAGCTTGGCAACAAATGGAAGAGTTTTTAGAAATATTCAGTTATTCTAAATTACTTAGCTAATTTGTATCTTTTATCCACTCAGTTTTAAGCTAAATGAACAAAGCTTAAAAAGACAGTATCTCCCCTGTAGTCACTTAGTTTAGAACACAGACATATGCACAGAATAACATCGCTAATGATGAGAAACCATTTGAGGTACCAAAATGTGAAAGGCTTTACATTTGCAGTTGTCTCTGGATGTTCCCCAACATTAGCTGGCATTCACAGCTGTCTCTGCTGGTATTCTGCAAGACTCCCACAAAGCTCTCCAAAGCATTGGAAAGTTTTTGGTTAATATATGCCATACTCTCACAATCTCCCTTGTTGAAAGCTGTCAAGTATCTTCCAACATCCTGCAGAACACAGTAATCACAAGATTAGTAAATTCATGAAATTGTGTTATAGCTAGAACTAGCAGCTCTCAGCAACCAGATGATTTGTAGCTTCAAATGAGAATTTGGGTAAGACAATATTCTCTTAGTCATTGTATGATTAACTGAAACTAGAATAAATATTTTTCAAGAAGCAAGGAATTTTCAAATATTTGAGTTTTGGAAACAATTGGTTTGGGAATTTGAACAAGCCTGTCAAGGAGAGTCATCCAGTAAAAATGCCAATCTTTTAAAATTTATTTCAAAATTAAATGAGCTGTTCTTTTTCCTTTTTTTTTTTCTTTTAGTCTGACCATTTTTATCTTTTTCCAAAAAAACTTGTTTTGAACATCAGTTTTGATTAAACAAACCAAAATATCTGGATCCTCATTTCCAAAGTTCTTCATGCATTACGCTCTGTATAGTATGACTTTTATATTTTCTCCTGAATATTTACAGTTTTGATTTTGAGAAGCTTTTTTAATATTTGCAGAAGTAGGTCACAGAACAGCGGTGACTACACAAACACATTTGGTCTGCAAAAGTCTGCTTTGAGATATAAGTGATGCAAGTTGTCATCTATTTACTTGAACACATTGCTGTTCATATCAGAATAATGTTCAGCTAGACAAAGCAGCAGAGCTATTTAATAAAGAGAAGACAGATTCTGTACTAAAAAGCATTACTTTAGTATTTTGTCTGTGTACAGCACACTTGTCTGTGTACACACATGTGTGCTATCCAAAGGCCTGCTTCCATCTCTGGGTGAGTCTCTTTATGCCAAATATTGCTCTCATCTGCTGGCAATTTCATGTTAAAGAAGAACAGACTGAACCCAACTGGTAATCACAACTGCTATTTTAGCTGGAATTACTCTGGCTAAGAAGTTTATTTGTTCCTCATTTAATTTCACAAATGTTCCTGGGAAGATTTAAAAGTATAAATGTACTGTAACTCATTAAATGACAGAATGACAGAATTTAAAGGAATTAAAAATGGGCCGCTGTTTGAAATTGATTAACAATCCAATTGTCCTAGTTATAGGACTTGTAATAAATCAAAGTCATACTTAAAGCTTGTAAATGTTTATTTAAGGAATTTCTTCTCGGTATCGCTATCAAAATTAACAGAGGTATACCTATTTAAACCTCAGGTTTGTCTAACCACTGTGGGAACTTGTCATTTAGACAGTGGGGGGAAAAAAGAAACTTTCGTTAGTTTCCTAAGTTTAATGCATGTTGTAAAGTACACTTGTAGGTGAAGGAATCATTCAGACCTGATAACGATCTTGAACCACAGCAATCCCTTCAAAGACAGCGAGGAGAAAGTGACCCGTTAATCCATCTTTACACTTTGTAATGGCACAGAAAATGTTGCTAAAGACAATGGGTTCTTCTGTAACAGAAAATGTCCAGATTTAATCAGATTAAAAAACTTACTCGAAATCAAATTTAAAGTTAGCCAACAAGTAAGGAAGAGAATTTTTTTTTAAAAGGAAGAAACATCTGATGTGTTAAGGCACAGAGAAATATTTCTAATTAAATTTATGTATCATTTCAGAGGACAAGAAAGGCTGGTTTGATTCAATTTCAGTTACTCTTCTCCATTACATTTTCCTGATCAGTAGTAAGAGCACCCCTACCTGCTGCAGAACCAGAGAAGACCATTTCCTTTTTGCTCTTCATGAGCAAGAAGCTCATAAGTAAGAGCTCACAACTGTGAGAAGCTGAGTATATTAACCACATCTACCTTTTCCTTGGGCGGGCTCCCCTGATGCTGTTTCCCTCTAGGAACACCTGGGTGTTACTAACCCTCTAGTGAGCAGTAACTTTCAAACCCAAACTACAAGGGAAGCCAAACAGCATTACATAAGCATTTTCCGTATCTTAGGATAATGAACCCATATAGGGTGATAGCAGTATCCCCCTGGTCATCCATGGAGACTGTTTCTACCCAAGGTTGCAGCCATCATATCCTTGAAAAAAAAACTGCTTTCTGCTGTCTGCAATGGGTTTGTACATGGGATAGTAGTGAAGGAATTTCAATCAACTGCTGAATTCTCATTCAGTACCAAGGCAATTTTTTTAGCTATGTTCCTTCCTTAAGTTTGTTTCTTATGTCAAGTAGGAAGAATAGTAAACATTAAACACTGCTTCTAAAACAAGCAAATTTTGATCTTGCTCATAGCAGTAATACAATACTATTCCTCAAATCAAACCAAAACAAGCAGTTTTCATCTTTTCTCATTAGGTTGCATAATATTTTCTGTAACAAATGAAACATTATAAAACATTCCCACAAACAGAGGATTGAAATGAGAATGACAGAAATTTAGTTTCCTAGTCTCAGTTCTCTCAATAAATAGACTGTTCTTCACAGGTCAGGGCCAGAACACAGGTACCTGGATACACAATTCCAGTATCACTTATCCTAGCTCAACATCACTACTGTTTTACTCTTTGGAACTACATCCATCACAGGAGAGTGGAGAAGACAGTCAAAACTGGATTATAATCACACCTTACACTCTTTTGCAAATTAACTTGGCATAAGACATTACAGATTTCATCGCTTGCCCTAGAAGGGCAGGTTAATGTCTCCTAATTGCTCTTTGCAAACAATTCTAGGCATAGTTGGCTAAAATATGAGCTTTGAAAAGCACTAGGTTTTGTTTCCCACAGAAAAAATAATATGAATTTATACTGAGGTCAATATCTATATTGAAAGGTTTTAGCCTTTCTTAAAGTGCACAACTTGGGAGCATATACATAAGGAATAAAACAAGGTAACACATTAAAATTTGAACAATTTGTTGAAGGTGAAGTTTTTCAGCTACAGGTAGCCAATTCACTGGCATGACAAAAACAGAAGTGGGAGATGCTACTTCCTTTGACTCCTTGCCCCATTTTTCCTTACTGTCAAATATACACTGCCCTGTGGCAAGTCTGGCTCATTAAAAAAAAAACCCTGTGACCTGACTTGGCTCACTAGCTGAGGAGGAGCAGCAAGATCTCCTGCTTTCCCTGGGATTTTAGGTCTATATGAATGCTCCAGAAAGAAACAATTCCTTTGTATGATCTGTATCAGATTTTTTCATGTGTTGGTTTAATTTCCAGGCATCAGTATGCTTGTTGTGCTTGGCATCACCCAAATTACCTTACTTGTACAAAAGCTTGCTTTTGTTAAGGCTTAACTTAACAGTACTAACACATGGGTCCCAGAGTCACTACTGTGGTTGGTAACCAACCTGAAAAGATTTTGAGAATATTCAAAATGGTAAATTGCAATTTCTGCAATAGTACGACACTATCAGGGTATAAATGTTCCTGAAGAATGTTGCAGATTTTAGATGCTCTGTAGAAATATCAAAAAGAAAACATTATTTTCATTCCAAGGGTACCACAGAAAAATTTAAAGAAGTGACAATGTATAAATATAGTCTTCAATGAACCACACAAGGATTTCAATATTAAATGTTATTACATTTGTTTGAACTATTTCAAAATCAGAATATAAAACTTCCATGTTAAAAAAATATATTATAAGAGTGCTAGAAAATACCTTCACAAAATAAGCAAAATCATAATAGCTTCAGAAATACTGAGAGGCCACAGAATATGATGACTTGATGGTAAAGAGCAGATAATCAGCATGCAGGGAAAATAAACCACTTTTCTAGTACTTGCTTTTGATATTTTTCAACAGATTAGGTTAATACTTGACCCTGATGGACAATGGTTTCATGTATTTACATAAAATTAATCATAAAGTTCAAAATACCACATCAAAGCATCAACTTTACAATGCCATTTCTCCGCTGGTTTACGTCAGTAGGACCAAGAGCTCCACCAGCAAGATACCCTAGAGGTGTTTGGAGCAACCAACTTGTGGCTCATTAAATTTTGTTTAAATGCAGCAACTCCAGTCTAGCAGCCTTTCTATTAAGTAAACCATCAGTAAATCTGAAGCAGTTTCCTCTGCTTCTGGATTACATATGATCTGAGTAATCAGGCAAATACGATTGTGAGCTCAAGATTCCTTCAGACACTGCATCTGTTAAACTGAACTACTTAACACAATAGCCATAAGATATCAACAAATTTAAGTTAAAGAAACTTCGTATGACTGTATTTGGATATAGAAAAAACCTCCACACACACCACAAAGAACTAGGCTCAAGCCTCCTTCAACATTTAGCTCCAAAGGCAAAAATGACTGTTGCCTGCCAATTAATGGGGGTTCAGTATTCAGACCTGCATGGATTTTAAAACACAAGTATCTTCAAATAATTTTTCTGTAATAGTTCCAAAGAAACCAATTAAAGTATCAATGCATATGACTAAACACCTAACTTAAAATAAACGCAATAATCTGGTCCACACAATACCAAATAGAGCTGGTCTTAACAACATAAATTGGAACAAATCTGAAATGAAACACTAATTAACTTAATAAAAGTTGTCATTGAGCTGCTCATAAACAGAGAGCCCTTCTGTCATTGCCAGCACACTTCCCAAAATGTGTACATGGAAAACACTTACCTCAGTTCTGCCATTACATCCTTATGCAAATTCATAAGTAAGAGTTTTATTTTATTCCTGTCATGTTCTGCAGTGGACTGAAATATTATTTGCAAAATCTCTTGTATGATCTCCAGAGTTCTGCTTTGGGACTGAGTAGAAGTGTCTCTATATGGTGCATTATAAAAAAATGAATCAATTAAGTCAACTTTATGAAGCTTAGAATTGTTTGTATGCAAAGGTTCTTCTACAACATCAAGGTCAGCAATTATATGAAGGAGGCTGTTTAGCAAAACTGAAAAAGCAGGGTGAGTATTATTCAATTTCTCTCTGCTAAAATGACTGTCACCAAACAACATACCAGTATAGTCCTTAGACTTATTTTGGAATAGCTCCAGAAAGGCAATAATATCTTTGACAGCCAGCAGTAGGTCATTTGATGAACTTTCATTAGTCATAAGGAGAATTAGAATATGCATTATTTTAGAATAATTTTTATCGTTACACTCGCATAGCATGCTCTTCACAATGTCTTGTATATCTTCAAAATTTCTTGGTACAGCATCTACAGATGATGTCTTAAACTGCTCTAGTAAAACATCAGGAGCCATTGAAGAGGACTGTCCAGTGGCCAACTTTAGTAATTGAAACTCTTGATCTATCACCACAAGTAAGTGTCTAACACTGAAATTCACCAATAAATTTTCTATGCTTGTAACAACAGGAAACAAGAAGTTCTCAAAGTTGTCAGTTATATTGATGTTCCCACTTAAAGCTGATATTGTCATAAGCACTGTGTGTGTCTGGTTTCCAACAGATGACAGCATCATCAAAGGCTGAATTACAGAAAGAAAAGAAAGGACAGCTTCAGTATTCAGGAGTCTGGAAACTTCACCAGTCATGTTCTTAACATTAGTAAGAACACTCTTAAGTGATGTTCTTGACTCTCTGTTCCAACTTCGGCCACCATAAAGATTGTTCAGCTGCTCAAGAAGTCTTTTGGCCATCTCCATTTCTGACACTGAAACACTGTCCAGAGTTTCTATGATTCGTAAAGCCATTTGGCTCTTTGGTGTGGAGGAACAATTGATTGCATGTGTATTATTCACCTGCAGTGGCACAGCATAAAGGGATAGCTCATTCCAAAAATCTAGCAGCTCTTTGAGAACTGAGCTATTTATATGATGGAGCTCAGAAAACTTCAAAATGATAGAGTTCCATTCCTTAATCTGATGAAAAAAGCAAGTCAGATTATGAATTATATCCACCTGAATGTCCTCCATAGAACAAACAAAACTGTCATCCAGAGTGACGAGTTTAAGCTCCTTAATAATTTCAATGACTGCATTGTAATGAAGAGTAGAATTGGTGTGCACCAAGTCACAAGGTTTAACAGTGGTATCACTTTCAGGTGTTGCTGTTGTGAGAGTCCAGCAGAATGCTGCAGAAAAACAAGCGGAGGTCTCTCCAGGTTCATTGGAGATGTCTGACAATGCCTCCAGCAATATTAAAAGATCTTCAACTTGGTTAGAGAACTCCTCATCAGTAAACATTGACATTTTTTCTTCCTGAGTCAGTATGAAAGCATATACTTCAGCTAGTGCTTCTGTAACATTTCCATGAGTCAATCTTTCTGTAAGGCTGATGACATCAAAGAGGAGGTTGAACACATCTTCTGTATTGTAGTGCTCATCGTGTTCAAAAAGCTGTGTTATTTGGTGTACATCAGTCAGGTTCCAGTAACATGATATGTTCTCAAATGCATCCCACCAGTCTGTTAAGGTACCTAACCCAGAGTTCTCAAGGTTAAAAGATTTGACATTTTTGAAGAAATTTTCTAGGGTCTCCTGGACCTGTTTGAATCTACTTATCAAAAACTCAACATCCAGGTTTCTCATGTTTTGCACCAAGGCAACCATAAGCTTTAGAAACTCCTTTTCGTCTCTTAATGGAAAGACAACAAATGTAGGAGGCTTGAAAACCTCAAGTGCCTTCCTTACCAGTTCAATATTCAGACCTGCTGTTTCTATCATTTTCTGAGGAAATGTTTTGTGTTCATCCTGCAAGTTTGAGTCAAGTTTTCTTATCATATATTGAAAGAACTCCATCAGCAAACTGATATTTTTCTCATGCAAGAAAGGTTCAGTCTCAGTGTCCAAATAAGAGGAGCTGTTTTCTTGGAATTCAAAAGTTTTATTTTTCAGAAGACTTTGGACTTCTGACAAGAGTTCCACTGATATAAGATAAATGTGGTGAAAAGGATTAAGGAGCATTCCTGAAGTCCTATTAAAACCATGGGTTGCCTGACTAAAATGGGTCTTATTTGACATATACAATGAAGTTGCAACTAAATCACTGATAATGGCTTGTATTTGCTCTCCAGAATTATTTAAAAGTTTAAAAATAAATTCAAGCACATTAATGTCATGTATCACATAACGTTCAGGGAGAATAAATTTCAAAGCTTTTGCTATGATATTTAAATAAACACTTGCACAAATCATATCAGAACCACCTAGGGAACATTCAGGGAGTGTCAAATTAAAAACCAAATTAACAAAGTTCATCACATTCATTAGCTTAGCATCCGTCTCAGCATTTCCCAGAGATTGCAGAAGAAATAAAATATGTTTTGCACTTTCAAGGTGGGAAGGTGACTTGTATTTTTCAGTGAAATTACTTAATCCATATATCCATGTGTTACAATCATCTGCTTCATCCATTGTACTATGAAAGTTTAGAAAAGAGTTAAGATGAGATGAAAAATTTGTTTGCAAGTAGCTTATATCTTTCAGACTAATACCCAAAATTATTTTGGTAATATTCTGGAAAATGCTGATACAAACTATATATTTTTCTTGAGGTACACTTTTTAAAAAAGCAGATGTGTCATTTATCTCAGTAAGAATAATTTCAAGTTCCTCTTGGGAGAGCTTAAGAATAGTAGAAAGGGAATTTTCAATGGAAAATACACCAGCACCCTTATCTTCTCCCTCAGATCCTCCTGAGATGAAAGCATCAAGCCAAGAATTCAAAACCTCTTCATTAACAATCTTCAGTACAGATTTCTGCATTTTAGTTATCACAGCTCCTACTGTCTCTAAAGCACTTTCTAAACTGCTATCTTTAAGCAAGTTTGTGACTTCAAATGCATTGTTAATTACCCTTGGAAGATTAACAAGGAAAGCCTCAAGATCTTTCAAGTCATTTGAATTGCCACGTTCCTGAAATACAGATTTTAAAAGTTTCATTGCTGCTCCTGTAGCTTCAACAATAGCCATAGCTGTATTATTGCAGAGTTCATCTTGAGTTACATTTAAAAGGTTTTCAGAGAGATATGCCAAATCATCTCGCAGGCAGACGAACCAGGTTGAATTCAAATTTAAGATTTCCGATGCTTCTTCAAAAATCTCGGTCCACACCTGAAGCCATGTAAAAGTGCAGTGCAAAGCAGAAGGCACACTTACCTTATCTCCCCAGTTTGTTACATCAGACAGGACACTGTCCAATGGAAGCAGAAGTAAGTTATAAACCTCTGCTGAATGTTCTTCTGAACTCATGTTTGCTAGATAGAAATCAGTGCACCCATTATTTACCAAGCATCCTGGAGGCAGATCAAGAAACTCTTCCAAATAACATAAGAGAGCTGTTTGGAGCTCTTCATCTATAAATAAAGTTTTAAGACTGCTCAGAGTGTCATAAACAACTTGTATATCTTGTTTTCCATTCTGTGCAAGAAACTGTGCCTGAAACTCTGTGTAATTGTAAATTAATAGTAATTTTTCACAGAGAGACTTACTGGTGAGGTTCCAGAGAAGATCAAAAGTTTCAAACAGAAAATCAAAAACTAGTTCCTTATTTTGCACATCATGCCATACTTGAGAAGATGACATACTTTTTGAAACCTCATAAAGAAGTTTTAACACAGTGTTATTGCTCTTAATATTTAAAACCAGGTCATCATTCTGGTACAGAGAGAGAATTTTTGGAACAAGTGAGGCCACAATAGTGCTGTTTAATTTTTGGATATTTCTGAGGAAATCATGCACAAGTTCTCCTAATTCTTGTACCTTATACATAAAAGTTGCATTGGAGAGAAATAAAGAGGAGGTATTACTCACTCCAGGAATTGTGCTAAATGAGACATTGACATGATCACCAGACAATGATTCAGCTTCAAAGAGATTTCTTTGCAAGTGTCCACTAAAATGTTTTAAACGGTCCAAAGCAGTAATATTTAACTCTGGCCAATCAGTCAGGATCTTTTTGAGCAACACCATACTTCTGTTATAGATTTTATTTTCTGTAATAGAAGATAAAATTCTAGATAAGGTCTCAATTGCCTCTTCCTCTTCTACTTGACTCAAGAGAGAAAACCTAGAATCTAGTTCATGGAATACAATTTCCACTATATGCCAGAAAAGTTCTGTCTTCTTTTTTGTCCAGATGCTCTGAAGAGGCTGGAAATTTTTTTGTAGGTTATTATGGAGTTCAGAAACTGCAAGTGAAAAATTGGTGGCAGATTCCTCCCCCTCAGCAATATTATTTATCCATATAATTGCATTACTCAAAGCATTTTCAATTAGAGACTTGTTTGAAGAAACCAAGAAATCAAACATAATTTTTTCTATGACTTCTACAAGATGAAAAAGATGATCCATTTTCTTTTCACCAAAAATCCTTACGTTTTCTTCTGTCTTCAAAAACTCTTTGAAAGACGTCAAAATCCTGAAAAATTAATTGTAATTTTTTTTCTTGTTAGTTACTTACCAGGCAGAGAAGAACTTTTTAATTATATATTATTTCAATTTTAGAATCTAGGTTTATTTACTTAATTCAGGGAAATTCCAAATATAATTTAAATAGCATCACAAATTAATCATCACAAAATCTGAATTAGCAAAACTCAACAATTGCTTTTGGTTTCAAAAAATGTGAAAAAAACCCTACTGGAAAGTCACAACCTCATTCAAATCAAAACCTGACTGCAGACAGCAGTTAGAGAATAGTGCATTTATCAGTACTTATAATCAAGCTTGTAAGCCACAAAGAGTCCAACACCTTTCAGTACATCACATTTTCAGCTGCTGAAAAGAAGAGAGTTTATGTCCCACAGACTATTTTACAGACAGGAATGAATCAATAAAATCAATCAAAACCTCTAATTTTCTATGGATTCTAAATAATTTTTTTGTTTTCTCATAATTATTGAAAGCTAGAACATTCCAATTGACTGCTTGATAGCTGAACACTGCTATTTTAATATCTACAAAAACATGAAACTGGAATGCACCCACTGATGTTTCTATTGTGTCAGTATTATTTATCAAAATACAAAACAATTACTAGCTCTATAAGATTGGTCAAGAGGAGGAGGTGCATGGAAGAAAGAGCTTTTGAATGTAAAGGCCTCAAGTTGAAAATATATTCTCTTTAAATATATTTTCTTTCTCTCCAGACTCTGCAATCCACAGAGATAGAGCACAAAAACATTGTGTACTGCAAACAAAAGGGTAAAACTGCTGCAAGAATACTTGGTTGTTGCTTACAACTGCAGCAGCACAGCAGTTTCCTTTTATAAATTAGAACCAAATTTCAAAACACCCTACTAAATGTTTTAACAATTTGATTGCAATATCTTTTTTACTAGTTGATAATGGTTTGTTTCTTTCAGATGTATCCTCAGATGTTGACTTGTATAGCATGAATCATATCTCCTCCAGTTATAGCGTTTGATACGAACAAGTAAGTACAAGCAATGAGAAAATGAGGCCAATATTCTAACTCCTGGAAACTATGCAAGTCATCCAGTGTGCCATTAGAAAGAGGGAAGTATCCTGTGCTCTGCCGTAGACCTTTCTTGAGCCTCTGCCAACTCTGACAAACATTAACTCCCTTTATGTACAGCTTAACTCCTCTGTAGACCCTTCCAGAGCAGGAATATTTGAACAGCTTGACAAAACATATCATTCTGAATAAGTACAGGGCTTACAGCCAAATCGTCACATAAAGTGTTTTGATTTACATTAAGTCATGAACCAGGGAACTTGAAACTGTAAGGAAAGCTCAAAAGCATCAAAAGAAATCACAGACTCAGAGTGCCCTAGATGAGATTGCAAACTACACATATACAACTAATTCCATGTGTTTAAAATTCTGTTTTCCATAGGCTGTAGCTGTTGATGAAGGCTTCTGTTACAAGATCTCCTGCACAACTGAGCTGACCTCTGCAATAAAAATTCTAAATATTTCACATGCACTGGACTTGATATACATGAGAAGTATTACTGAGTCACACCAACTATTTGTGGGAATTCAACTTTGTTTGCAGAACAAGATAAAAAATTAATGTCTTGGTTCAAAATGCCAATTATCCATAGCTGCTGATTCCTGGGAATCCTGATCATGTAGTAGTCATGTCCTCTGCTGAACTTTTAGGAAGCTATATTCTGAAACATTTATTTTCCAGAATATGTAAGCATCAGCACTATTATTTGATTGTATACAGGCTTTTGAACTACAGAATAAAAAATTTAATCACAAAACCGACAAAAACACAAATCAATTAAAAGCAAAGTAAAATGAATATTCAGGTTGATCTAATTTTCAGATCATAACTTAAGACAAGTTTCAGAAAGATAAGTATGACTTACCAATCACGAGGCAGGAAGCTATATTCTGAAACATTTCTTTTCCAGAATATGTAAGCATCAGCACAATTATTTGATTGTATACAGGCTTTTGAACTACAGAATAAAAAATTTAATCACAAAACCGACAAAAACAGAAATCAATTAAATGCAAAGTAAAATGAATATTCAGGTTGATCTAATTTTCAGATCATAACTTAAGACAAGTTTCCCTCATAGACGTATGACTTACCAATCACGAGATGAAACATATCCTTCTGAAAAATAGGCATCTGATTTCTCATTCCATGACTGGATCAGGGTATTTATCTCTGAAAAAAGTTTCCTGCCTTCCCTGTCATCTAGAAATTGAGACATCAAATCAGCCATGATTCTTCTAAGTTCCAAAAGGAAATTCTGAGAGAGACTGCTGCTGTCAAGCCATTGCTCAAGTACCTAGTGGATTGAATGCAAAACAGAACATCTCATAAATCAAAGCTTTCTTACTTAGGCGGTACACAGAATTTGCATGTCTTTAAAAAATTCACACAATAAACAAGGATACCAAAATTTCTCCCTTACAACCTCTTTAGACTCTAAATGACTGACATGACAAAGGTTGATTTTCAATACAGTTTTGACTGACATGGACATTGGCAAAGGAAAGGGCTACAGCACAAGACAACTGACATCCTATGTGGTGCTGACCTTCCTAAAGACCCAGGAATGGAAAAAAGATGGACTGAGGCTGAAATAAACCAAAAGCTGACCTCCACAGCCGATTACTCTGGCTTCTTTTACCAGACTTCTGCCTGCAGTGTGATGAAAGATAGTAGCCTTGATATTTTTGGAGACCCATGACACAAAGAGGCTTCTTTTACCAGACTTCTGCCTACACTGCCAGTGTGATGAAAGATAGTAGCCTTGATATTTTTGGAGACCCATGACACAAAGATGAAGAAACCTGCATGGTCCCAATGTGTAGCCCAGAAAAAAGCATAAAAAGGCCTGGCCAAAACTACTGACTGCTCTCCTTTCCTTCACCATTACCTTTCTTTTAAATGTCAAGTGAATATAATAGATTTACTCTAAGATATATTCTGTTCACCAAGACAAGTCACAGTGGCCAGCAGTTTACAGTATTTCTGGTTCCCATAATAAAGAACATCAACCTGTGCTTAGAGTTTTAAAATCATGACTGAAATTATTACTGGATTTTCCTACATAGAAATTAGTGCATTAGTTTTGGCAGTCACATTGAATTATTACCTCCTACTTCATCATACAGCAGGGAAACCTCAAAGATTACCTTTTTGAGGAAATACACAGGAAGCTCTACATGTTTTCTTTACATAATATTGCAAACATCTCTGGAGCAGCTTGACACATGATTCTTCTTTTTTTAATGGAGAAAAATATGATGTTTCAGCATAAAAACAAATACCAGTGTTAAGGTAGCTAGGTGTTTTTCTTAGGAAACGTCTGAATATTTAATTCTTTTGTCCATGCAACTACACATATGTCATTACAGAGAATGCATGGCAAGCTGTTCTGCCAGATCAGAATTTTAAGATGCTCTGCAGGAGGTTTACTTTTGTCTTGCTTCAGCCACCATTGCCAGAGACAGTGAGGGGAAAAAATAAATAAATATAATTATAGATCAGTAGAGGTGTCTAGTCAATTTTCAGTTTTGTTCAACATTCAGTCTCAGGTGGAACAGTAAACAGTTTCCTCTGACAAGTCTCTGCATTGCAGTATATTTCATGACATACCCTATTACATTTCAAATCTGATTAAGTGGACACATGATGATAGATTATACTGCCACTGTAATGATTCTTTATAAGGATTATTTCATTTTATTAGCAAGAAAGTTAATGAAAACAATTTTATAGATAACTTAGATCTTTTATCTGAGTTACTGCTGACGACCTACATGCAAAAACTAGGAATTCAAACTATTAATTTATTAAAGTTACCCGTGCATAGAGTTTGAACTTGCTGACAGCATGAACAAGATACAGTTTGGCCTCATGCTGTGGAGAATTACGGCCCTCTCCATTATTCTCTTTGTTTGCTTCATCTTCTGGGACAACAGCCAGAGCAGAGCACACAAACTGCTCCAGTGTCTCTCCTGTGGGAATCTGGCAAGGACACAAGAAATTGATGAGTATTTCAAGAGCAGCTGCTGAATGTTATCTCTCCTATCAACTTACTTATCTAGTGAAAATTAGAATAACACATAGCTTCTTCAGCAAGAACAAAGCCCATTTAACCCAGCCTCACATTCCTGGGCACATACTTCAAACTACTCCACTTGCAGGCTGCTGTATAAAATACCAGTGCCCCATTAAGGTGCTCATACAGGAGGCAGAATGATGAAACTCGTACACACAAGGAACTTTCACCTTATAGCTACACTGGTGTTGTTACTTCTACAGTAATTTGCAGGCTGGCACTGAACTAACTTGACTATGATGCAGTACTCCTACAGTAGAATAACTATATTGAAACAACAATTACTGATATAAAAAGCACTTAGTACAATGATGCATCTCAACCAGTGATTGCATGCAACATAGTTTAAAATTGAGGTTGCTGGGTTTCAAGAGAGTGGCCAAGAGAAAAGATTTTTTTCCTCATAGACTAATTTTTAAATTCTGCGATGAACGATTTCATATTCCCAAGCCAATAAATATTATTAATGCTTACAAAAATAATGCACACATTTTAATTTTGTTCTTGCCTTTCTGAGAGACTTTACATCCTTGCTCCTTTCAACTTTGACCAGAGAATTCATAAAAAAGTTTTGCACGTGTTTTGACACCAAACAAAATGGGGCATTACATACAGAATTGAAGTGTTCCAAACAAATATTATCCAGGCTTCCATATTTGCTTTCATAGTTTTTGATGGTCTTCAATGTTCTAACACAAGCACAAAATATTGAGATACTAGTTTAAATAGTTACCAAGTGAGTAGCCTGCGATTTCACAGACAACCACAGATACCAAGCTGCAGTTGAATGCAGTTCATTTCATCAAAAAGGCCATCACTGATATTTCATTAAAAGGCCATTCAAAAGTCAAGGAGTTTTTTTTTTTTTAATAATTTATCCATTTGTTTAAATCAGCTATTTTTACAATGAACTCTTCTGGAGTATAAGTTTAAACTGTATTGCTCTGCAAAGAACAAACAGATCTCACATAAATATCAACATGCTCTATTAAAGAATTTGTGGACTTAAGCACAAATTCAAAAGATGTTTCCAGTTTTCTGCAGTCAAACCAGACCACCACAACAGACAACTTCTGTCTATAGAATAGGTTAGAATGCCCTATCTGAAGAAAGAGATTTTCTTCTAGATGTGATACCTCACTAGGATATTTGATTAAGCACCACTGAGAAAACTTAATCTAGTACATTCATATCAAGATTGCACAACTGAGAAGAAAGGATTCTTGGTCTCCCTTAATTTACACACAGAAGAGACAGGCATTCTTTGTCCAGCAATTGAGATGAAGAATGCTGCCAGACAAGCTAATCCTGTCAGACTCAAATCAAGGACTTGGTTTAAAAGTTTAGTGGAGCAATCGTCAGAATTCTCTACAGGATTGGATAAAAAACTCATGACTGCCATACACAGTTGTGACTTCAAAGAAGTATAAATTCTTAAGTGTATACAACCAGACCTATCAGTATCTTCATGTGCAGAGATCCCAGCTAAAGCTAGACATTTATTTGATGGGAATGAAGCCAGGATAGTTAACAATCTTTTAGCTGCTTCACAAAGCTAAGCTTCTGTAATGCAGGAAAATACATTCAGGGTACACATGAAAAAAAAATATCAAAGAGATAGACACCAAAATTTTCAACTGATTTACCTCTGTTAATCGTGCTGTATAACTTAATACCTTCTCAATATGAGGGCCATCAAAACCAAACCTGGATTCAAGTTCTGCTTTCACAGCAAGCGGATTCCACAAAACATCTCCAAAAGAAAGATTGTACTGAAAACCTGAAAGAAAGGAAATCTTTTGTTTATGTAATTAATTCTTTTTATTCATGTTGTTTCTTGGTGGTTCTCACGTGTTGAGGTCCAAGTACCATGTTCCCAGCTTTTTTGGGGACAGCAGGACGTGTTCACCTGAACACAAATTTACCTAGGCTAAAACCCATGATTGCACTAGAGGTAAAGTCAGTTAAAGTGATGGCATTTTAGCAGTTGATATGATGATGGTGGGATGCATTTGCATAGCAATTGCCAGCAAACTCAGTAGGGTGCCATTCTGAACTGTACAGAGGCATGCAAAGTTGTGTGTATGGACTGGATGTGAATCACTACTGAGAATGAGAGCAACAGGAGAATACCAGAAGTTCCAGAGAAATCAAGTTCATCCTCTGTGCAAGGGCTCCAGCACATCACCTTTGTCCCACATCAGCCTTCACTTTTGCAGGTGAAGTGGGATTTAGGCTGCATATTACTCTTAGCCTGACCTTCCACACCAAGCAGACAGCTGCACCTGTACATTGTGTGCTTCAGTTTGCCCAGGAAACTTGCTCCTGACCTCTTCTTGTTTTCCTGGGGCCAGCCTACCTTCTCCAATTAAACTCATCTTCCACAGTGAAGCAGCAGATGGAGAAATGTAACCCTTCAGCTGATAGCAGAATTTATGAGAACAGAAGAATGAAGCTTAAAGTAAACCAGTCATAATGCTTAACATGCATGTCCAAAAAAAAATTGCTCTCCTTCTATCAAATGGAAGAAACCGTCCCTTGCATTGATTTAGTCTCTCTCTAAAATTCGTTGCTAAACCATGACCATTCTAAACACTATGTATTACACCAGTTTATCTGATAGTTACCAGAGCCTGATAAAATTTTGCAATCAGTATTGGTATTTAAAAAGCAGATCAGTAAAGAAGTAGGTTAGCAGTACAGCCATATAGTTTAGTCTCTGCACATCAGGAACTTAGCAGAAGATCCAACAGTTACTATCATATATTTCAAGCATTCTTATTAGGTAGTTCAAAGAAAATCTGAAGCAAATTTCTTACCTTCTAAGCTGCTATCCTGTACTGATGCAGCAGTCAAATTCAGTGCCATTTTCACCACTTCATAGAAACTTTTGCCCAGTGGCATCATAGCTAAATCCTTCAGTGATGCTAAGGTACTGAAAATGGAAAATAAAAATCAAGCACTCTATGCACCCAAAAACCTGAAAGGACTTGCTGGAAAGAGACAACCTTCAAATAACTGAATAATAAAACACTTTTTTTACTGTTGAAAAACCAATGTTTTATGAAATTAGAGTTTAACCGAACAAAGCACATATTGAGATTGAGTGAGAGTATCAGTCAATTTCCATTAAGGAAATGTGTCCTGTAAGGACCAATGTCCTCTTAAAAAAAAAGCAAATAAGGGTGAGGAAAAAGGGCAAAATAAGGGCAAAACTATCACAAACATTCTCTGTTATCCCCACAAGAAGGCAGGATCAACACAGAATACTTACATTTTACTTCCCATCAATCTGTGGGGAAAAAAATATTTTAAAGCAACATAATACTCATTCTCACAGGAGGTTAAACAAAGTGCATTACAGAATGCATTGATAAAAATATATCTATTGAAATTCTAACAAGTCTTTGTCACTTTCGCTGTGAACAAAAATTCTCTGTTAATATAACTGTAACTTATTACTTAAAATTTATGTCAAATTTACCAGTTATTTCTGACTGAGTAATGCTTTCTTATTATGCAAATAAGAATCCGGTTTTCCAGAGTGGATCATCAGTCTCCTACATTCATGAAAAGAAGGGGGGAAAAAACCCCAAACAAACAAACACAAAAAAAAGAAAAACCCACCCCCTTCCATAAAACCCCACAGCCGGTCACATAGATGTGAAAAGTTCTGTTAAGTACCTCTGAGAGACACAGCAAAACTTGGTACAGACCTAAAAGAGGAAAATGTAAATTCAGAACCTTCCTACTGGCTAAATTCTGCCTTAGAAAGGAGCACTAGTATGTAGTATAGTAATATGAAACTAGACAAGAAACAAGCATTGGGCAAGAAACAAGTGGCTTGCTTTCCAAATTGCATTAATGAGGGTAAATTTGATCACTGAAGGGCACAGAAATCTTAAAAAACCCTAAGCAAATGAAAACACCAAAACCCATGTGTAAACATCTGAGTCTCCTATGTACTTTCACACATTAATAGCTCAGAGAACAAGCTGAAATAAGGCTACAAATTACTCAGGCATAAGGGAAAAATAAATAAATTTTAAAATTCAAGCACCAACATAGGTGCAATCCACATATTGTAAGAGAAACTTTCTTCCCAGTTTGAAAAAAAGTTACATCATCATATCCTTCCTATCTGGGTTGGGAGCTGTTTTTGTTGTCCTTCTAGGTTTCGTTTTTGGGGTTTTTTTTAATTTAAAAAATGACATTGGGATCACAAGGGATGGCAGAACAGCACAGTAATTTCTCATTCGTGATCTTGGAGCCCCTGCTTCCCCATGGCCTAAGGCTGCTGAGGTACATGGCCAGTCTAGCACAGGCACCCAGGGTCAGAGGGCTTCCCTTGCTTTGTGACGGTGTTATTGGACTACAGTGACAGTTGCCTATCAACCTACTGCAATAAACTGCCTACCCTGGAAAACACATATCCGACTTTCACCTAACAATTACCTTATTTTGCTGAAAATTCCTGTAGATATAGGTCTTGGTCTATGCTTTAATTCTATGTCTTCCTCTGGATCCAGCTGTCTTTTACCTGATTCAGAACACAGTCTCTGGGGTGTTTTGCTTACCTCTTCATTTCTTGCAAAAGAACACCTAAAGCTATTTTGAAAGCAAGAGGCTTAACAAACAAAACTGAGTAATTTTCCTGATATGGACCAAGTGCTACATACATTCAGATCTGATTAGGATCAAAACTATTATTTTCTTATATTCATATGTCTATGTTCTGTCTTTCAAAGACCCCCAAAGTACATTACAAAGTTCAAAGCCATATTATGTGATGGGATGATTCAGGCATTGCTAACATGGAGCTGCTTATCAAAGACACCTAGGGCATCTCTGTTGAGTTTGGCAGAGATGAAAAACACAGTTATAAAGGAATCAGTGTGGGTGAAAATTCCTAACACAGTTTTATAAAAGCAAAATCGGGTAAAGAGAAGAAAATTTTAGCCTCTTTACACTGTAAAGGATGTTTATTTCATTAAGCAGACAGTGAGAAGAGGAAGAATTGCAGATAAAATTTTAAAACAGAGCACTTTCAAGACTATGAAATTACTTACTTTTGAATAACTTTTAGAAACTGTGTTATGGTAGCTACCTCATCTTCTGTATAAAAGCTGTTCAGTTCAAGATGAGGGAGTGAATGCAGAAGGTTCCAGAAATATGGTTGCTTGTACAGATTTTCTGCTCTAGAAATAATTTTCTCTGCTTCATTCAAATCCATCTTTAGGTGGAAAAAAATAAAAATTACATGCAACGCTTCCAACAACAGAAGAAAAAATTTTTTTAAAAAATTTAAAAAGCAGGTACCTGTTATTTCCCTGACCCTCTTGAATTTTAAAGCATTCATAATATTTTTTCTGAAGTGGAAACATACCTCTAGATTTGGCAATACACCACATTATTTTGGTGGTATTTTGAACGCACAGAAGCTTTGTTTCTTATATATATGTCTCTTTGCTCCGATGGAAAAATGGAGCTGGAGGTAAAGCTACGGCATCTCTTTCTGCCCAGAGGTGTAACCGAGGGAAGGATAATTTTTGAGCTCTCAAGCCATGCAGTGAATTTCTAAGCCTAAGGTAAAAAGATCAGGGGACTGCCCAGGCCTTGCCATCCTTGCCTCACAGCTCTTTGCAAGGCTTGTGGGGGTCTCAAATAACAACTCATAAGGATGGCTCTTTAAAGGTGAACAGCCTGGGATAAAACAACTTCCTCCACAGGACTACACAATATGATGCTTATGCAAAACAGCCTTTTATCACACTTTTTTATTATGTGGCCTTTGCTACTCTAAATTAATGTCTTACTAGGGCTTTTTTGCACAATGGTGACATAAGCATGCCTACAAAAAGAAGTTTGTGTATATACAAGCTTTGTTTCTAATAATGATCACCTACTGTCAACTTAATATTTTCTTAATGTTGAAAAATACATTGTTTCTATTCTATATTGCATTCCAGAAATGAAATTTCATATTGATATGGCTCCTTTCAATCAATGAGATCTTATGAGCAATATAAAAATGCTATCTAATTTCAAGTTATTAACTGGAAATCTAAGTTTCATGAAGTAGCAGCAACAATCAATCAAATATGGAAAAAAATACATCTGACAGATGCACTTTTAAATTGCTCCTAATAAACAAATAGTTGTGTATTTTAGCTACTAACAACCTAGATTGGTTAAAATAAGTAATCTAGAAACCATTGAACATCAAATTTACAAGATATAATTTTTCATTCAAACACCCTTTTTTTTTTTTTTTAGATAGTCTACTTAAACTTGACAGGATACAAATCTCTAACCATTATAATACAGATCCTCAAATCCCAGAACAGTAATCTAGAAATAGACTGTAAAAAATACTTACAGTAAGAAAAGTGGTGATGTTATGGAGCCCTGTAAAATTAAATATTTTTCTTTAAAGAGAAACATTATTAGCTTTAGAAGGATCAATATTATAAGCAAGAGCTAGCAATGCACAAAGGATGTTTCTAGAAAAGTAAAGGCACATCAAGCAACTAAAATCCCAAAGACAGTGCTCCATTTGATTTTCTGTGCTTCCCAAAACTTTTACTGTAATCACAAAAGCAATTTAAAAGACATTGCTTACTGCTCAATTTTTTAGTGAGGCAAAACCATCATGACAACACTAGATGAATGTCGTAGCTACCAGACAGCCAGGCATGCAAAGTGCCATTTCATCTAACTCTTTCTGCTCGAAAACTCAGCCAGAAACACAGGGTAGTGGGAAGTCTTCAATGTCCCACTGGTACAGCAACAAGGCTGTGCAGTGTGGGTGGAAAAGCAACAGCAGACTCAGACCCTGCTATTTCCAGTCTCACTCTTTCTGTGCAAGACTCAAGGTCACCTAAGGTCACCAGGTTTTCCATTCCTATACTATTTAGTACAACAGAAAAATACAGGGAGGGAGAGCTACATCGTCATAAACTACTTTTGAATGCATGTTAGAACAAGTAACCTTGTACCCTGATTATAATCCTTATCTTTTAAGCTTTCCTCTGTGTTTTCATAACTCTCAAATATACAAGGGCACAGTTTTAGAATGCTAATTTTTTTCTCTGATAATTTCGATGGCCACAGTATTGGTAATCATAAAATGGCTTTTTTAAGATCAGCTAAAATTTCAGTTGCCTAATTTTAATTTTAAGATCAAACTATTCTTTTGTTTGATGGCTATCACTAACCAACAGGCAAAGAAATTAATTTTTAGAAAAATCACAGCTTACCTGAGAGCCTTGAGTTTTCTTCCCATAGCTTTTCTAAGGCCATGGCTTTCTCTGTAGTATCAATAAATTCCTTTGCAAGTTCTTCTATCTCTTCCATGAAGCCTAGATCAGGTCCAGTGGCTCTCTCTGAACCACTGTGGGTGCTTGCACTATTTTTGACAGAAAAAAAGAGGGACAAGTGAGATAACACACTCAAATCAAGTAGCTGAAAAACTGTGTACATACTCACAGCAGTATTCTGATTTTTTTTTAACAATTTTATGTATTTAAACAATTTTTGTTTAGTTAAATTCATTAGCATGGAAGTTGCAGCACTGGGTCTCAAAACCTCAAGAAAGTGGGCAACGAAAAATTGCTGAGGTCACCTATGCCAATTCTGGCAGCAGCCAAGAACAGACACATCCAAAAAGTCTTTAATATTTCTGAACACACTAAACTTCTCTCTCAGGATTATCACATGTCCTGGTGGCAGTTCTTCGATGAGAAAGTTCAAGCCTTCCTATTGCATCTAAAGTAACTGTTTTTTCCAATACATGCAGCAACAGATAAAAAGAGTATTTTATTCTTATTATTGGCTTTTTCCTGATTTTAGCTTGAAGACATACCACTGATAAATGTTATCTCTGTTATTTCTATCACATTGCTATCTGGTGACTACTCAATAGCACAATTTTCTAACAATACTTTTACAAGGAACCAGGAGTCAGAGTCCTTTAAATGCCTCTTTACAGGACCTAAAACACCACAAACAAGGAAAAAATTATATTTAGCTTGTTACTAGGAAGCTGAATTCTGTTTTATCTAATAGGAGATTGAAATTATCTTAAGAGCTACATCTTGTCTAGCAAAAACATTGCTATTTTGCATCAAAACCACAATTAACTGTCACAGAATCAAAGAATGGGTCAGGCTGGAAGGGACCTCAGTGGTCATGTGGTCCAACCTCCCTCCTCAAGCAGGGTCATTATAGAGCACATGGCACAGGATTGTGTCCAGATGGTTCTTGAACATCTCCAGTGAGGCAGATTCCACAACCTCTCTGGGCACCCTGTTCCAGTGCTCAGTCCCCTGCACAGTAAAGAACTTCCTCATGTTCTGGTCCATGTGTGTCAGTTCTGCCCATTGCCTCTTGTCCTGTCCCATTTACAAAAATATAATAAAGAGTTATATTCCTTTCCCATCAAGCTTATATGCCAATACTTGCTTTCAGCAGAATTTTAACTTATTGAAAGAAAAGCCTAATGAGATCAATTCACAAACCAAAGAAAGCTATCAGTCACCACTTTCTCATTCTCTTATTTCCCTTTCCCTCCCTCCCTGATTCTCATTTGTTCAGACACAGAGCTGTTTGCAACTTCAGATTAAGGGAAACAAAGAAAATTTCATCTTAAAACAATCAAGTTCTTAATTGTTTCAGTACAGCTTATTTTGATCCCAACTTGGCTGACAGACAGCAGGATTTTGGAAAACTCTTTCACCATCCTCAAACTTCAGTGGGCTAAAGGCAGAACAATTCCTCAACATATATATTTCCTTTTTAAATGGAGTTTTAAAAAGCAGCTTTCTGTTGTTCAGAAGGTGGCTTTTTGGGTTACTAGTAGTTGCACTTCAGCTGTTGTCTTTGAAAACTACCTCATAAATTCCAATATTACTGAATCTCCCAGAGCCCAAAATTTCAGACAGCTGAGAATACTCGTGTCTGGCAAAGAACTGAAACACCACATACATACTGAAATCTTCCTAGCACTCTGCTTTTTGAACATGAGCAAGAAGCCAGCACTTGATCAGAATAACAGCAGCCACAGTCAGGACATTAAAAAACCAAAACTCTAGCTCAGTTTCCATGGGTTTTTTCACAGGTTTTGGTTGTCTTGGGTTTCTTTTTTGTGGGGTTTGGAGGGAGTGGTGGTGTTAGATTTTGTTGGGGTTTTCCCAACAAAAATAGTTTAGTTGCTGAACATAAAATTGAAAGCTAAACTCTCCTAAGAAGGTCACTTAAAAAGTGTTCAGAGGAGTGCAGTATTTCAACCCACACCGTTTGTCCTCCAAACTAGACCCAAACACCTAGATGGGGCTTGCATCCCCATCTACAAACCTTCTGGTTTTAGAAACATTGCAAACAACAATGCACTGAGAAAAAAGGCCTTAATCACATATGAGCACACTGCAGGACTAATGCTGTCTCCAGGGGCTGCTGGGGCTGCCTGGCCTCCTGCCAGCAGCCAGGGACACAGACAGGAGTGACAGAAGGAATCAGTAATTCTTTCCACTCTATCCCCATCACCAACTCTGCTGCACCTTGGATCTGCAAAGCTTGGGTTGATAAACAGCAGGGAGCATGCAATAAAAAAACATCCTCTTGGTGCTTTAGCCCCTTGTTTGATGCACAGCAAAAGCACATTAGACAACACAGGCTGAAATGACAGCAGGCTCAGCTGGGCTGTCGTTTCACTGCTCCCAGGCTGGAGGACTAGGGATACAAGCTACTGCCCTGGGAGGTACCACAGAGCACAGCTGAGGAAAGGAGACTGGGAAGATACAGACTAGAAATATTAAAGAAAGCAGCAGACAGCACTTGGAGTATGGTGGCCCTGAAGAGCTACAGGGCACAGTGCAGGGAAATCATGTTGATGGTAAAAGTGGAGAGGGAGCTGAGAAACTCTAGGGGGATGAGGATATTTAGGGCATGGCAAAAGGAGCAAATCCAAGGCATAAGACCCAGCTGTTACAGAAGAAAAGGCACATGTGCAATCTGAAAGACGCATAGAAATGCCACTTTCCTAAGCACAAGCCTCCCAGCAGTCCAAGAGCAGCTGTTTGGACATGCTGGCTGTGAGCTATTAGCTTTGTGGGGATTTCCAGGTCAGCTGCCATGTCAGCTAGCTGCCATTTGTGGCCCTCTTTTGCCATCATTGTCACAGACCTGCCTCTCGCTATTCTTGGATCTGAGCACAGCCTCTTTATGAAGGGGAAATGGCAACAGGTATGACACTGGTTATCAGGCTCAGTTTTATGAAACACATTAAATTATTACACAGATCTTACTTGCTGAATATCTGTGCTAAGATTAAGGGATTTTATATAGCATGGTAATAGAGGACTACATTTAGCTCCTAATAAGTGCTACAAGTTACTACTGATCTCTTAATTCAGCACAGGTTATAAAAAATTGCAGGACGATGTCACCATCTTGCCAGAAAGATAAGAAACTACACTTCAAAACCAGCTGCAGAGACAGTCAAAGCAAAGAATTTTCAGCCAGTGTGCCAACAAAAGTATGTAATTGTTGTACTGCCACTCTCCCAAAGAGCCTTCAAAGTGTGCTTTCTGGAGCAGAAGGCGGCATTAACTCATTTGTGTGTGAACGTGTAAAGGAAGTCCAGCAGCCATACCGAGGAAATTCCTAGCAGCAGTTGCTAGGAACAGTAAAGAGGGGAAGCAAGGGATAATAAAAAATACAAAAGGAGGAAGCAGTAATTTGTAGGAGAGGACATACATAATTAGAACTAGGGTGTTAGAAGAAGGGTTTGGGGAGTCTATATATAAAATTTCATTATCGTCCATGGTAGCTTTTCACTCAACTGTACATTTCCACAAAGTTCACGAGAACAGAAATCAAACTGAAGACATACATTGGTACAAGTTTTGATTGTGACCAAATACTGCAAAAGAGCAACAAGACTGCATCTCTTTGAGCATGTAAAAGCAATTGTAATTTCCTAAAGCCATTACTCAGAAACATTAATTCTGTCCAATTTACTCAGTTACTCAGGATAACAAAAAGAACATTTCAGAGTTCATCTGAGAACTCAGCTATGATCTGAAATGCCTTTTAGACTCCTGATTTTCATAAGCATCTCAGCCTCACCCCTGTCACCACTTTAATAATTTCTCTCTAAAATTGCAAAGCCCCAGCTGGCTTCCATTCTGCACTATATCAGGGTTTTATAAGCCTGGAGACATCAATACCAATACACACACTGGACTCTGTGTCTCTCACAGAAAGATCTTTCTCTTCCATGTTGCTACAATTATAACCTTCCTAAAATGCAATGGACTGAAATACATAACAAACTAAAAAAATATGTTCTTCTTAATTGGCTCTAAAATTAAGAAAACCCATGTTTAAATTTCCTTTTCTCTACAACTCCGGCAATCTATAAGCAAGGTCACAAAAACTGCTTCTGTTTTTCAGCTACACAGCCTGCAACTACAAAAGTAAAAGATGGCCCAGACCACAGAGCTAATACTGCAGAAAGTAGCTGCAGCCATAAGCTATCTCAAAGAACTATTTCTCATTTGAAGATATATGCCACTAAAGAAAAATCTGACCCTTTAAGCAATTCTTACACACAGATTTTTGCTGACTCTTAGACCTTCCTTGATTTTATTCTTCCACACCTGCTGTTGTACATGAGCTCTTCTGATGCTCCTCCACTGGAGAACCCAGGCCAGTAAAAGGTTTAGAACAGTAAGAAGAAAGGGGCTGGCCTGAGCAGGGCTGCTCCAGGAGGGGGCCCGGCTAGGACCTGAGGCAACCCTGGAACAGCCCATGCCCTCACCAGTGAAACACAGTCCCCCAGGCTGCCTGCAGGCAGACACAGGGGTGTGTTACAGGCTCCAGAGACAGCCCCAACAAGGCAGGGTGAGCCCAGGAGCACAATCAGGTGCAAAAGGAGACAGAGTTACCACACGGGCGTGAGTGGCACATCCAGCAGAAGTGCCAGAGACAGATCTGAGATTCTACCACATCTACTGGGTGAGGCTGCTTAGGCTCCTACCACGTGTAGCTAAACAAACTAATGTGCTTAGAGAAATAAGCTAATAAAGGGAAATAAACAAATGTGCTTAGAAATTATATTTTAGAGTCTTGGTTTAATGATATTTGTGGTTCTAAGTCTGAGAATGGCTTAATTTTCTTTTAGGTCTTTGAGAAGTCTAACTAACATAGATCTAGGAGTCTAGACTGCAAGGGCAAATCCCACCATGTTCTGCAAGATTCGCCAGGGAATCCAGAGTACTGGGAAATCATGATGTTTCCATGCACATGCATGGAAAGGTGTGGGTGTAAGGCCACAGGACTCCTGGGCTGTGTGGTTTTTATCTTATTTTCATGCTCTCAGTTTTACACTGTGCTCCACTAAGATGTGGAGTGGAGTGGGGAATGGAACATTCTGGAAAGAGCAAGGAAAAATGTCCTTTGTCATGAATACTTCCTTGTTCCTCTGCTCTGTCAGTGGGTATATCAGGCTAGGGAATCATGCCAGTGAGCTGCCAGCCAGCAGCTTTTGCAGTGGCTGAAAAGAGGAGCAAGGAGCCACAGAGCTCTTGCACTCTTGCAACTGGATGCTTTCCGAAGCATCAAGGAGGTGGCAGATCTTGCTGCAAATCAAAGTTAATATGGTTGTAGGCTTCAACTGGCTCATCTTCTCACCACATCACAGGCTGTTGCCTGAAGGGACAGGGGCACATCTGTGAGGGCACAGCCTGCAGCAGAATAACTTCACCCTGGGCTCAGCCCCCCTCAAGGTGGGGGGCTGCTCACTGACAAATAGCTATTTGTGGTTTATGGATTCCATGGAGGTTCCAGCAGCAGTCATAGAACTACTTACTTCCAAAGACAGCTACTACATTTCAAAGTGATAGCACCAAAGTGTTACATACTGTGAAAAAAAAGTCAAGTGTCCATGCAAACTATGCAGTCTCTGACTCACTCTTAATAAACACAATATTATTGACATAAAAAAGGTTCCTTTATCAGACTTATGGTTTGATATAAATCCTTGAAGGGAAGACAACTGATATTACTGTTCCTATGACACCCCATCTCTCCAGTCAACAGGGACTGGACTCAGTTATGTTTGACTGATCAAACTGACAGTCTATATTCCTAAGGCTGTTGGCAGCCAGCATAAGTCAGAGCAGCCCTGAGGTTGATTTAATTTATACTGATGGACCTGGTGGAACAGGCTGACCTCAGAATGAACTTCATCCTACCTTTTTAGCCTTTTTCTTTACCTAGGCTATATGCTACTCAGTGCAGCCTATTGAGTGCATAAATATGGATACATGCATGCATTTTATTTTTCAGTTGAATAATTGAAAACCACTGAATAATTGCCCTGATTCTTAAGTAGGTCTAAGACTGCCTCCAGGAAATTCTCTCCTGATTTTCTATTGAGCTGGAACATAATTTGGGCAGTTCAGTCAAAACAGTGTAAATAATCATGCAGAGCAGTCAATAGAGTTCATAGTTGCTAGAAATTTAACACATTTGGATGGTATCTGAACTAGTGATGTAAATAAAAGCTATACTTTTAGGGAAGAAATTTTTAAAAGGCTAGAGTTAGGGTAACTCTTTAACCCAGTAATATAGAATTTCTACTGCAAGTAAGAGGTGACAGGCTTTGTACTGAATTTGAAAGACCACAGCACAGGTTTGGTTTGCCTGAACTTGGTTTTTTTTTTTTTTTTTTACTTGGGTTCACTTTACCTTTTTTTATTTTCCTGGCTGGACAACTCTGGAATTTGCTGTATTTTCACTTGTCACTGCATAACACCATCATAGTTTTATAGAGATAGAAGTAGCAAGTGACCATTCAGTGCAAAATGAGATATTTATGGCTAACAAGGCAGTGCAGAAGACACAGGCCCAGTATAATAGGTGAGACCTTGAGAGGTGAGGACAGATATGAACTGCACTGGAATATAATACTGGAGTATCTGGGATGATGAGAGGTGGGGCACAGGCTGGTACTGAGGGCTAGAAACAAGTCACCAGTTTAGTTCAAATTCAGAACTGTAGCTGGACAAAGCCAATTTCTAAGCATCAAGAAAAAATAGTAGGTAGCTAACATATGCAAAAAACACCATATTCATTCAGGTGTACAACATAAGCTTGAATGTATCCCAGAGCTGCAAACCAGTGGAAACAAACAAAGTAGAAAAGCACACTAGCAAACACAAGTGACGCCAAGTGCACCCTCAAATGAAAAAAGAAGCCATCAACCCCACATTCCTCCAGGTAAAATACTGTATATCATGACTTTCCATAACAACCCCACCTCCATCCATCTGCAGCTGTTTACAGGACCCGGAGCACCAGTGGAAAGGTGAGCATAACCCCAGAGAAAGGACTGGAAACTCAGTGGTCATGTAACAATTTTAGCTGTATTAGTGGGAGGAGGAGGAGACAGAGGAGAATTTTAATACAGGTATTTTTGTCTATAAGTATCTTGCGTAATAATGCATCTTGACTAATACTGGCTTAAATTGTTAAGATGTCGATTCTAGTAACAAATTCTACTTTATGTATAACGTGTTTGCCCATAAACAAGGTTTATTTTGTATGTTCTTATGTTCAATCAACAGTTCTCTACATGTACAAATAACTGAAGCAGACCATCTTGATCAATATATGGGTATTATGGCCTATTACTGTGATACTGAAGCTTCCCAACTTGTTGTATGCTGAATTTATTGCTACCTATAAACTTCTACAATAGTAAACCATAAATATTTGGTTCTCCGACACACCTGGCTCAGCCTTTAAAGATCTTTTGGTAGATATTATCAATTTTCTAGGAATAAACATACAGATATAAATGTATATATTCTGATTAGCTGAACCTAATTTGACTTTATTGTTATATATTTTGAAAGGCTGTTTATGACTGTACCCTTCAACCAGTCTGCATAAGTGTCTTGCATCTCAAGAATTTTTGGAGTAGATGAAATTATTTCATTTCTTCAAGAGAAATTCCAAATTAAAATCAATCTTTTTTTCTTTCTGCATGCTAGGATCCTGTGACAAGGACTTATGGGTAACTTCTAAGTTCTTTCTTATTACAGAACTTCTTTGTGGTCTTATTTGAAAGTTATTCTTGTTTTGCTTTCCTGGGTTCACTTCTCCCACTGCATATACTCCCAAACTATTCAAAGCTGAAATCCACATATAATTCTGGTGCTCAGCTTCACTCACTTCATGTAATAAAAGACTTTTAGTAAATGATAAAAGTATGCTCTCACACAACATTACAGAACCAACGTTACAGCAGCAAAAGGGAAGGAATATGACAAGGTACAGCTATAATTTTATCCCCCCAGAGTGTTCAGTATCCAAAAAGGCATGAAATGCCCAAGAAATGTAAACAAAAATTAGCAAGAGGTATAACTAAGGCCTTACACCTTTTGCAGTCATAAGAACACTGAAGGAAACTTTTAGCACAGAATAACATTGCTCCTATTTTTCCTGTCTACGAGGCAGTAAGAACCTTTTCTGTAAAAGAAGATGCACTGTGACAGTGGCAGCTTTGTCATAACCCACCTAAAGCGGCCGTGTCTCTGCGCTGTGTAACTGGTATTCCTGCATCTTGAACCAACGTTACAGAAAAGGGTCCGCATGAAAGGATAAAGGCCCCGACTCGGTAAGTCACGAGCTTCTAAGTAACCTGAAACCAAGCAGCAGCAGAAATGGGACCAGTAATATTGCATTTGCAAACTGTACCATCACATTGTGCTTCCTTGTCCTAAAAAGCCTCTTTGTCACCTGCAAGCAATGAAGTTGTATCAATGTCAGGTGTCTCATTTAAGAAAAACTCAGTCGTCACGGAAAATGAGTAACCTCTGTGTCAGATTGTGACAACAAGCTACATGTGACATTTGAAAGCAATCTTTGAAGAGCTGATTTTCCTGGTAGTAACATTATTGCAGTATCATGTGGTTGCTAGCCCCTCTGCCCAAAATCATGTAACCTGGATTGGAATATAGACTTCTGCACAAAGTGGTATTTCCTATTTTCTCACAGGCTTTCAAAAAATGAAGGAACTGGTGTTCAGCAGTGTCTGAACATGCATCAATCAAGACTGTCTAAACAGCCACTTTTCCATATCTCTAGAATTATCCACAGCTCTCTATAAAGTAAATATATATAATGCAGGCTCCATTCTCTCCAGATAGTTCACTCTATAGATCTAGAATTGTTTTACCAAACTGATTTTTAATGTAGCTAAAGCTGGTTTATCCCCATTTTACTGCATTGGTGAATAACCGAATAATAAACTGAATAGATAATAATATAATAAATAATTATTTTCTAAATGAATTATATTTTGACAAGATAAAAGCAAAAATAGCTTTATAAGGTGGAGGGAGTTTTGAAGTGTTAAAGGAAATGGAGGAATTTAACAAAATATTAATTCTCAATCCCAGGAAGTGAGTAGGGGTGAGGTTCATCTTGTCTAATTGTCAATATCCACCTCTGAGGCAGTAATCTAAACTCCATTACTCAGTAGAAAGCAATAAATACAACTAAAACCAAAATAATCTCCCTCACTCCAAAGCTGACATTTAAAAGTTGTCTTACCAATCAGATCGTAAACTTTGCATCTCTTTCCCACATAAATACAGCTTCCTCAGGCCTGCAGCTGGACAAGATTGAATCCTACTGTAGGACTCTTTCCATTGACTCCACTACATTTAAGTCCCCCCTTCTAGGGTGTCTTTAGTGTTTGCTAAATACTTCTACGAGTAGAAGCAACCAAAATAGAGCACAAGTGAAATAAAACATACAGTTTTCCTTGTATTTTGGGGGCTCCTGGAAGCGGATGGCAGCTAGAATCAAGAAAAGTACACATGGCCACAGTATTTCAGTGAGAGAAAGGACCTGAAAAAGGAAATCAGAACATCAGTCTATAGAACATAGGGTTTGGGAACAAATCATTAAAATTCATATGTCTTTACTTTAAAATAAAAACATTATATATCCTCTCTACAACTATTTAAGGAAAAACAAGACCATTAAAGCAAGCTAACAACTGACTTCTATTGTAAATCCTTATAGCTTTGTGAAATGCACTTCTTTCAGAACAGAAAAGTAGTTTTCATTTCAGTTTATACTGTTTGTAGATACTTTCCTCAGGTCAAGACAAAGACTGGCAACATGATGATAGTGACCTTCAACTTTCCCATACCTGAGCCTACTAGGAAGCCAGCAGCATGCTGCACCTTGGTGAAATTCTTCATGCTCCCCTGAGCCCTTCCTGGTGGCAATACCTTCTTGTCCTTCCTTGACTCCCTGGCTGCTGCCATCACACCCTTTCTGTCACCTGCACTCAAATGCTCTCCAAAAGCCACCTTTGTCATTTCCAGGAGGGAAGACCAAGTGAGACCAAGCTAACAGGCCTGAGGCTGCCCACAGCCACACTTCTCATATCCCAGTGTTCCCATTTCCAGAGCCACAAAAAGGCACACAAGCCAACATGCAGCAGGACTCAGATTTTGAGTGTGTCTTCTCTGAGCAGATTGCACATACACAGCGCACATTCACGCCTCTGCGGAGAGGACACAAACTCCCAAATTGATTGGAAGGAAGAAAAAGAAACACCAAGAAAAGCAATTGTGCCAGTTTTAAGCAGCAGAAAGGAAGAAGCAGCCATTCAGCCAAGTTTCAAAAGACTTCTAGATTCACTGATGACAGCATTAGGAAAGTATTAATAAGGACAGAAACACAGTAGAAGTGACAGCCATGCTGAAGGTCTCCCATTAGAGGCTGTTCAGAGGGATTTTATTTCTAAACTGTCAGAGTTGAACCAAATCCCATCACAGAAGTAAACTTGGGTGTGTCAGAAAAATGCCTAAGAACCATAACATAAGAAAAAATCCAGTGGCTGAGTCTTCCCTGTGGAGAAGGACACCTGTGCTGGACATTAGACAAGGAACTAAAGGTTTCCAGAAATTTAGGGATATCGCCATTTATCTAAACTGATCATACTCAACAATGCAGGAGCCAACCTAATAAAAGGGAGGATGGTGCTTTCAATCTTTTAGGGGTCACCAAGAGCCTGCTGCTCCCGAGGGTGCAGGGATCTGTGTGTGACAGTGACACCCGGCAGGGCAGGGGACCCATCCAGGTACCCCAGAAGGGGAGCAGGGCAAGGCCTGCTATCACAGCCAGCCTTAACCAGGAGTCCAGATCCTCAGCCAATGTCACAGCACGTCAAGCCAAGCAGTGTCCAAGCACAGGGGCTGAGCTGGAGAGCTTCTCCCAGGCAGGAGGGCACAGAAACCCAGTTTTGGCTTGGGCTGCTCAGAGCCCTTAAACTCAGCAGAGGCCCAGAGCCCTGACAGCATCCTCCCCTCCTTGGCATATTCATCCCCATTCCTCCTGTCTGGGGTCAGATGGAGGGCCTTGCTGTGGAGCAGAGCCATTGCTGCAGAGTGTCCGTGGGCTCTCTGTGGGGAATGGAGCCAGCTGCAGCAGCTGAGGGAAGGGCCACTGCAGAAGAGACTTGGGAGGGGATGTCACCAGGCTGCCCTGCAGGGGCTGGAAAGGGTCCAGCTGTCCCTGGGGGCACACACCACCACCATAAGAGCCCACAGGCAGTGGCTGGGGGAAGGTCCCACAAGTTCAGGTGGGGGGTGGGAGACCAGAGCTCGAGGGCTTTATAGGAGAAGGCCCGGACAGCCACAGGCTGGGCTCCCTGCTGCCACTCAGGGCTCAGGACAAGCCCAGCTAGCAGCCAGGGCACAGCACGAGCCAGCTGCTCCCTGAAGGACAGGGAGCCAGGCCGGAGCCAGGGCAGCAGGGCCTGGCCAGGAAGGGCCTGGCCAGCAGTGCTCCGGCAAGGCAACAGGCTCTGCTGGGAGCCTGGGACTCCAGGGGAGCCAGGGCTAAGGCTGGGCCGGGAATGAGGGGATAGGGCATGACTGCTGCTCCTGCTGACAGGAATTTGGGATAAGAACTGAGCTGCAGAGGAAACAACAGGTTGGAGGACACAATGAACCACCAGCATGCTGCAGGCATTGAGCATGCAAAACTGATCGTAACAAGTGATTTCTTGTACACATGGGGAAGTAACGCTGCTGTATAAGGATTACTTTTGTTCAAATAGGAAAAGTGCCCACAGAAGGTCCAAGGAAAAAGTATTTGTGACATTGCAGGATTGCAGTCCTTGCACAGCTGCTTTGCCCAGGCACTGAGGGGAGCTGGAGCCTGAGAGCTCATGACATTCTGGGGAGATGCACCTGGGAGGAATAGTGAGTTTTGGTAGCAGAGGTTTAGGACCCAGCTGATTTTAATTCCAATTGTCCTCTAAATTAGGGCATCAGAATTTGGGAATCACATTTCATCCTTTACCTAGCTACAAATTTGGATGGTGATAAACATTATTTAAATGACAGTTAAGAAATGCAGTGATGGAGAACTAAAGTAGCCTGGTAGTGTGTATGTCCTGAGCTTCTAGAATCTGTAGTAAAAGTAGAAGTAAAAGCTTCTGAAAACAGAAATAAGAATGTATCTTTGGCACAACTGCAATTTCAAACTCCAACAAGTCAAAACGTACAAAAGAACCTGTCCTGCCTTTGAATCATGTTGGTAGAAGGTGCTGATGCCAACCTGAATTTCAGTCACAAGACCTGTTCCTTACAGAACACTTACATCTGTCACAGCCCCTTCACCCTTCACTGTGTAATATCGAATAATGGCACATGGCACTCAGAACACTTTGCTAGTTTATCAGCCCTAACTGCTGATAAACAGCCATCAGGAGAAAATTGTCTTATACAGACAGATCTACGTGGTATGGAACAGCACTGAAGCACATCAGATCTTTCAGGAGGTGTTTCTCTCTTCAGATTCACAAGGGTCTCACCATCTCTGCATAGGTGGATGATCCAACCTGGATTTCTCCCCCCCGTACTGCAGATGGAGCACCTTCACAGCTCAGTGCTTGCACAACAGCACACAAGGAGGTTTTGCAAGTTCCCCAGGGCAGCTTCTGCCTCTCGACAGACAGAATGAAGTTTGCTTTGGATCACCCTTGTGATCACTCCTGGCTTGGAGAAGTCTGCTTCTCAGTGAGTTCTCTATTCAGGAAATCTACCAATTAAACAAACTTATGACTTACATGAACTAAGATTTTTTTTCTTTCAGAAATATATAAGGGAACACAACACAGAACAAGAGGAGAAATAGATCCACATGCAGGGAAACAGGAGATACAGAGAAGCCACTTGATGCACCCCGATTGAACTTAAGAACTGTACAGGCATGGAGAATAATATGACCAACAGCATCCTTCCCCCAAAAGTATATTTTATATTAGAAAACATCACTTTCATTAACTTGGGGAAGAAATTCCTCTCTAAATCTCTATTTTATTGAGGCTAAATATTTCTGAAACTGAAAGCTGTGTGCTTGTTTAATTGAAATAATCCTATCCAAAGCAGCTAACATGCTTCACTGCAAATCCCCAGATCATTATAGACAAGTGAAATCTGTGTGAAACTATTAATTGAAGTGACCTTTTTTCCCCACAAAAATGTTCTCTCACTTGAGAAAATTCACTTCCTTCTATCCTAAATTTTTTTTTCCATCACAGTAAAGGTAAAAGTCATCAAATATCTAATTTTCATCATTTTAATTTTGACTTCTATTTTAAGCAGCTGTTTTCTGTTTTAAAACATTATTTTGCATATTGGAATTTGAAAGGTTAAATTAGGCTTTGGAGAGCAGATAAGAAAGGAAATTAAGAAGTTTATGCAATTTTAATACACAATACATTCCCTGTATCTAGACTTTGATCACAGTCATGCAAGCTTTCTTACATTACCTATAAGCACCTGTAATGTGAAAAAAATTTATTTTCTCTCTTGCCACTGCTAACCAGCACTGCTAGTATCTAATGTTAATTAAAAGATAAGAAGTGCCTCTTCAAAATTTTTATGACATTTGTCTCATTTGCAAATTGGGGAGAATTGGTGTATTCAGCCATTTTAGAACTAAAACAACACGTTCTATTCTTGTGTTTTCAACAATTAGGTGACAAAAGGCAAAACAAGAACCACTTGCAGCCAGCCTGTCCTTAACAATCTGCAGTGAAAAGGGAAAACCGATAGACACAATCTTTCCAATACCAAATACTAATACTAATATTTCCAGATACAAAAAAAATTTAAATATTCCTTTCTTAATTATTTCCAAGCACTCACCGGTTGCCTCACACGGCAGAGCCAATTTTTCCAAAACAGAGCCTTGAATTGGTGCATAGCATGCCCCATATTTTCTTTTCTTTCCTTCATCCAGTTGCAGAGGGGACTTTCTAACTCAGAATCATCTCACCAAGGAGTCCAAACGTATTATTCAGAAGCTGATTAATTCCAGCACTAGTGAATAGTGTAGGAGATTTGCCTGCTTCCTCAGAAAAGATGAGATTATGTTTCTGCCTCTTGTTTTGCTTTCATTGAGGAATCTCATCTTTCTGTTTTTCTTCTCAGCGCAATGAACAGTAAGGGGATGGGTTTATAGAAATGCCTTCAGGCTGCTTTACTCCACAGCATACATTTTGCACTTGTTTCTACTTTTCTGAAATAAAAATGGATGCAAAAAAACAAAGGGATGGAGAAAGAACATGTAACACACATTTATCTTTTTACAAAGTTTTGTGATTTTTTGTCACTTTAGTGTTTATGTCTGTTTGTTTGCAGATGCTCATATTTTTGAAAAAAAAAATAGTAGGAAAATAAATAGGAAAATAAGTCTGTTTCACAACATAGCCCTAAAAATGTCAGTATGCTTCCAGAACATCCTTGTAAGTACACATCCAACACTATAGTGGTCCCAATGCATCATCAGATGACTGTTGAATTTTCTCTTGTGGAGGGTGTATGTCTGACATTTTATTCTCTTTACCTACATAGAGGGGCAATATTCCAACAATAAAAAACTCCATTAATTAATTTCCACATGCCACCTGGGATGAAAATCAGTCTTACAGCAGCACTTCCTTCAGCAAAGAGGTGGGAGAGCAATTCCTTCTGCAGAAGGGGAGCATGTGCAGACCTGTGGTAGCAGAGCCAGTGGGAGACCCAGCAGGAATCTGGTGGTGCAGAGGATGACCACCCTTCCCACCAGGAATGACACTGTCAGCAGAGGACTAAACTTTCTGGGTTTTGTTTTTTTTTTTGGTCTACACAAATGAATTGCCTAAGAATCTGATCCCCAAAAGCTCTTTCTTATGGTCAATAGAGACACATAATACAGCCATTATATAAGGTAATTCAAACCATCTAGAATCTAGAAACCAGTCATGATTCACACACACACACATAGGACAGCATGATGCCTGAACAAATATTCTTTATTTCTTATTATTGCTGAGTAAATTGCATCATTGCACTATCTACAAATATATTGCTATTGAATGAAAGACACAATCTAACATTCACAGCTATTTTTCCTCATTAAGAGTAAAATCCCCCAAAATATAAAAACTTTTTTGATACAGAAGTCATCAAAGAGGAATCCAACTTCCATTAGATTTAAGCCAGGGCAGCAATTTTAAAAGCTAATAAGTCTGCTACTTCTGCGATGAACAACTGCACATCTGCAGATCTAATTAATTATGCCAGTTTCTACAGGATAAGCTTGTGTTGAGTGCCTTAGCTTCCCTTTCCCAGGCTTTGGGTTTGGGTCACCCAGCATCAGTTTTGGCCCTTCAGAGCACATTCTAAACTAAGTTAGAACGCCACTTCCTGGGAAACTGACTGATTAGTCTGTTAAAATATCTCTATTTGGAATGGTGCAAATTTCTGCTTTAATTTTTACCTTTTCTATGGTTCAAGGAACAGAGAAAAAAACAGACTAAGGTGTCATGAATTCATTAGTTTTACATACTGGTCAACATCACCTTCCAAAAGACAGAAATCACAGAGAAGTCATGGCAGAATACGACTAGCTAAACACCTTCATTTCTCAAATATGGTGGGATTTCCTTTTATATTCGCTGCTCTGAGACTGAAAAATTACTGAAGTAATCATTTAGTTCAAATAGAAATGTGAAAGTCCTCAGGACATACTAAAAAACTAAACAGTTTAATGTTTACCTGAATGACGTTAAGCACGTATGTATTTTTGAGTCAGGATTAACTAATACCTTATCCAGGAACGCCACTCCACACTTGGATGGCACTTCTGCTTTCAGTCAAGCAGTGCTAAAATGCCTGCTGTTTCAGAGCATGGGCAGTCATTTTTCTTGCTAGGATCAAAGATGACATTCTGTGATAGCAGTGATGAAATTCTGTGCACAGCAGAAGTATGCATTTTTAAACAATTTTTTTTTTCAGAAACTGAAATTGAAATACTGTTAATTGTTAATATGTGTGAGATCACACAGCCATTCTGGAAAGCCAGGGAGAAGAATCTTTAGAATGTGATTTGTAGGAAGTTATAAATTACTCAGCATAATGAATTACAAGCAGTTACTTATCAAAACACCTGATATGGAAGAGAGTTCCTGTCTGTCTGTGTGTGAGCTAAAGCAGCTCACATGAACCATCTGCCAAATTATTTTGAACAAAACTTTCTGTAAAATCTCTGCCTATCTGACTGTGATGTGTTAATTTATTAAGCCCTATATAATTACATTCTCATAAATGTGGCATTCTATTTTCATTGAACCAATTATTTTGTATGCAATTAGTGTCCAGTACTAATGAACTACTACTCCCCATTCTACTGCGTAAGACACTCAATAGACAAACACCTTTCACCATCAAGTTACGTTGACTTCATTTGTCTCTTACTTCATTAGAGAAGTCTCTCACTTCCTATAGAAATTCAATCTTGCCTCATTTTGTGTCCTCCAGTGGCAGACCTACTTTTTTTCTAGAATGAAGTTTAGGAAAGTAAAAGATATCCATTCCACCAAGAACAATCGCTGCAGTGACATTCTGGGAAATTACTTCTAAAAGTAATTTTAGAAGACACAGATTCTATGAGCTTGATTGTATTATTTTGAGTGTCATAGAAATATGAGAATTATTAAATTAAACAATCACCCCCCAGCCCCAAACAAACCCTTGCCACAAAAGATATAGTATGAAAATGAAACACAGAGGCAGGAAAATCCAAGGAGTAATGAACATGTTTGGAAAGATGCATCAGCTATATTGCTGCCATCCTGGAAGCTCTTTTGAATTCCTAGGTTTCATCAGGAGAGCATCAAGCAGTATCCTGTGCACGTACCAGCCTTAAATATCTATATTAACTATATAATTACTTCACTATAAACAGGTAATAGCTATATTAACTGAATATTTTCAGGGTTCCTTGACAAAGTGGCTGTAGTCAACAGCAACATCTTGAGTATTGCAGGGCAAATTAGAAAGGTATGGATTTCATCATGTGCTCCACTCCCTCCTTCTGGAATGGAAACAAAAACAGGCTCAGAATTGGGTCTCTGAGTAAAGACAAGACAGAGTGATCTGCCCTTTTTTGCTTCTGCTTACGTTTAGCAGGCTTTGCCTCAGTTTTAACTCAAAACTTTACTTTTATAATATACAAGTTATCCCAAATCACTGGGCTGAAAAGGCAGAAAAGCTCCTGCCAGCATCCAGCTCTGGTTTTAAAACTTGACTGCTTTATAATATCATACCATCAACACGCCATGTCTAGCCTACAGTTTTAATACAATGTAATTAGAGTAGGCTGGCAAGCACTTTCAAAGAAACATAATTTTATATGTTAAATAGGTTGAAGCCCGGGAGCCAACAATACTGTTTGGTATGGACAGGAATGCAGTCAAATCATGGGAGAATATGGCTGGGAATCTGGCAAACAAACCTATTTTCCTATCACCACCCACCACTTCTTTCACAAGGTTTATTAAGTAATCACAAGGCTTTCCTTTTAATATTAATAGGAGTACTACTTGTAAATATTTACATGGGCCAGACCTGTGTTCAGACAAAGTGCCTGCAGGATGACATCAATTAGTAGCATCTTTCCTGGGAGACGCTTCGTGTGTGCAAAGTTAGGGCCTGATGAAAAATGTTAGTTGTGGGCCAGGTCAAATAATGGGGCTGATTAAAATGGAGCTATGTGTTAAACCAACAAAACAAACCCAGTCTCCCAAGGAGGCTGGTAGTTTGTTTGAACTTCTGGGGAGCTCTAGGAAATTTACTCTCGTAAAATGACAAACTGATAGGAAATTGAAAATTTTCTCACAGCTACAAGCTCAGTGCCAACAAGAAGCGTCTGGAATCAGGCTCATGTGTCATGTAAAACCAGCTCTTGTCTGTCTTTTGCTGCTGCTTCACTTTGTTTGTAGCCCAAGCAAAAGCACTGTACCTGTCAGCATTACTCTTTCTTCTATTATTGCACCACAGAGTTTCAGATTTAATATTGATCTGTTCAGCAACTCCTTTCTCTTCAGCAGAAGACTTTCTGGGCTTGTAATTTAATCCATACTCTGGAGCATAATATTAAATGGCAATTATTTTAGAAAGATAAAACATTAATTTTAGTCACTCAAAGACTGACAAACTTTCAGGAAAAGCAAACCTCAACATTTTGTAGCAAACCAAAACAGCAACATCAAATCACATGACTGTGCCTTCTTGTATTCTGTTGTTACACGCAGATCCAATCCCCAAAGCCCAATTTGCTGCTTTGGTTTTCTTTCACCTGATTTTAATGGAAATTAAAACCACCCCTGATTCAGCCATACAACCATTTTATTTAGGAGTATATATTGAGATCCCAACTTTAAAAAAATCCAGTTCTGTTCCACAATGCACTGAAAATCCTTTACAAAGAAGAATGTTAAAAAAACATGTTGCTTATTACATGCATATACTTTCAAGAAATACTGAAATTATCAAATTATTTCACTTGGTTTTTAAAGGACAAATAAAAAAATTTGTTGTCTAACCACTTGTGGACATAGGTCATTCCATAATGTTCCTTGTCAGGATTTCTCACACCTTCCTTTAAAGAAAATCCTTCTCTGAGACATATCAAGATGCCAAAAATAAAAAAATCCACTCCTTCAAATAACTGTCTCAGTTCCTGCTCTTTTCAGTCTCTTGCAAATGTAAAACCATTGCATTATAACCTGTCTTCATTATGATCTCAACCATTTCTTCAACAAAATGGTAGGAATAGGCCAGAACATCATGACTCACAGAACAAACCATTGGTAGGAACCACTTTTTTCTCCCTTCCTGCTTCCACTCTATTCACATCTTATGCATTCCTTCTTTGCTTTTATCCCTTCTGACCCCTGGATTAAATGGATTGTATAGTATTTTGCTAGGTACAGGATAGCACAGAGAACCACAGCAGGTCCTTGATTTGAAATGGGATTCTGGAGTTTGCAGGATTCGTAAATCTACTTGGAGACGCTGCATTATGTAATATTGAACATATATGTGATACCATACATGTTTTTTAAAATATCACCACTCCAATTCCTGATTCATGTTCTACAGAAAGAATAATAATGGGTATATTGAAAAATTGACTTGCCTATAAAACCTGTAAATATTGTAAAACTCTCTGTAAAGCCTACAGGAAGGTAACTTCTTGGCCGGATGCACACAAGTGACTCACTTCTCTATCTCCCTGTCCAGGTGCAGTCACAAGGGAAAATACAATTGTTCTTATCAGAGTAACAGTCTGCCAAGTTTCCCCTGAAGTCAGGAAAAGTATTTTATTGCATGTCAGATGTGTCTGTAGAGTGACCTCTTGCATTAGGAACACAGCATCAGGAAAGGGGGAACAGCAGAAACAGGAGGATTCTTGGTATCCTTTGGCTTCTAATTTTAAGCTTTCATATGTCCCTTTAGTCCATCTGGTGGGAAGCACAGAAGTAAATCTTTTAGCAGAAAGAAATGTACAGTGTCCTAAGGAATAGTGGGAAGGAGGAAGGACATACAGGAAAAAGGTTAATGGTTCATCTTTCAAGAGGCTTCTGCCATGGTCTTGGCTATTGATTTAAAACAATAATTGCCTCGTCCCATGAATGCATGACCCTTATCTCCAGCTTGGCCAGGCGACAAGACCATTTATATCTTAGCATCTAGCACATAAGAGTTTTCATATGAGTTCTCACTCATATGAAAACTCTTATGTGAGTTTTCATATGAGTGAGAATAGTGCCTACACTATTTGACTGTAAAAACAAAAATTTTTTGTTTCATTTGACAGCACACACTGTTAAAATAATTCAAGAAATTCTTTTTAACAAGTTTCCAGATTAATTCTGTCCTTGCTTTAAAAAGACAAATCACATAATTTTAGATTTATATCTCCAGGACAACTGTAGTAATATGCTTCCCCAGAGCTTCACAGTCACATTAAGTGTTTGTTTTCTAGGTAAAACATTTTCTTTGTCTCTTTAGGTACTTCTTATAAAGTATTTCTTATACAACAGCAAACTGTCTCCTCCAAACCTATACCAGTCAATTTGGTGTAAGACTTCCTTCATCATAAAGTGCAGCACGCACTGACATGATCTTGTTTTTATCTCCTTGCTGCTTTTTTGAGAAAAAAGATGTGCTTTGTTGCATGTTTCCCAAAGGGTCTCACAGACTTCACACAATGCCTAGGCAAGCACCAGGCATAGTTAAACACAGATTGTTTGGTTTTGGTTTGTTTGGGTTTTTTTTTTGTTTGTTTTTTGTTTTGTTTTGTTTTGTTTTTTGGGGGGTTTTTTTTGTTTGTTTGGGTGTTTTTGGGGGGTTGTTTGGTTGTTGTTGTTTTTTGGGGTTTTTTTTGTTTTTGTTTTTGTTTTTTGTTTTTTTTAATAAAGGAGAAACAGTTCAAACAAAATATAGAGCTATTCCCACTTCCCTTCTTTTCTTTAGGGGAAAAAAGATTTTCTCTGAAAGCTTACCTTCTCTGTGTATCTGATGATAAATGAGAAATTATGGTTTTAAAATTAAGAGAAGACTAGATTGTAACTTTCTAAAAGTTACTAATATGTTTTCCAGCTGAAAAACTCATTAAATTTAAGGAGACTGATCCTCAATGGTAATTTTCTGTTCATGTGTCACCCTTCTTTATTTTTAATGTTTTCATCACATTGTTTCCAGTCTCTGTCACTTGACGACTGTGCCTAATACTTACATCCTTCTCTTACAGTTCTAACCCTTGTGCTTGTTAACAGCATTGCAGACTGCAATCCTCACAAAGAAAAATCTCATTTTCCTGGGTCAGCCACTGCTGTTCTGAGAGCTTATTCAGACTTTTTGACTTGTGACCCCTGCTAGGACTGGACCCTCCCCCACTGCAATAGAAAAAAGGAAAATAAAAAAGAAAAAAAAAAAAAGAAAAAAAGGAAAAGAGATAAACACATTTTCTTTAACTGACCATGTATCCACACATTTACATTCAAACCACAGCAGCAAAGCAGCCAGGAGTATGATTTTTTAAAAAATCCTGAACACTTAGGCCAATGTTAGTGGAAAAAACTGCAATTGCAGAAGGGGTTTTGATGGCATGTACTACTAAGAGGTATACTCCAGTTCTTCAGAAGAACTGGGAACCATTGCAACAGTGGGTGTTATGTCCTGAGAATGGAGATGAATACCAATTAAAAAAAAAACCAAAAAAAAAAACAAAGTAAAAGCAAGAAAAGAAAAGGGCTACCATAATACCTGTGAACATGCTGTGCATCTCCCAAATGCCTTCGATTCCTCTTCATAAGCAGGAGTCTTGTTTCAGCAAAAGATTGCTAGTATCTCAATGCAAAATTACTTAATGCATAAATATTTCCTGGGTATGGATTCAATTCTTTAGTTAAAATATTGCTGGATTAGTATCTAAGCAGTACAGATATTCAACAGCTCAGTGTCAAGTCCTTAATGCTTAGAAACTTCAGTCCCGCACTTTGCAATTCCATGAAATTTTAATATATGAAAATAGTATTGTTTATTTATCAAAGTCTGCAAAAAAACTGTATTCACTTTAAGTTTTATTTACAAGTGAAGCAACAAAGACAATCATAAGTTATATAATTGTTTATAACAACAAGAAAATTATTCAAATTTTTAAGTTAATTTGCTGGTATGCGTGTACTTGGCCATAAAGTTTGATTTTCTCTCTAGTTTTTCTTTTACAGCAGAGATAAATAAAGCTTTTTCATGTATTATCACAGCCTTGTCCTTCACAACAGATCTGCTTTCCAATTCATAGAAAAGTGAGTTTTCTATCCAGCAATGCATAACTAAGTAAAACTTAACTGAAGTCCTTCAGCACATTCAGTTCCCAAAGAACAGTGACATAAATGATTAACTCCCACTGACACACGGAATGCTGTAAGTTATTCTGAGGCAAAAGACCTGTAATGCACAGAAATCATAACCTGATCTGTACAAAGGCCTTCTCCTTCTCTAAAACACGAGATGGATATTTCACAATTTCCCAAGACTTTTCTTAATGAAATATCCCACTAACTTCTGCGGCCTCTGCTGGTACTCCACAAGGACATCATGTGGGCTGCTGATCTGATCCCCTTCGAGTCGATTCAGAAGAGTAACACACACTACAGCAGCTAGAAATTAAAAGACAGCATTAGTTAGGAATGACACTCTTGCATTTTACAGTCCAAAAGCATAAACATTTGAACAAACCACTAAAAGAACAGAAACACAAGAGAAAACAAATCCCCAAAAAAGAGTGTGCAGTACCATGAGATGCTAGGGGACTAGCATGCTGGATGATACAAGGTAGAAATAGTTTAAGTTAAGCTTGCTACACTAATAATAAAGCCAGAGCTCTCAGGCAGCTGCAGACTTAATGTTATTAATGTTAATAGCTCATGTTATATCATGATTCTTATGCTTTCCTTGATAGGGAGTGTATTTCACAAGTACCCAGTACATGCCTGCTAGGAAGTGCCTGGCACACAATTCTAGCAGAGCCAGTTACAGTCCTGTGCTGAGTGCCTGTGCTGTAGGTGCCATCCCTCAGAAAGCAGCAGATAAGCTACCTCCACATTCATGGACAGGGAATACTGCAAGCACATGAGGACCCCATGGATCATCTCAAGTTCATATGCTGGCTTCATATGCAATCACCAGAGCCCCAAAGGCAAAACCCCTCCTTTCACTCAAGCTCAGGTCTGTCACTCAGCCCTGTAACTCTGCTCTGTCTGGGGTTTCTGCCAGTGGCAATTTGCAGAGCACAAACAGTAAATACATATTAGAGACGTACAAAGCAGAGACAGCAAAAGGCTTCGTGAATTGCCCAGGGATAGTACTGGTTGGGTTTTTAATCCCTTTCAGGCCAGTAAGAACTGAATGTGTTTGATATAATGATTGGCCTTTTTGCTTATATTTAATCATTTGACTTCCTCAAGCTTAAAGGAGTTTTAGAAATATCAGTATTTTAAATCAGCATATTCCTTGCTAAGGAAAGTGAGAGAAGACAGTTAATATGAAAAGAAGAAAGACATTGTTTTACATTATTTTTAATTTCCCTTTTTTATTTAGCATGCATTTAAAAAAATGAACTCATTTTATGATTTGGAACAGTTTATTCATGATGCTACTAAAAATCCTCAACTGTTTAAGAATGATAGTCTTAAGTCTACAGAAAATGTTCCATTTGATTTGAAAGTATAGAAACTGAGTATAGTTACATATATATAGATCTGAGAATCACCTGATTGTTTAAATTAAGCAGTTGCTTTCTATAAACTTCAGAAGCTAACTAGAAAAAACAAATTAATGCCATAGGTTAATTAGGTACTTTAATGATTTACACTGTTGCCATGGGCTGGAATAGCAAATGACAGAACTGTGTAAAAACTGCATGAGGAATTATGATAAGTTGTGACATGACTGAAACAAATCAAAAAATGATAGCAACAAAATTATAAGCAGGAATATCTTTTATATATATGTGTATGTGCAGAAGGTATGTTAACATTCCTTTGCAGTTTTTAGCCACAAATGCCCTGCAATACAATACATTTCCTATAGCTAGGATAAAGTGACTAAGTTAGGTTACCTTTGACACCGCTGAGATTACACATTGCAGCAAATACAGAAGACTCCATCTCGATGTTTCTGACACCAGACTCATAAGCATTCTTCAAATATTGCAGTTTTTCTTCTTCATCATATAAGCAGATTGCACCATCCAACCTGCCCTGTCCTAGAAAGTAATTTTGTAGAACATTTCAGAGTGATGAAGTCACAGACCAAATTCAATTTTGAAAACACCCAGTTATTACAGTCTCCTTAATACAGTGCTCAGCTTTTACTCCTACTCTTTATTTTTGTGCATAAGACAAATAGGACAAAGTGATTCTCAGCTATTGCTAGAGCGTATACATATTATTTGTATTCTTTATAATCATGGTAACTTAATGGTAATTGGTGAATCATGGTAACTTAATTAGTCTTCTTCGCTTCAATTCCAAAATTCATAAGCAGGAAAATGTATGCTGTACATTACCACACGTACAAGTACCAAAATTCCACAACAAACTTTAAGTTGTATGGAAGCGCTGCATTTTTAATGTGTTTAATCACTGATTAAGCACATCAAAAAAAACCATTAAAAAACACATTAAAAAAACCACCAGGCTTAAAAATGCTCTCCTGTTCCTACCTTAAAAGGATGAACATTTTATTACTTACAACTTTCCAAGGTAAGACATGTAGAGTCTCTTAAGCTAACTAGCTCATACTGTTGTAAATTCTGAGAAAAATTTTTAGTCAAATTATTCAAGAACATCACCTACAGACAAGACAGCAGCAGGCTAAGTACAGCAGAGTTGAAATACACTGTATTTTACTCAGTCTCTTCTTGAGTTTGGGAGATGTACTCCTAAATTAATGTCCTCAATCCTGTTCTCAGCTTTTGCTGTATGAGTTGAAAACATCCCTGACACTTTTTTTAGTGTTGCTTGCACCTGTGGTTGGTGCCTGAGAAACACAAACTGACAGTGTGTGCTTCTGCCCAAGCTGGAGCACTACAATGAAGACCATTTGACCCCTACTCAGCAACAAACAGAAAAAGTGGGATGAGGTGCCACTTATATTCTGTTCTCACAAGGTTTGAAGGGCGTTTCTGAATGAACATCTAGATTTGGGAGATCAGAAAAGCACCTGAATGCCTGTGTGTTTATCCAAAATAGGAGGTATTGTAGGTTTGTGTCTCCTACATAGCCACACTGACATAACTCAGCAACTTATCTTTGGTTGTTTGATCACTGCTTTGCTCAAACTGAAACAGCTTCCAACCCTTTTTTTCATAAAATATTTACTTTAGGTACATAACCAGTGCAAAGAAAACCAACCCTAAACAAGTCACAAATAATTCCCACTCCTCTAATCCCCTAGGATGCTTCAATAAATCACACAAATTTTGTGACAAATATACCTGACAGGTACATGAGAAGTGTATAGTAGACTGTATGTACTTCAGAGGATCTATTAAAGCTGGGGAGAAATCTCCACAAAATTACAAGTTTGCTACAGCCAACTGCTAAGTACAATGCTTGATTTTAAGTAGATGAAAAATAGTTTAATTGAGATTTTTGAGACAAGCCAGAGTAGGGAATGCATTCTGTTAGTGAACTGGAAGCTTAATGTTAATATATTATTCAATATTTATCTGTTGCTGCTTACCAATATTCTCCTGTTAGTCTATCACCAGCCTTACCTTCATAGAAATCCAAAGTGCACATGGTGTTTCCAATGACTGTATGGAACTGACCGATTTCTTTACTGCACTGCATCAGCTCCTTAGCCAGCTGTTCATCCAGGCTAGTGCTGCGAATTACTGTCTTTCCCAGGACAACCTGCTCCAGCTGAGGCTTGAAGGTGGCATCTACAGACTGCCTCGTTATAACCACTGAGCCTGGCTCCAGACCTGCAGCAAAAGGAAATAGATATATCTTCACAATGCAGTTAACTAGTAGTTTCCAGACACATAAAACATACATCTTGACCCAATCCTGTTTATTTTAAAGGTGGGAATTTTGCCTCTGAATCCACCAAGAGAATTTTTTGTCCATGCCCAGCTGCTTCAGTTTATTATTACAAGTAATTTCTGAAAGAAATAAATTTTTCCTTTTTTACTTCTTTCTTATATTTTCATACAGGACAGGAACATCCTCCTTCTCACATTGTCAGATCTTTAAGTGCATTTTCCCTATGCAAAAGTAGATGTTGCCTTTACTTTCAAAATTACAGAAATAAAATGATGCACCTCCTGTGGAAAACTGTTCTGACCATTAATGTCTTACATGCAGAGAGATGCTTTACTCTCCTGCAATGACACTTTGGTTTGCAGAAAGGAAAAAAAGAAATCAAGAGGGGAAATACCTATTCCACCAGAGGTGCCAATGCGAATGATGGTTATGTCTGAACACTTGGCATGATACAACAGTTTGATCAGCTCGTGCAACATGATTGAAATAGAAGGAATGCCCATACCATGCTGAAAAGGAAACACAAATTAATATTCCACATTCACATAGACAACACAATATATATGTGTAAGAAGCAGCTGGACATTATCTCCTGCCTGATACTGTTTTCCCAAGTGCCACCTAAGTCACTCCCACAAAACTCCCAGCTTCTGGGCCTACAGAAAGGTACTGAAAGGGCCTACAAATAGACTCCCACTAGCTTTGGCAGACTGTGGATGAAATACAGTATTTCTAAAAATCATTAATTACAGAACATTTACATTCTCAAAAGTATAGAGTGTCCTTTCCCAATATCTGACTAATGCACTTCATCATGGAGCATTTCCTAAACACAAGAAAAACCCCACTCTGATTTTTTACCAACCTGAAGTGCTAGTGAATAGTCCAGCTAATTTTTTTCAAAACACAGACACACTGTGGTTTAGTCTTGACGCTCAGCAAATACAAATCCACATTAGTTTACACAATATTGTGATAATTACAGCTCACAAGAAAGGGTGCAAAGTAATACTAAAGCTTTGCAATTGCAAATGAAGCATGTAATTGTGTCTACAAATTGAAGCTATGATTTCTTTAAAATGCATACATGGCTTGGCAGCACCAGTCCCATGGAATGCTACTCTTAAGCACATTTGACAGTGCCATTGCAGATACATGGATCTAGATGTGATATAGACATTTTTCCAGTACCCCACATGCACCAAGTGAATTTTTCCCCCATTTCAGGGTACAGAACAGGGATAAGGCAACAGTAACTGCTCAAAAAATCTATAAGGCCATTCCTGCAACACCTCAGTGGTACACTGAGGACAAAGGGATGCAAGAAGGAGCAAAGGTAGTGGAGATTTTCCCTTTTACAAAAAAGGGCTAAAAAGGAATCCTTAATTAGTTGACTGCACTGTTTTGAGCAGCCTGTTTAGGATTGTGAAGTATTTAAAAGAAACATTCATGTCGAACAGCATGAAAACTGAACCATGTCCCGTGTCAGACGAGGGCAAGCACTTACACTGACAGACAACACGGGTCCCACTTTGTACATGGCGTAGCGGTCGGTGCCCGCGCAGATGTTGGGGTAGTCACTTCCCGGGCTCCCGAGCCCCAGCTCCTCTGCTATGTAGGCAATAAAAGCTTTCATCCTGGAAGGACTTCCTCCAACACACACAAACTGGGGCGGACAGAGTTCCATAACACAAAATCAATTGTGTAATTCAGTAGGTCAAAGAACAACACGAGTATGCAAATGCCTTCAGTTAGCACAGATTTATCCCCAGATATGATGCTTCTCTTAATCATTCTAAAATGCCATGAAGAAGAATTATGGAAAAAGCTGTCTACAGCACTCAAATGCCTCCACCCTGTTTAAACTAATGAATGACAAATATTGATATGAAGACCCAACAAATAGAAGTTGTATCTGAATAGACCCTACAGCATTTGCCTTTTTAATGGATGAAATGAGACAGTCAAAATCAATTACCCTCAGCTTTGTTGGATAGCAAAAGTGACAAGAACCCACAAAATTTTTCCGCTTTTGCATGTACTCCTCAATTGCTGTTAGGCTGACACAGTCTTATTCTGAAGACAGCTACACTTTCACCTTCTGCAGAAAAACTCAGGCCTGCTGAACAAAGCAGAGCATCTTACCTTTACATCCCCAAATAATGTCGGAAAATCATGGGTACCGGTCCCAAGAGCAAAATGGTACAGAATGTCTTCTTTCATTTTCTCCAGGTGAGGATTGCACAGATGAATAAAATTCTCTCTACCAAGACATCAGCATTGTGAAATATATAGAATATATACAAATATATATAGAATATATACAAACATTGAACAGCTGACAATTCTTCAAAGTCAAGCATTCAAAAGTTGGGAAATACCATGCATACAAATGTCTGTACTACCTTATTTTGGTTCCTTGTGCATTGTGCTAATGAAACCCTGAATTCCATAACACAGGATGAAATTGCTGAAGAAAAGCCCAGATGTTCAGATGCATTTGCAACAGTGTAATCTTAATCTTTATCTTATTATCTTAAATAGTATTAAAGCTGGGTACCGTAGTGGGTCTTTATGGTGAGCAGAACAATGGGAGCAGGACCAGGCAAAAGTCAATAGCCCACCATAATACAGAGGCAATCTATAGCAAAACTCAAAAGCAAAACTTGACCTCTGTTTTGACTGAAACTCTGTCAGCCACCTGAGAAGGATGGGATGATTTCAGCTTTATGGACAAGCTCAAACTAGATTTCTGGCAATTCGTCTTACTCTGTCATAGACAGGAGCAAAAAACCCTATGTCATGAAACTGATAACAAGGGTACAGAGGATCTGAAAAACAAAAGAGAAAAGTGGAGATCTGAAGCAAGGAGAAAACCATAGAAGTGAAAAAAAAAATTCAAGAAAAGGGAAAAGAGGGGAAGAGGTAAAAATAATTCACTTCTTCCTAAGTGCTTCTTGTAAAGAAATGATACATCTTAAAAGAAAAATAAAAATTAATCTATCTGAAGAGACAGGAAATGACAGGACCAGGGAGGGAAACCTGAACTACTTGGCCTGTGGGATCACGTTCATGGATAATTCAATAGTGGGCTACCTAAACAAGCTGAATGATTTATAAAATGTCTACTTTCTGTGCTTGATGTTTTAAGTTGAATTGAAACAGGTAGGAAAAGACTAGTCAGTAAGTACAAGCTTAAGCAGAACACTTGCCAGTACTTCAAAGTAATTTCTGAGAGATGGAATCAAGCGGTAAATAGCTTCCAGACACAAGAAGATTATTTAATAGCTTAATGAAGGCCCAGTGGAAGCACAGCATGGCTCAGCAAATTCAAACTGCTTTGTCAGAGGAGACAAACAAAAGAGTTCACCTGGACTTCATTCAAAAAATCATTATGACAACTAAGGAACAGCTCTGAAGCCTAAACAGAGGTGTTTAGCACTATTTTAGATGGTCCAGATTACTAGGTTATCTTATCTGCCTTCTAATGCCTCTCCAGAAAGGAGATAAGGCAGAAAGGAACTATGCTTTCCATTTCTTCCTATGTCTTATCTGCCTGTGCAGGATGCAGGAAGTCTACAGTGGCCAAGATGCCCATGCTGAGGTCACTGAACTCTTCCCTGGAAAGCAAATAGTTACAACCCAGATATTCTGAGTATAGCAATTTCTTCTGTTCCTGATGGTCTCTCTCCAACATCATTAATTATCCAGTAACAGCCGCACCACCAAGGAAAGAGGTGTCATCCCAACCCACCCTATCTGTCCCTGCCCACCGCAGACAATCACCTTCAGCAAAAACTGAAAGAGCTGCCCACCCAGGCAGCCAGTCCATTCACCCCTTCAGTAGGAATTCCCTTCCATCTCCCATGGTCTCCATTTGCCTCCCTTCAAACAAATCCTGCCTGAGGTGGAACCAAAGGCTTTGGCTGCCTTTTTTCTTCCTTCCAAGAGACCTGTTTGGCTCTGGGAGGACTGAAGAGCAGGTGTATGGCTTGTCATGAAGACAGACAACCTAGGAATTCACCAGCTCATATTAGCAGAATTTCTAGGCTGCCTCCCCTGAATTATTCCTGTTCAGTTTTGTGGGACACTCTACATTTATTTACTGGCTCACTCACTAATGCAGATCCAATATCTGGCTGTACTGATGTCCATTGGAATGACTGTCACATACAAATAGGATAGGCTACAATTTGAAATCATTTTACAATCTATCCTCAGGTGAGCAAAAAAAAATGTTTCCTTCCTCATGAGAACACTGGCAATAAAAGCTTCTCTCCAAGAAATAAATTGTGGAAAGGCAAGACCCCTATTAAAAGTTCAAGGAAATTCATGTAATACCACTGTCCTCATGCCTGGCCAAAACACAGCTTCCTTCCTCATCTGTAGCTATATTCCACCCTTTCATCTCACAGCCCACCAACAGCACTCTCTGACAGACCACCTCAATATAGTGAGGGGCCATTATCAACTTGCTCAGCTTATCCACACATCTGATTGCAGACTTGGACCCTGGGTAAAATGACCAATAAAAACTAGCATATTATTATGTGTACATAGGATCAATGCCATGGATTTACAGGAGAGGCAAAGTTTGCTTGATAAAAATCCTTGGCATGCAAAGTTCAGGAGCAGAAAATTTATTTCCCTAGAGCTGTTGTAAAGCACCTACAACTTCTAAGGGTATAAGTAAAATACAAATCCAAAGACAAAATAAGCTTAAAGTAAGGATTAGAGAAACACACTGAAATATTTGTTTGAACTCTTGAAGCAGCAGCCAAAATCAACATTTCAGCATCTCATTGGATTAAAATAAGAAAAAATAAAAACATCACCCTGCTTTGAAATATTCACTGTTGAGAGAAGTTCAAATGGCTAGCCACCTCTGTATAGGTGTGGTAAAGCAATAAAGCATCCAATTGTCAAAACATCTGCTACTGGATACTTGGCACTATTATCATAAAATTTATCTTCAACTGAATGAGTGTGTAATGAGTTTGGGGAGGAAGTTGAAGTGTAAACTTGGACAAAATAATTCATTTGTCAATCTTACTTTGAAGCCTGTCCATCATCAGTTTTCTTCTCATTTGAGGAGCCAGGAGCCATGTACGTCTTATACCTAGAATTACATTAAAAAAAAAAAAATCATATAAGTGCATCAGAATAGTGCCATCTGTAAAGCTGGAAGCACTAACAGAGAGAAAAACCTTCTGTATTGATGATAACTACCATGAATATTAAATTCTCCAAATAATCCAGCCACACTACAGCTTTTATAACTGGAGCAAAAGAACAAAATGAGCATCTACACTTTTTACCACTGAGCATCACCACTTTCAAACCCCTCAAGCCTAAATTAATCCCTTGCTATTGCAACCCCCACCTCACCACTACCTCTGTTCTGTGGGGTGAACAGCTGCAGGTTCACTGGCCACAGAGAGGCAAGTCTCACTGCTAACTACCTCACCCTCTTTCCTCCATACCTCCCACACAGCAGTGACTGCCGAACCAGCTTCATTCCCCTTCCACCTCGGGCTCCAGAAGGTCTCCAAAGCTCAGCTCTAGCTAGCAGACACCTGAAACCCAAGTCCAGGAAGCATCTTACTCATAATATCCTCCTCATTAAATTCCTCCTACTAGCCTTAAGAGCACTTCTTTCTCCAGCATAAAGCAAGGAACATGAAAATAAAATACTACTTCAAAAAGCCACTGCTCTCCAGTTTATCATCTATCCTGAATACCTTTTTTTCTGATCCTTTACCTTAACCTATATGCAAAACCTTCTCCCTGCTGCATTCTTCTTTACATTTAAATAGACAAATGTATCACTGAGGCTTTCATGCTGGTCCGAGGACAGAATTATAATTATAGGATGATTAATTTATTATTATTTTCAGAAGTGACTAAGGCTACGTGCTGAAGTTGGTACTTTCTGGGAATGCCCTTGTGGGAAGTATTGAATCATAACGTTTTACTCCACCCTCCATTAAGAAGGGCCTGGCAGCACAGAGATTATAACAGAGACAGGACTGTAATCCTTAAAAACCCCAGGATTACACCACAAGGAAACAGGAAGAAATCGATCTTGCAACAGAATTACATTATATGTGATTTTCTAATGAAGTGCACAACCTAACAAAATAAACAAGAGACCTGCCTGTTAAAAGCCACTGAATAATGGAAATGCATTAAAATTTATAAGGACAATTCGTTTTCTTCATTGAAAATATCAACCTTTATTAAGTAGACCCAAATTTACAGGTACTAGGTAAACTAAATGTATGCAACCATCTGTGGTCAAGGAGGGGAAGTATAAAAGTTGCATTTATAATCAACTACACTTCCTTACGGTAGTACGAAGTATAGTCAGCTACTGGGCAGCACCACATACCACACACATTACAGGAAAAATACATCATTTCTTCCTACAGTCACAAGTCCTGATAAAGAGGAGTTAGAAGCTAGGAAGAAGAAACTGATGATTTTTATGTAGCAAGAAGAAAAATGGCTGCAAATAAACCAAGGATATTCATTCAGGTGTTGTTCACAGTACTAAGCATCCACAAGATTTTTATGTGTTCCCCTAAGTAATCACAGGTACACTTGAAACAGGTACACAAGGTACACAGGTACACAAGTGAATACACTTCAAAAAGCTGAGAACAAAGTTCTGACAGTCCAAAGGTCCAGCTTACCCCCTCAAAAGCACCCAGCTGGAGGTGTCTTGGCAGGAACTGAAGGAAGGAGCGAGCACAAAGCAGCTTTGCCACGGCAGACCCCTGAGAGCAATCAGGTAGTAGCTGACAAGCAACCAGTTAATCTACAGCCACAAAACTCTCACACTAACCAAATAGAAATTTTTACAGACATGTCAAAAGTTTCTGTAGTCTTCTTCAGCCAAAGTTAAAACTGACATTCAACAATAATGTGCTCCCAGCAGCACTCAGATAAACAAAAGGCACAGCGTGTTTTAAGGTTTGGGTTGGAAGGACCCAAAGAATCCTAGAATGGTTTGGGTTGGAAGGAACCCTAAAGATCACCTGGTTCTAACCCTTCTGCCATGGGCAGGAGCACCTTTCACTAGACCGTATTACTCAGAGCTCCATCTTGCCTGTCCTTTAACACTGCCAGGGATGGGGCATCCACAACTTCCCTGGGATACCTGTTTCAGTGTCTCACCATCCTCAGTGAGATAGTGAGTGAAGGATTTCTTCCTAATATCTCACCTAAACATCTAAATCCTCAGACTGGTGCTTTAAACCCATGCAGAATCCACTATAATTGCCACCTCTCATTTTCCCCCCGGCATCCGTCATTTTTGAAGGAAGCCCACAGTCAATGGTTTCTGTAGGGAAAAGCTCTTATTCGGTGCTCGTCCATCATCAGGAAAAGCTGAAGTCGCTGCAAAATTGATTTTACCCTGCTGTTCCCCTCGCTGCTGGCGGAGCGCTCCCCCGGCTCCGCAGACAGAGCAAGCGGCCCCGTCCGCCGACGCCGCGGCACGGCCGAAACGAGCGCCCGACCGGACGGACGCCTGCGCCCGCCGCCCCCCGTGCCTACCCACCCGCCGCCCCCCGTCCCTACCCGCTCTCCGCCCCCGCGGTCCGGCCACCGGGGCTGAGAGACACGGCGGACACCCCACCATCCACCGGGAGCGGACCGCGGGCTGCCGGGGCGCACGGCGGGACGCGCTTCTCACCGGGGCAGCGGGATCCGCCGCTGGGAAACGAGGAAAGCGGCTCGCTGTTCCCGGGCGGGCTGCAGGGACCCCAGCCAAGCCGCCTCCCGCCAGCGGCGGCACCGCCCCGCCCCGGGCCCGGTTAACTCCCTGCGCGCCGGGGAGGCTGCGGGAAGCGCCGTGCTCCGGGCGGGCACCGGGCGCGGCTGTGGCAATGATGCCGGGAACGGTGGGGATGCAGCCGGCGTGCGGGGAGCGCGGGGCTCCGGGCATCGGCGGAGAGCTGCTGCCAAGGGCACGGGCGTTCGGGAGAACCTTATCGTGGAGATAGATACGGATACAGATACAGATGCAGATACAGATGATACAGACGCAGGTGTCGGCCGAGGATGGCGGAGTCGGGTCGGTGCCTGTGCCTGCCCTTGTGCGTGTCGGTGCGCACACACCGTGATCCCGCTCTCATGGGCATCAGGGCACTGCAACGGCGGTGCGACAAAAGAGCAGAGACGGCTTCGGCTGCTGGAAGCGTAAATTTAACATTGTTCGTACAGTCACTGAAAACACCAAACCCACAATCCTGCAGTGAAATTTTAAAAGGAAGTTTTCCTACCAGAACCACACTGTAGTTTGTCATAGTAGGGAATACTGGGGAGACGGAGCAACTAAAATCTTCATGGCAGAGAACTTTCCGTGTCTCAGGACAGTAAACACATTAGGCACAAGGCATTGCCGAGATGTATTTATTAAAAAATCATGTATTGGGCATTTAGATTAAAATTTTTTCATATCCTCTCTCACACCAAAGGACTTTGTATGGGAAGAGAGAGAGATCCCTTGCACAGATGCATTTCTAGGCATAAACGACATGCAAGAGGAATTGCTAAGAAACTCAGAAAAATGTCATCTGTTCAGGTTGTTTGGATTTCCAGTGGGTGAAACAGGACAGGTTCATAATCCATCTTCCAGTTTCCTTTTCTTTAAATATTTGTCAAGACTTCCAAGCTACAGTAGTGGACAAACACCTTAGAAAAGTTTAATTCTGTGGAAGAAAGTTTTCCTTTAAACAGGAATATTACCTACCCCTTCATCTCAAGATCCAGTGAAAAGTCTACTTTAGCTTTCAGGTTGTTTTCCATTCAGCTATATATTAAGCAAATCAATGTAAATTGCTAATTTTTATATAATAAGGTTACCATAGTTACGTTGTCTGAAATGTTCAATAAATTATGCATTTCTATGAGTCTAATAATTGGCAGTAACCTTTGCTCTCAGTTATCACTAAAAAACTTTAAATCTCCTTTTAGCTTCCTGGTTTTGTAGCGTAGTGTTTGAGTTTTCATTCCGTTTTGTAGTTTAGTGGAAAGGATACTAATGTCATTTAGAAGGGTGAAAAATACACAGCTACATACTGGGGTAATAATAACAATAGGCAACCAGGGTCAATTTTCAGGTTTTTGTATTGCAGGGATGAAAATTTGAGCTATGGAAAATAAGGCTGTCTGTCACAATCAAACGTATTCTCCCTTGTGCTCACCATAAACCATTTTCACAGTCAATTGGTGAAATAATTCAGTGCAGCTGTTTTACCCACGTCATTTTGATTGTTCAGTTATTCTGGATGTTTTGTATCATGACCACTATTAATAGAAGGACAAAATGTGCTAAGACTGAACTTCTTTATTTCTATTTCTAGCTTTTTCTCCCACACTATAACATAATATGTAACTACATTCTGAAAAAATATCTGTGGAGAAGAGCAAGAATATGAAGCTATTTATTTACAGAAAGAAATTGGGCTTCATCCTACATCTTTTACAACTCAGCCTGCATATTCAGCACAGATAATAGTATTTTAGATAAGCCCAAATCAAGGGAATTTTAGATGCTTCAGAAGCACATGGGGCAATTGAATTTTTGCTTGTATTGCTACACAAAGAAAGTTAATGAATACGTACCCTTGATCTTTGGAAGCTTGTTTGTATTTTAGTCTAGTCCAAAAAGACATAATTGGTTAGAATTATGTATTAGAAATATATTAGACTTCACTACAGTGAAATGGCTGTGTATAAAAGGAAAATTATTCTCCAGTCGCTAAACTGCCAAGTTATTGTTAAATCTTTACGTGGAATTCTCTTTTAGAAACATTTACACACTCAGTATTTTGGATGCAATTCATAAAATCTAACTGCACTTTTGTTTTATCTTTGGGGTTCCAAAGCAATCAGTATTCAAAAAAAAAAAGAAAAAATCTCACTACTTAAAGGCATTCAGGGCAGAAATAGAGCACAAGACAATGAAACAAATGTTTCAGCATTTAAAACAATAAGGCAAGATTTTGTAATAAGCACCCAGATTTTGACTTTGGCATTTCTCTGAAAAACAGAAATGGAAAACCAGAAGCTTCCACCACTTTTACATGGAACTGCTGATGACTTTGAAAACTGCCAGCTGCATGACTGCATTGACTCAGAAGTAAATAGAACAATGTGATTACTGTGATAAGGTGAATTCAAGCAGCATACTTCCATCTTTGGGTTCAGCTGGAGCTTTTGATTTCTTACACCACTTTGACTTCCCCTTGATGTCCCTTGGAAAACAGGCAAGTTACTTGTCTCGTGCAGCTCTCTGTTACTCTGAATCCACAGATTCCAGGACCACCCTCTTGTGAAGAGAAATCTCTGGCTGTTAATATTCTAACTCACAGTATTGAAACTGTGATCCATTCAGATTCAGTGGACCAACAGTGCAAAACAATTCTCTCCTTGGATTGACTAAGGAATGCTGAATACACATTAATGGCCATCATTTAAGTTGGAAAAGACCACCAGGATCATCAAGTCCAACTTAACTGAACACCACCTTGTCCAGCAAAGCCATAGCACTGTCATGTACAGTTGCTTCTTGAACACTTCCAAGAATGGTGACTCTACCACTTCCCTGGACAGCCCATTCCAATGCTTAACCCTACTTTCAGTGAAGAAATTCTTCCTGATGTCCAACCTGAATCTCTCCTGCCTGTTTCATCTTATTCTCTCAGTGGCTGGCCGGGAGAAACCAACATCCACCTGGCTACAAACTCCTTTTAGGCACTTGTAGAGTGGTAACGTCACCCCTGAACCTCCTTTTCTGCAGTCTAAACAGCCCCAGCTCCCTCAGCTGCCCCTCATAGGACTTACTTTCTCAAACCTTCACCAGTTCTGTTGCCCTTTACTGGAGTCACTCCTAAGAGTTGCGTTCCACATTTTCTCTCCCCTGTCCTGCTGGGAAGGGGAGTGGTAGAGAGGCTTGGCAGGCACGTGATATCCAGCCAAGGCCAACTCATCACAACTGGTCAGGTTTTAATGCTGTGAGCACCAACTCTGGCATCCCCTGATAGGGTGGCTGAGAAAACTGGATTTCCCCAACAGCTCTGCCTTCACAGCAAAATTAATGGTTTCAGTGTATCTGGACATAATTTGCAACACAAATTGTAAGTGAAGACAGATACAAGGTAAGTAACGTCACACACCACTAAAGTTACATCTTGATGTACGCTTTTTTTATATTTAGAAAAATTTGCTGAGTAGCCAATAACTGTATATTTAAGCATTTGAACATGTTTTCAGCCTTTTATTTTTTTTAAATACAATTTAGTTGAATTGTTCAAAATAATGGATAGCAAAGATGGACTCAGGTGCTAGGTCAAACAACATCAACAGCAAAATTTCTACAGTTTGCTGACAATTTTGAGGGTTCAGATTAGCAATGGTTTACCTATTTCCAATCAATTATTACATCAAGGTCCTAAAGTAACAGTATTAAACCAAATACTCTAAACATTCTGTTCAAATAAATATATATTTATTAATTAATTTTAGAAGTTTCAGGACTTGGATTCAAAGGTGCAAAATGTACTGAATGTAATCTGAAGAGGAAATTCTAAAAATTAAGTGTTTACTTTTCATGCTATTAGCAAAAAACATGGTAATGAAATTGCACCCACTTTCTAGTGGACTTTATAATCAATATTTAATTATTAATAAGATTTCAGGGATATATCCTAATCCAAGTAGATAAAATAGCAAGCATTGAAATATCAGTGCACCTTAACTTTTTCAAAATATTAAAGTACAACATCCATACATTGCTGTTTCAAAGTACAAACTTCTGCTGGTGTGAATAAACACAGTGATCTAGCATATAATATTTTTGTTGCAGTCAAGACTTCAGGATAGATAATTTTTTTATCTAACAGCTGAAAGTGCAGACATCATTGATAGCTGGGTCCATAGAACTGTTAACCAATGATTCAGCTTCTATATAACAAGACTAAATCAGGAAATGCCACCAGGTCTTTAATTATGTGGCTGAACACTATGACTGATCAATTAGTTCTTGTGCAGCAGGCACAGCAATAGAACTGTCCTAGAAAGCTGAGTGTCTGTTCAAAGTAAATGAGCTCTTGGGATGAAGAAGCAGTCTTTTCAGTGAAGGTTTGACTTTTTTACTGCAGGTATCCACACCAGTTCAATTCTTTCTATCTACATTTCATCCCATACTGTACAGTTCCCCTTCACCTTTCTTTGTGGCATAATTCATGAGTACAGCTGTACCTAACTGAAAAAACTTGTTGTTAATAGCATGCCTGTGTCTAGTCAAGTCAGCAGCAATATGGTAACCCTGTTTGAGAACAGCAAAGCAACAGTAGTCTCGTGCAGGAGAAAACCTCAGCTTTGCTTTATTTTGTTTATTATATTAAGAAAAGGTCTAGGACTAAGCACTGACAGCTGTTGTCTGTTCTTTAAAATTTGCTGCAATCAAGCCAAACAAAGTTCATCCATCTCGCAAACATCTCAATCAGGGATGAGTTAAGTTACAAAAATAATCTAGTCAACAATCTAGTCAACATGTAAATAGTGGGGTACATAGGCAATACAAAGCTTTAGTTCCCCCAAAAATCTTTCAAGTTACCTATTACATCCCTGAAAGGGTGGCTTTAACTCATTGCTTGCAGGTGGTGATTCAGATCGTTCTGAATCTGCAATAGGAAAAAAAAGATTAAAGTTTACAGAATAACTTCAACCATAATAATAAAAAGGTCAGCTAAAATTTTTGGCTTCTTTCTCATGTCAAAAATACACATAAATTCCACTACTTTTAATTTTGAATTAACAAGATAAACAAGCTACCTAAGAAATTTGCAGTATGATGCAAATCTCTATCCCAAAACAAAGGGATTATAGATTTACATACGGAATGGGTTGTATCTCCTTCCTGCTGTGTCTAGGGCTTATTCTGTGCAAGTAAGAACAGAGAAAGCTCCATCTCAAAAGGGAGCTGCAATGTGCTCATGCTGCCAATTGCTTTGGATGAACAGAAAAAAGTACACAAGTGGGAAAAAACTAAAAGCACTACTGTCAGTAATCACCTAAAAGAATGAAAAGGACACAGTCAAAACTGAAGGAAGATACACATCTGGATGAAACCATATTGTTAAGAGCATTAAAAGCAATCTCCTTTTACACTGTGATACAGAACAGATCTCAATCGGAATAGGTATGATTGCAAACAAAGGCAATAGAAGCAAAGTAGGTACCACATTATAAAAAAAAATTGAAAAATATAGCAACTCAAAACTTAGATGTATCTATATTTCAACCTATGCAGCACACTGACTTTTCATAAGCCTTTACAGAGTACCCATATTTTTCTTCTCTTTTGCCTAAGTGTTATAACCAAACCAATTTCATGCTTACTCTGAAAAATCTTCAGGTTTTCTTTGTATCTCAGATGTCTCATTAGAGGCACACATATTAAAGAAATCAACTATCACCAAATTAAGGAAATTGAGATTTTGAAATCCCCTTTAACTTTACTCAGAGTAATGGGAAAGAAAAATGTCAGCGCACAAGAAAGTTGAGCAGAATCTGAAAACAAAGAAGAATATTCAAGATTTTCTTTCATGCTGAGGAAGAGCATTTTTAGACTTCATGGTTGAATTGCTGGGTCACTGAACCTCTCAAAGCAGCATCCTCTGCATGATCAGTTTGGATACTTAAGTTAACTTGAAAAGTGGCTTCTTCATTTTCCTTCAGATCCAGACCGCAATCTGGCTTCATCCCTCAAGTTTTATGACATTTTTTCTTCTGAACAAAACCACACAACTTCTAGTTCTCTGTTTTCTCCTGATGCTTACCTGGAGGAAGAGGTTTTGCACACCAAAAAAAACCCAAAACCAATAAAACTGTAGATACATTAATGGAAGACAAAAAATTAATTCAGACAGAGCTGAAGTGGCAGAAAAAATTAAAATACCTGGCCTCTAAGACTTTCATACATCAATATATCAAGGCCAAGGGAATAATGACAATGCCAACATATACAAAAGGATTCCCTGACACAAATTTAAAAAAAAATAAATTCTGGTGCACGGAATGGGAGGTCCAATAGCATTTCCAAACATTGCTATAGAAAACTGATAGAGCCAGCAGGGTTACCAAAGCAAAAGGTCTTTGACAGAAGTAAGAGAAAATTTCCCACTCTTTAACCTTCGTATTTGTTTCCAAGTGAGGTCTTTCATAACTATTACTATTGTGCATGATAAAGTAAGGTTTGAAGGCATGACATTGGATAACTTTTTTTCCTTAAACTTCTGAAATTCCACTGTCTTCAATAATGTGCATATATTTATTTTGACAAATTTCTACAAGCAGTCATCTATTTCTTAAACACAAGTTTCAATGACACTTGTGACAGAAGTTTTTGGAAAAATATTAGGAGCAAAAGAATATTCATAACAACTAGGCAACAAATATTTTACAGTCTGCTTAAATTTAGGCAGGGTGGCTGTGTCCCTGCAGTATTTTATGGAAACATCACAGAGAAGCCCCTGGATCAGAACACAGAAGCCCCTGGATTGGAACAGAGCATACTGTAATTGTAGAGATGAAAAAAGTCCATGAAAGCGCCTGCCTTCACTGACTACAAACAGGAGCACTCCTTTCTTTAGCTGGTCATAGGGTATTGTAAACTAAGCACAACAATTCAATGTGTCTCACCATATTCAGAGAGCCACACAAATATTGAGGCTGCCCTCTGCTGTTACCTTGTGAGTCCAGCTGGTTTTAAAAGAAACAGCTTTCAATAATGTTACCTTCAGAGTGCTCACTATTTTCTGATGTTTCTTCAATCTTTTTTTCCCATCCAGTATTCTGCTGCAACCAGTCAGTCCCATAACCATTGCTTATTAATTTGCTAAAATTTACTGCTTCACTTTCTCTCTTAGCAGGCCTGTAAATACAAATATATTAAAGGAAAACCAAAGCAAAAAGTAAACAAAAATAGGGGCTAGGTGGAAAAAATATTTTGCACAGAAAAGACCTTATAATTTATTTCTAATTATAGCATTAATTTAAAAATGTAACCATTTATAGCCTTATAATTTATTTATAAATAACAAAACATATATTTTACATGTAATCATCTAAGAAGAAAAACCAAAAATAAACAACCAAAAGCACAGAACTATGCCTGATTTAGTACTGTACAAATTTACATGAGAAGAGACATCTGTTTCATTGGAATTTTACATGTATAATGCTTACACAGTTCTGATCTTAAAGACAAAAGGTGCAAAAGAATGTGTAAATGAAAAAGGCTGACAGTACTCATTCTGTGGTGCACAAAAGTGAAATTATGTTACAAATTTTCTATTAAATTCATTTGACAGTTTAATCACTTATTTGGCAGCATTAACATAGTTCTAAAACATACTAGGACTACTGATGACTGAGCAATAAATTTTTAAGACAAAGTATACAGAAACAATTCAGCTGTGCACACAGCTGATGATGTGATTATATCGCATCACAAATTACATAAAAATTTGCTTAAAATTCCTCTTTCAGGTGTTCATCAGAGCATTTTTGCTCTGTATGGCCTTATAAAGGCAACAGTTTATGTCTTTTCTTAAAGTGTCAGTCCTACATGTTTCTATGTAACCTACATTGACAGAACTAACAATGTAGATTATAATTTTCACCTGTTCGCTGGTATTAAGAAAAAAAAAAACAAGTTTAGAATACCAAAAAATTCTGCTACATGAAGATATGCTACTTTATGCTTAGTTTCGTAACACAAAGTTATATCAAATAATTTTCTAATACGAGTTAAAGTACTGTTATTTTAGTTGCTTTAGAGGCTTTTAAAACTATTTTAGTATCACATATGAAGCAAATTTAACAGCAATAAATATCCACAAGGTCCATACACATATCTACTAATTCCTGCATTTTCATAAGGAGCAATTTTACTTGTACACATGAATAGTTGCAGGCTTAGGTGTTCAATGATTTTCAAAAATGTACTACTTACACGGGTGGGAAGGAAAGCTTATTTTCTCCACTAAATTCCTTGTTAGTAGAAACAGTTGGCATTCTGCTTGGATATTTAGGGGTTATAGGTGGAAGCTTTACCTGTGTTAGAGAAATCTTAGCTCAAAAAAAAGGAGTTATGAAGAAAATAACCAGGAAGATTATATGATAGCATGGCCTTCAAAAGTGAGGATGATATTAAAGGCCTGAATGTATTCAAATTTCCATGTCTTATGTACATTATTTCCATAAGAACTAGTAATGGATTACTGAGGAATAACAAAAGATAAAGCAGCCCCTTAGTTATTCTACATGAGATTAGCTGCTTTCTCTCTCCACAATGTGCTTTACACAAGCCTTTCCCTCACAGTACACTTCAAATTAAGCCTCAAATCCAAAACTTATCCACAGCAACCTCTCATCTTGGTCCATTTGTTTGTATGCAGAATATGAAAACAGACCAGCCTCACTAAAGTCAGGAGGACTAGAAATTAACATATGGTTTAACTGCTACTTCTTTTTCAGTTTGTTTGGATTTTGTTTTTTAATAAAAAGCATAAAACATCCTATATAATAAGAAAAGAGTTGTGGTATATTAATTAGAGAGGTTTGATATTCAAACAAATACATACATATATATATATATAGGGAAAGCCTACAACAGAAAAATATATTTTACTTTTATCATCTTTCCAATGAGAGGTAAAGAAACTCAGTGTTGACTAAAAGACTGAAATATGACACCTGGAAAGCCAGGGAAAGACAACTCACACTCCAGAACTGAAAGTGGGAAAACCAGTAAGTAGTGGAAAAACATGAGCAACACAAACCAAACTCTTTATTTTAACTTTGATCAAAATCAACAGCTACTAAAGGGTCAACTTACCTCCCTCTCAAATAAAAGGATGAAATTAAATATCCTCAACAACTCCCTGATATTTTTCACTAAATAGTTGCTAAGAAATTCTGAGTTAAAAAAAAACAGAACATCTTTAAAAACTACTTACAGTTTCCATTACTGCACAAAGAAAAGTGGACAAGGGGGAAGTCCTGAAGATAGCACAGAATTTTCAAAGCTTATTAACAAAGTTTTTGTGTTACACTAATATATCCTTTTAATTAGAACCTATATATTATTTGACAATTTTATTTTTTAAAAATGGAACACATGAGAGTGCCCCATGGAATAAATAAGAGATATTACTTGCAGGTTATTTACAAACAAATCAGGAGAGAGTAACTAAAAGTGAAATGTATCACTCTGTAAACTTACAAGCACCTTAAGGATAACAATACTTTCCACCTATATGGACATAGATATGGCAATACAGTAAACAGAGCAAAAAATTATGAAGTGCAAAAATTAGATGCATGAACAGCAGTCACACTTGGATTCCAGGCACTACAAAACACCCATGAAAACCTCTATAAGGAGAAGATTCCAAAATGTAAACACACCAAGGACTTCTCAAGGAGCTTGTGCACAGTGAGTATGGAAAGAGCAAACAAAAGTATAATGGCCTTTGAATACACCTAATTAGGAAGCCAAAAAGAAAAGGCAGATCTGAATGTTCAGAGAATGTGTTTTCTTATTATCTTGAAGAAAGTGAAGCCTGGACAGGCAGTTGTACTGATTCTGAGCTAGGATGTCAATGCAAACACGTGTGAAGTCAGTGAAACCCCTTCCAACTTCAGTGGAATCAGACTGGGCCATTTGCCAAAGAAGAAGAGCTGAGATTAGCAAGAGCACACAGTGATATCAGAGGCAGCTACGTGAGAGGAAAAGGAGGGTCTTTGTCCAACCTGGAGGTTAAAAACCACATTACCTGCTTAGAACTGCTTTTCAAGTTTGTTCACACTTCTTGCTGAAGCAGCCTATTTGTGTTTAACATTTCAAAAATGCCATCCCATTGTGCAGAAATGCTAGCACTGCCTTCCCTCTATCACCAGACTGGACCACTTCAGATCTGACACGCAGGTTTCAGATCCAGGACACAATTACCTACAGTTTCAATTGACAAAAACAACCTCAGGTGACATTTGTCACATGCTGATGTCAGGATGGCACACAGGGCAACACAGAAACACAACTCAATTTGATAGGATAAACAAATAGCAGATGAAGAGAGATGAAATTTCCCTCTTGGCATCAAAAAGAAGCAAAAGGAAAGGAGGCCTAGTAATTAAAGAGTTAATTAAAGGACAAAGAGCAGAAGCTAGAGAGATTTTTACTAGAGACAGAAAAACGTTCAAACTGTCCAAAATAAAGTCAAGAAAAAGAAAGAGGAGAAGAAGGTAAAGAGAAAAGTCTTGAAGGCTGTGAGCAGGAGCATTATTTTAAATATTACCTTTCTTGGCATTAAATGAGAGGCTAGCTTATACTGCAGGGATCAAAACACTCCCTACTGTTCAAGTAAACTAATCAATGACAAAAGTGGCAAAGGAACAGACCAGAATTGGCTTTGGAGGGCACCTGCGATCTGTTCAGGTGCTATTTGTTACTTTGCTGGGCAAATTCAGCATTAAAAGCAGACTCTTGTGCCACTACACTCCAATGATTACAGCTGAGGGGGCTTTTTCCCTTTGACAAGTCTCTATTTAGTAGCAGCCATCAATTTTCCCAGATAAAACAAACTACACAGGGCATTTTTTTTTACAAACAAACTACACAGGGCATGTTCTTGGTTTAAAGTGTTTTCTCCCTCTGTGAAGAGATGGTAACAATATACTCTAAAAATTACTATGTTTATTACAAATACATATTTATTAATCTTGGATTAAAGAAATATGACATAGAATATGCATTGTGCCTGGCTAGTATATGAAGACCAATGGATATCTGCTGACAACATGGTAAGATAAAAGCCTTTAGATGAAATCCTGGTTCCTGTGTGATCAAGGACAAAATTCTAGATTACTTTTCAAATCTCTCTCTGATGTAAAATCCTGGCCTCAGATGAGCAACCATTTTGCACATACATAACTAAGTACATATGCATATATACACAGACATTTCAGGCAAGTGCCTGAAAGAGAGAACTTGGGAGATGAAGGAGTAATCTTACTGGTGGGCTGCAGGGATATTGCCAAATGCTGATGCAAATTCTGATGACACCTCCAACTGACCTCTCATCCATACAGGCCTCCCTCCTTCTTAAGGTCACAGCTTTTTCAACCCAATCCAGCTGGTCCATAAGATGCACAGGCAAAAGGACCACTGAATCACAGAATGGTTTGGCTTAAAGGGTTCTTAAAGATCATCTAGTTCCACCCCCCTGCCACAGGGACACCTTTCACTAGACCAGGTAGCTCAGAGCTCCATCCAGCCTGACTCTGAATACTTCCAGGGATGGGGCATCCACAATTTCACTGGACAACTTGTGCCAGTGCCTCACCACTCTCACAGTAAAAAATTTTTTCCTATCATCTAGTCTAACCCTACTCTCTTCGAGTTCAAATCCTGTCACAAATCCCCTTGTCCTGTCACTACATGCCCTTGTGAAAAGTCCCTCTCTATCTTTCTTGCAGGGTCCTTTCAGGTACTGGAATGTCATAACTAGGTCACCCCAAAGCCTTCTCTTCTCCTGGATGAACAATCCCAACTCTCTCAGCCTTTCTACATAGGAGAGCTGCTCCCTTCCTCTGATCATATTTGTGCCTTCCTCTGGATTCCTCCAACAGTTCCCTATTTTCCCTGTGCTGGGGCCCCCAGAGCTGGATGCAGCACTGCAGGTGGGGTCTCACCAGAGCAGAGCAGAGGGGCAGAATTCCCTCCCTTGCCCTGCTGGCCACGTTGCTTTGGATGCAGCCCAGGACACATTTGGCTTTCTGGACTGTGAGTGCCCATGGCTGGGTCAAGTCCACACTCTCATCCACCAGCATCCCCAAGTCCTTCTGGGCAGGGCTGCTCTCCATCTGTTCATCCCCCGCAGCCTGTGCTGATAACAGGGGTTGTCCCAGCACAGGTGCAGGACCTTGCACTTGGTCTTATTAAACCTTGTGAGATTTCCATGGGCTGCTTCTCCGTGGGCCAGAAGTCCATTACTTTGCCATGAGCACATAGGTTAAATCCTTCATGCATTACTACTCTTTGCTGATTTGCAAAATCCCCATGTAATGGTCCCCTGGATCTCCAGTCCTCCTCAACATAGCAGCAACCACAAGGAAAAGTAGAGATTTTAATACTTCAGAACAAAGCAGCATAAAGCCTTAAACCTTCAAAGCAAAGGCCCACTTGGGAACAATGTTTTCCAAACAGAGCAGAAGAGGTACCCTTAGAGGTTAAGCGGTTTTGCACTTGTTCCTAAGTATGCCCTTTGGGATTTAACTCCACAATTGCATCATGCATGTCTCTTCTGAATAACTGCTTAGTCACACTGGACGGAAAAATATTTTCAATACATTCAGTCTCATACTATCAGAAATACCTGAGGTAGTTTTCTGCTGCAGTGCCATCATGTAGACAAATAAATAAATTGAACATTCCTTAGGAATTTGCCTGTGGTGTTTTGGAATATATTATTCTTACCTTTCAACATACAAGATGTATTGCAAAAAACTAAACTTGAGACTCTTTGGTAGGGCTAGTTTCATTGTCTCACCTGGAAGACTCTTTGGGAAGGTACTTTAAGAGCATGGCATAGAAACTTCCCAAAAGAGGATATTCAAGAAGTAGCTGTGAAAGAAGCACCATGTGACATTTCAAGATACCTGACGTGCTTTTCAGTGTACAACAAAGATACTGTGAAGCACAGCCAAACGAGAGATAGCGGTGTGGACGTAGAGCTAAACGTACCAACACAGAGTCTGTGTTCCCAGGCACCTAATCTTACAGAAAAAAGACTTGGTAGAACCTTAGGCAAAACTTCACTTCAGCTTGCAGGAGAATAGTGTAAATTATATAAGAGGGCCTCAGCATATTAGCAATCTGAGCTGAATATATAACATATATTCACTGTGCATTTAGTCCTAAGTGAAGCGCATGACTGAATGAAACAGGGAACACATGAAACTTTCAGATACATGACTGAATGAAACTGGGTCTCAACCAAACTCCACCAAAACTGAAAGGAACCTCAGTTTCACTTTACAAGTCAGTATATGGGCTTGAACTACTATTATCAAAGTTAAGTTTGACTCTTAGAGCACTGAATGTAATTGGTTCTTAAGTAATGGAGTGAGGAACAGCACTTCCTCTCCATCCTAGCTCAGTTCCTTTAAGAGGCACAGCAGCAAGTCAAGTTTTTATTTTCAGCACCTTAAATCTATGATAGAAAAAATATATGGAAGCTTCACCTATAAGCATCAGGCAAATTACAGTTTAAACATAGGTTGCTTGTTTGCCTGTTGCCACAGACCCAGTAAACATTCCCAAGCCTATTCAGTAATGAAGTGTTCCCATTTACACAAGACATCATTCTGAATTTGCACCAGTTATTCATCTCAGCAAAGGCTGAGGACTTTTTTTTCCTAAAGTGCCCAACATCTGCCTTTCTGTTGAAGGGAGGTACTAGTGTTCAAGTACATCAAATGTCCTTCCAGGTATACCCCAAAGGCCTATGGCAGATGCAGCAACTGAGTTTACAGAGGATATTTAGAAAACATAAGGCTTCAGTATCTAAACTGGGCAGGGGCAGGGAGGGTGAAAGAGGGAGGATAGCAGAGAGGTCTCCAAGACAAAACACCAGTGTCAGTACAGAAAGGTTTGTTTGGGGCACAGCTTGTGTTATACTTCCTTTGTCTTGGATACATCTTTCATTCAAAGACAGATAACACAGTATCTTTGGGCAGTCCAAATTTAATTTCAATTTCAAACTAAATTAAACTCCTTTTTCAGAATAGTCTTCTGTTCTCATCCTCTTTCTTCGTCACCCAAGATTACTGAACAAATGTCTCTTCACCAAGAATGAATTGCAGAGGAAATAAAGCATAAGAATAAAACTAACTACTGCTTTTTATTTATACTGACGTATATATACCATATAATGTGATGGGAAACTGTGTTTCTGGTTCTCACACTACACCTGCAGCACTTAAGAAAACATGTCTTTCTTCTTGTTCTCAAACTGCAATATAAAAATTGATTCTGGAATACAGAAACATGGATTACAGCTTCCCTCCTATAAGAAGCAACAGAGATGTGTTCACAAGCCCTACAAACAAAGCATTATCACGGGGTGCCTCTCCATCCTACCTTCTTTTTCTCTGCATGTTCTTTGTCCTCAGCCTCCCGCTGCCAAACACTTTCAGTATCAAACTCAAAAGGCCCTCTTCTTGTCTCATAACTCTTACTGTGATGGTCATCAGCAATAAACTCTCTGTGAACCATATAATCTGGTAGAGAGGAAACACAGCTCCTGCAGGCAAAGATTTAATGCTTGCTTGTACAAGGTATACAAATCCTGCACTCTAGTACAGAAGCATTCAGAAATGTTAATAGATGAAGAGGGAGGCCAAGATGTGTTGGGCCTCAGCAATCTTACCATGTCTTCTCAATCCTTGCAGTATTGGCACTGTGTGAGTACCAGTCAGGTGCAGCACATGCTGCTGGATGGGACTTCATTACCACAGGAGTGTAGTGCCTCAGTAGGTCTGGAAAGAAAAAGACAAAAGCCAGTACTTTTCTGACTTCTTATGTAGTTGCAAAAGTGCTACCTTTGTTTTCAGATTGCTGTTTTGTCAGGAAGAAATTAATCTCCCCATTTTTTCCACAACTTTATTTCAAAAGTCCAGAGGATCCTTCTGTAGCATCTACAAACACTTTACACCACACTCAAGCAAAGCCAAAGAAAACAAAGAAAAATCAAAGAAGCAAGACAGATGCTCACCAGGTCGCCCTCCTTGCTTTGCCAGCCTCACATAAGCTGAATCAGCCTCTTTGATCCACTTCCTGTGGCACCCAGACAGTGGCACTTCATGGGGAGCCCTTGAAAAGTCACTGAGACCCAGAATCTGGGAGGGAAGTGGGCTCTTCTCTGGTTGTTTGAGTGGCATGGGGTATTGCTTCCTGCAATAATGGAAAAGAAGATATTTATGGTAAAAGTTAACTGATAGCATCCCTTTTTCGGGCAACTTAACAAATTGAGCCCACCTGGAACATGAATGAGGTGCTACATTTCATCGTGAAGACAATAGACCAGGCTTGCTCATTCTGGAGGATATAGCACAAGCAATTTCTGGAGAATCACAAGCAAAACACTTTTGTTTCAGTTCTGAGACAACATTGAAGTTTTCCTGTAAAGTGCTCTCATACAGAGGATCGTGCCTCTTCATTCAGAAAACTATTTCCAAGGACACATCAAAAGCAGTGAGAAGCACACAAGACAGCAGAAAACACTTCAGTCTTTGCTTTCCTTTCCTTCACATGTACTAACTAAAAGCAAAGACAGTAGCTGTCCATTGGCAGGTCTTTATTTGTTAAGCCAAACCCAATCCCCAAATAAAAAGAAATTTAAAAATCAACACCAAACGCCCTACTTCTCCATGCATTACTTTCTCAACTTATAGTGAGCAAAAGAAAACATAAACAAATCCTTCAAAATAGGAAAATGAAAATCCTTCAAAATAGAAAAATAGGCAGATAGATAAGAAAAGCGCAGTACGAGGTATTGTGCCATAAAAGATGCACAGGCACTTACCGGAGCGACTCCAGCTGCAGCTGATGCCGTTCCGTCGGTGTAAGGACACCACTTCCAGGCAGCAGCTCACTGAGGAGCTCCTGGCACACACACACACGGGCTGGCTGCGCCCAAACTCAACCCCAATAAACAGCCGAGGGCGCTGCCTCTCCCCGCGGTCCGGGACGCAGAGGCACCAGCCGAGCCCGCTGCCGCCTCCCGGGCGGCTCCGTCCCCCGGCGCTCTCCCGCTGACGGCGCTCGGGGTCCCCGCTGCCGCCGTGGCTGCACCTCAGGGACCGAAGGGCGATTCCCCGAGGCGCGAGCCGCAACTCCCGGGGAAGGGGCGGGATGAAGCCTGAAGGGGAGACGCGGACAGAGCCGGACCCCGTCGGGGGCGGAGCGGGGCAGCCCGGCCCGCGGTACTTCCCTCGCTCTTTCCTTTCTCCTGCGGGGTGGAAGCTCGGCGCGTTGCTCTCCGCCGCCCGCAGCAGCAGGGGTGCAGAGCGGAGTGGGGGCGGCTCCCGGCGGGCTCCCGGCTCGGGAAGGGAACTTGGCCAGGTTGGTGTTGGCCTGTTCCTCCTGAGGGTGCAGAGACACCAGTGAGGCTCCCACACAGCTCTGTCTGGCCTCCTGCCACCCCATCTGCTCTCCATACATCTGACTATTTTATTGCTCCATCAGGCCTTCAATAGAAACACCTGTTTCTTCAGACATCCCATTTTCAAACCACCCAACCATCTACTCAATGATCCTTCCATCCAATCTTCCACCCACATAAACTAACTTCCTTCCTTCCTTCCTTCCTTCCTTCCTTCCTTCCTTCCTTCCTTCCTTCCTTCCTTCCTTCCTTCCTTCCCTCTCTCAACACCCCACCCCTTGACCACCTCATCTCAAGGTTGCCTGCTACTCTCCACATCCTCTCCCACATCCTAAACCCACACTGTCCTCTCCTGGGGGGTGGACCCATGGCTACCTCAGCCAATGCTCACCGCCTCCTCAGCCTGTCGCTTGTAGGCCTTGACCTTCAGCTGGAGCTTGTCCACAAGGTCCTGAAGCCGGACCATATTTTTACGGTCCTCCTCCGTCTGTAGGGTGAGACACATATGGATCATGACCTGACCCTACCTGCACTTGGAATCACCACCCAAGCTACAAGAGTCAGGAGACAGTTAATGATGTTCTTGGGGAGTGGAGCCTCTCAAGATCTGTGGGTGGCTTCAGCTCTGAGAGCAGGAGGTGGATGTCTTCTTGCCCCTGATGAGGTCCTATCTGAGGTTATGGATCATGCTCCCATAAGACCCCATGGATACTGGACACTGAGAGGTGGCCTGGGTAGCTCATGGCCCAGACCATGTTCTGGGTACCCACGTACATACAGTGGGTGGTCTCTTATCGAATCTAGACAGCCTGTGTCTCTCTGGCCAGCAGGTCAGCCATGTTTACCACAGGAGTGTAGTGCCTCAGTAGGTCTGGAAAGAAAAAGACAAAAGCCAGTACTTTTCTGACTTCTTATGTAGTTGCAAAAGTGCTACCTTTGTTTTCAGATTGCTGTTTTGTCAGGAAGAAATTAATCTCCCCATTTTTTCCACAACTTTATTTCAAAAGTCCAGAGGATCCTTCTGTAGCATCTACAAACACTTTACACCACACTCAAGCAAAGCCAAAGAAAACAAAGAAAAATCAAAGAAGCAAGACAGATGCTCACCAGGTCGCCCTCCTTGCTTTGCCAGCCTCACATAAGCTGAATCAGCCTCTTTGATCCACTTCCTGTGGCACCCAGACAGTGGCACTTCATGGGGAGCCCTTGAAAAGTCACTGAGACCCAGAATCTGGGAGGGAAGTGGGCTCTTCTCTGGTTGTTTGAGTGGCATGGGGTATTGCTTCCTGCAATAATGGAAAAGAAGATATTTATGGTAAAAGTTAACTGATAGCATCCCTTTTTCGGGCAACTTAACAAATTGAGCCCACCTGGAACATGAATGAGGTGCTACATTTCATCGTGAAGACAATAGACCAGGCTTGCTCATTCTGGAGGATACAGCACAAGCAATTTCTGGAGAATCACAAGCAAAACACTTTTGTTTCAGTTCTGAGACAACATTGAAGTTTTCCTGTAAAGTGCTCTCATACAGAGGATCGTGCCTCTTCATTCAGAAAACTATTTCCAAGGACACATCAAAAGCAGTGAGAAGCACACAAGACAGCAGAAAACACTTCAGTCTTTGCTTTCCTTTCCTTCACATGTACTAACTAAAAGCAAAGACAGTAGCTGTCCATTGGCAGGTCTTTATTTGTTAAGCCAAACCCAATCCCCAAATAAAAAGAAATTTAAAAATCAACACCAAACGCCCTACTTCTCCATGCATTACTTTCTCAACTTATAGTGAGCAAAAGAAAATATAAACAAATCCTTAGAAATAGGAAAATGAAAATCCTTCAAAATAGAAAAATAGGCAGATAGATAAGAAAAGCGCAGTACGAGGTATTGTGCCATAAAAGATGCACAGGCACTTACCGGAGCGACTCCAGCTGCAGCTGATGCCGTTCCGTCGGTGTAAGGACACCACTTCCAGGCAGCAGCTCACTGAGGAGCTCCTGGCACACACACACACGGGCTGGCTGCGCCCAAACTCAACCCCAATAAACAGCCGAGGGCGCTGCCTCTCCCCGCGGTCCGGGACGCAGAGGCACCAGCCGAGCCCGCTGCCGCCTCCCGGGCGGCTCCGTCCGCCGGCGCTCTCCCGCTGACGGCGCTCGGGGTCCCCGCTGCCGCCGTGGCTGCACCTCAGGGACCGAAGGGCGATTCCCCGAGGCGCGAGCCGCAACTCCCGGGGAAGGGGCGGGATGAAGCCTGAAGGGGAGACGCGGACAGAGCCGGACCCCGTCGGGGGCGGAGCGGGGCAGCCCGGCCCGCGGTACTTCCCTCGCTCTTTCCTTTCTCCTGCGGGGTGGAAGCTCGGCGCGTTGCTCTCCGCCGCCCGCAGCAGCAGGGGTGCAGAGCGGAGTGGGGGCGGCTCCCGGCGGGCTCCCGGCTCGGGAAGCGGCGGGAGCCGTGCAGGGACGCCTTCCTCTCAAAGAGGGAAGGGCGCCCTCCCACTGTGACCGCCCGCCCGGACCTTGCCCCAGCTGGGAAACTCCGTCCCAGGAGGGCAAGATCCGTCCTATATTCCATGGCATTTGCCATTCTGTACTATTTAATTTTTGCCTTCTGGCCGGTCCATATACTGAAAGCCTGCTGGTACCCTTTTGGGTCCTTGAGATACCCTGCTCTGAGATTTTCTTTGTGTTCCTGGAGCTGGCAAGCCACTTTATCCACCAATGCTGCTTTTTCATCTTTCCATGTCTGGGACCCAGGGGACGTGAAAGAACGATGGGATATAGTGGGAGAATGCGGAGGGATGGAGGCACGTGAAGAAAATGGTGGGGTGGTGGAACATGAAGGATATAGTGAGATGTAGAGGAGATGGAGAGCCAGAGGGGTGGTAGAATGGGGTCATGAGTCATGATGATGATGAGTCATGAAGATGCCGGGATGTGGAGGAAATGGAGATAGTGGGACATAGAGATTGTGGGATGTGTAGGGACATGGAGGAAATGGAGTGGTAGAGAATTTATAGGGATGGTGGGATATGGTGGGACAATGGCCCTTGGAGGAGATGGAGGGACAGTGAGAATGGAGGGTAACAAGTTGGAGGAGACATGGTTGTTGGGCCAAGGGGTGGTGGAACGATCCATGGAGAGGCCAGACAGATGAAAGCATTTGAGACAGAAGGACAGTGGGACATGAAGGACAGGGGAAATGAAGCATGGTGGGTAGTGGGACAGAGCAGTTAGGCTAGGGGAAGCAGCTAGCAGCTAGGGGAACACTGAGGCCGGAAGCAGCACAAGCTGCAAGCTCAGGAACCAGGACTGACCCAAGCTCTGTGCTACATGTGGAGGTACCAGATGCTGCTCCCCACCTCCTGAGGACCTTCCCTCCTTAGTCCTCTGTGCCCTCAGGCACATCTCTTCCCACACACAGATATGGATTGGTGTGAGGCGTGTTGAGATACCGTGAGGCAGTTTGAGGTCGAGGTACACCCCATGGGTGAAATCATATTGCACTGTGGGGTGGGCTGCAACATCCTGTGGGGTGCACCAGGTCCACACAGGTTGGCAATCCACAAAATTTTTAGGATTGGAAGGAACCTCAGAAGATCATCCAGTCCAACCCACTGCCAAGGCAGGGTCACCTAGAGAATTTACACAGGAATGTGTCCAGTTGGGTTTTGAATGTCTGCAGACAGGGAGACTCCACAATTTCCCTGGCTGCCTGTTCCTGCGCTCTGCCACTCTAAATGTAAAGAAGTTCTTCCTCATGTTGAGGTGGAACTTG